TCGAGTTGGCAATAAGGGCCTCGAACCAGGGAGGCCCCAACTCCGTCTCCAAAAATCATATCAGTTTCAGGTGCAAAAAACGAACCCCAAAACTAGCCTCTTGTACCTTCTTGTCTTGATTATGACAACCTTTCCCTTTCTATTATGTTGATGCAAGAGGTCGCGTGTTTCCAAAGCATGCAATCGAGGCGCTTCGAGGCTCGGCGAGGCCTGGGCAAAGCCTGCAACGGACGCAAAACGTATTGGCACAAGGACAGAGCGACGCTTACGGGGACTCGAAACTATATAGTACTATTGTTGAAGTCCCAGCAAGGCTGAACTTGAAGTAGAAATTGGAGCAAAACAATGTGACAAAGAAGGGGCTCTTTTTTGGACTTCAAAACGTGAGAAAAAGTAGGCGCGCAAAAATGGGCCTCCCCAGTAGGTCGTGGCGACCTGGATCTTTCTCTTTCCTCGTTGTCTCCATCTCCAGCTATTGGAGATTTGGTCTGACTCTCTTGGTTCCCTGGCTCTCCAGCTTCAGATCCAGAGCCCTCATGTCCCTGGTCTTGCCGTATTCCCTTCAGGAGCCGACCCCATAGGGTTCACAGCACCAGATGTCAAAGCCTCTGAGCTTGCCGCCGCCATGAAGATCTCTAATCTACGGATTAAAGCTGTATGGACTCTTCGAGACAATTCCGGTGGGATGTACAGCTTGGGCATACTGTTGCCAGGAATCTCCAAGCACCAACTGACTCTCAATGCCCTTTGTTGCTCACTACCTAAATTTTAATCTACACAACCAAAACAAAAAACCAACTGTTTTCTCTCATCCTAAGGTGCGTGCCTCACACCTTAATAGATGATCCTCACTATTACCCAAGATGCGTGCCGCAGATCTTGAAAGGCAATGTGTACTCAGTTCCATCTAGACGTCTCAGACAAAAATGAAATGATGCAGACTTGTGTTAGCTTGCAAAATACACCCACGTCCATCCTCCAAAACATGCACGACTCTTCACACAACTGCAAAACAGATCACAGTGGTTTCTGTGCATAAAACCCATAGACATGTCATGCAGCAAAAATGAAAACCAGTGCAAAACTCATGACAGCTGACATCCAAACTGCTCAAACTCGATCACACAAGTCCAAAATTCTGTCCATGTCCGAAATCGTCCAAAACTCTGAAATTTCCTCAACTGACAATGAATGCGTCAGCAAAAGTTCCAAGACCTCTCAAACTACAAATCCACTCCAATCTCGGTTTGGCAACTCTCTGCACAGCATTTCGTATCTTTCACTGCGACTGCCGGTCATCCTCGTTAGGGCTTAGTATTACAACCCAGCTCAAAGTGCGTCAAAGATCAAGACGCGGCAATCTATAGTACATACCCTTTAAACAATTTTCATACTGTCTTATCTTCGACAACATAGGTTTCTCATTCCTACTCATGTGGCATTCCAACTCTTTCCATGAACCAAGGTCCTTGCTCAAGCATAGTCTGACCCTCTAGGTCCCCTTCTAAGCCACAATTCCCTATTTTTTCAAACTTAGACTCAACACGTCTTACAGAGAGAACCGCTTGTTTGCACCCTGCAGTGGGGACCAAAGATCTCAGGTAAGACATAGTATAACGCTGTCTTGTATGGTGATTGTTGTGTTGGACTCGGGCCCGTTTGTTTGTGGCTTTTCGTTTGGAAGCAACAAAACGCAATTCTGGCTGGGGAATTGCGGGGTCTTCGGTGGTCTTGTTTCACTGTTGTTTGCGTGCCCGACAGTGCAATCCTTTTGATCGCCTTTACGCTAACTGCAGGTTTGTTCCTCAAGTCAATGCCCTCGTAGCGTCTCACTCACTTTTTGTTTGATTTCAAGAACTGTGCCATCCGCATTACAGCCGCAATTCCGGAAAAAAACATGCACGGGCGCAGGGTTTCGGCACTCTAGCTTGCATTTTTGTCTTGGAACTCTACCTTGAAGTGCCTCCTCTTCCTCTCTCTCTGCATCCCCCTCTCACCTCCACCTCCACATTTTACCATTTCTATCCTGCTCTGCTTCTACTTTTTCAACTCTACTGAGTCTACTCTGCTCTGCTCTACTCTACTCTATACTATTCTGCTTTGCTCTCCTTTACCTCCACTCTGCTTTTACTTTTCATTTTGCCTTTGCTTTTATCTTTACTTTTACCTCTACTTTTTCTCCACTTTTACCTTTCCTTTTACCTACTTTTACCTCTGCTTTTCCTTCTACTTTACCTTCACTTTACTCGACTTTTACCTCTAATTTTATCTCTGCTTCTACCTCTACCCTACCTTTGCGGCCAGGCCCTGTGTGTTGCCCGGAAGTTTACAGGGACGTTCCCAGCAAATTTCATGATGATGATGATGATAATGATGATGATGATGATGATGATGATGATTGACGATCTTCAATGAATGTAGAAGTTCCACGGGGTGGGAAAATTAGACCCTTATTGAAGAATCTTCAATGAATGTAAGAGTTTAACAGGGGTGGGAGAATTAATTAAACCCTTATTGAAGAATCTTCAATGAATGTAGAAGTTTAACGGGGGTGGGAGAATTAAAACCCTTATTGAAGTTCTTTAATGAATGTAAGAGTTTAACGGGGTTGGGAGAATTAATTAAACCCTTATTGAAGAATCTTCAATGAACGTAGAAGTTTAACGGGGGTGGGAAAATTAAACCCCTATTGAAGTTCTTCAATGAATGTAAGAGTTTAACGGGGTTCGGAGAATTAAACCCTTATTGAAGTTCTTCAATGAATGTAAGAGTTTAATGGGGGTGGGGGAATTAAACCCTTATTGAAGATCTTCAATGAATGTAAGAGTTTAACGGGGGTGGGGGAATTAATTGTAGATCTTTAATGAATGGAAAAGTTGAACGGGGGTGGGAGAATTAAACCTTTATTGAAGATCTTCAATGAATGTAGAAGTTTTACGGGGGTGGGAAAATTTATATGAGATGTATAGTGTGAATGTGAACAAAAAAAACTTGTAATCTACGCTATTCTGGGCTTGGGCAACACACGGGGCCTGTGGGTACCTTTACTCTACCTCTACCCTGCCTCTGCACTACCTCTACTCTGCTATACTCTACTTCTACCTCTGCTCTGCTCTGCTCTACTTTGCTCTAACTCTAGCTCTAACCCTAACTCTAAGTGTATCTAAAAGTCTAACTCTAACTCTAGCTCGAGTTCTAACTCCCACCCTAAGTCTATAACTCTATAGTCTATAACCCTAAAATTCTAAAACCCTATATAGTAACTCTATAACTCTACAACCCCATCTCTAATTCTTGCTGTACTCTTCTGTGCTCTACCTCTGCCCTGCTCTACTCCAGGAACATGCCAGCTGGACTTAAAGATCTTTGAACGAATCTCTCTACTTCAGGAGAACATGCCAATTGGACTTAATGATCTTTGAGCGACTTCTCTACTTCAGGAACATGCCAGCTTGACAAAATGATCTTTGAACTACTTCTTTACGTGAGGAACATGCCAGCTGGAGAACTACTTCTCTACTTCAGGAACATGCCAACTGGAATTAATTCTTTGAGCGATTTCTCTACTTCAGGAACATGCCAACTGGACAGAATGATCTTTGAACTACTTCTCTACTTCAGGAACATGCCAACCGGAATTAATTCTTTGAGCGGCTTCTGTACTTCAGGAACATGTCAACAGGACTTAATGATTTTTTGAATTATTTCTCTATTTCAGGAACACCCCACCTAGACTTAATGATCTTTGTGCTAATTAGAATGTGAAAATCCGTAAGGTGGCGTTTTTCTACGAATTTTCTTTTGAACATTTGGGGCAGAGGCGAGGCGTCAGATTTCATGGCATTTACACATAACTGAAGTGGTTGAGGTGTAGGATTTGATACGGGGAAAAATGAAAAAACCATGGCCTAAAGTCCCAAGACAAAATGACACAGACTCATGATGTTCGTGGGCCACATTGGCCAAAAATCCCAAAAGAGTGATGTGAAAAGACAGTTTGTGAGTGGCGCAGTTTACCTTCAGAAAATGTGTCTGAATGCATTTTGCATACTCATTTTTTTTGGCGTGGTTTGAATCTGCAGGATGTTGGGCGGGTATTTTGTTGGTTGGCAATTGTTCCAAATACGTTTCACCAAACGAAGGGAACATGTTTTGGTCGCATTTTTTCGTAATTACTGTTTGAAACGCCGTTTTGGTTTGGATCGTGGACAAATCAATTGTTGGCCATTTTTTTTTTGTTTTGTGACATATTGATCATTTTTTTTAATTTTATGGTACCGTTTTTGTTTCAAAAAATGTCAGTCATGTTTTCATCACCCGACACATCTCACGAAAACATTCAACGAAACGATCGACCATTCAATCAATCTATCACTCCATCATTCAATCCATCCAACAAGGAACACATCAGCTCAACATGTCCAATCCATCAACCATCCGGCAGACCAATCCATCCAGCCGTCAACCGATCAATCAGTCAGTCCACGAATCCTTCAACTGATCATGCCTTCAACAATCACCCAATCACCACTAGTATACTGAGACCCCGTGGAGTCCAACAAAGATTTGGTGAGGACCCAAAAAATAAACCGCCAACGCTTCCACGGATTTTTGCGTTCTGAAAATGAGTGCAAAATTGCCCGTGTTGAAGATACGGAAAAAACATTGTGAGTCCATGGGGGTCCGTTGTCTCTGCTTGGCAAGGTCAGGTTCAAGGGTATCTGACCTTCCTGGTGGTCCAACATATTAACTGCTCTGAACACAATGATTTGTTGCCCGGGAAGGAAAAAACAAAACCTTTTCAGGACACGGAATGCCAGCTCACGGGATCATCTTGGATCCCCATGGTCGTTTCGGAAGTTGGATTTTTCTATGTCGCATCCTTGGTTTTGGTAAAACGGTAAAACCATGGTTTTTGTCGGTTGGGTACCTATGTCTTGGGATCATAGCTCCAAGTTCCTTCGGTGAAATTGATTTCAACGCTATCACTTCAGCCTTCGATGACTGAAAAAGGCCATGCTTCGTTGCAATTGCCGCCCACCGCTGCTTCCACCACCATCGACGATGATGTGCACCGTCACACAAGTCAGGACGGGGGTGCGTGGGTTTGAAAATAGGGGATTTTATCCCCAACTCCCCCACCACGCATGCATTTTCTTTTTGGGAAAATGGTGGTACACAATCAAATTAAGGGGCGTCCGCTCAATCTAAGCGGTACTCGTATGGGGCCAATATACACTAATTATCCACCCCCAAAAAAACATACAACCAATCAAGGGATGTATATAGTGGAGGATATCTGGAGGTTTGGTCAACGAAGGTTGGATTCCGTCGCTATAATTCATCAATGCTTGAATATGATACGCACAAATAGAACCGTACATGGTTGGTCACTTTGGTTACTGAATCATCCGTTGGGCCTGTTGGGGGTTGATTTGAGGCAGACTCATTGAGGCACCTGGGTTTTTTCGGACTGGTAAATGTTGGATTTTCTGTTACGATGATTCTAGCCATTCTGATGGAGGAATATTTTGCACCCTGCTAAAATCTGAGGTTGTCGATGAGTATGGTTCAAGATTTAGTATATGAATATGACTGTGGACATGATATGTAAGCGACAGGGGGCCTTAGCTAGTACAAGTATTGGGCACGAGCCAGATTTGATCAACAAAATATACTTTTAATTGAAACAAACATTTTTTTTTAAATGAACCATGGGGTTTCAAATGAAAACTACAATAATCCCGTTGATCCATGGAGTTTTCATGATCAACATCTGAATTGAAACATCCCATGGACATCATCAACAAACCTGCCTATGTCGAAATGCAGCGGATTTGCGAAGATCACCTGTGATATTTTGGGGTCGAACAGATGGGTATGAGTCATGGGTGGGGGATTGTTTCAATACTGAGTCATAGTCGTTCATGACGACTGGATGATTTGGGGGGTACCCCCATGACTTAGGAAACCTTCATATATATATACATAAATACACATATACATATCACTGTACCTGTACCTATACATACACATATACGTATACATATACATATACACTTATGACACAAGCATGGAGAGATCGGCAACACTAGGTTTCAACTACCAATGGTCTATAGCTGCTGAAAGATATTGGGGTTGTTCAGATTTTCAGAGCCTGAGCAACACAGATTTGACTTTGCAGCACAAAGTGAACAACTAATTAGCTGAGTTTTTACCAACCAAGAAGGGTATGCCGACCAGCGGAGATTGCACCCTTTCAATAATTTCGATGGACCGATACAGCCTCAACCATCAATAAGACCATTACTAATAGCATAGGTTCAGTTTGGCACAGTTGGTGTGTGTGTGTGTGCGTGAGTCTCTTAAACACAAGTGGAATCCGACCTGTAATATTTTGAAATCCCTGAAAATCTATTCTCCAACCAACATGACAGCGTTTCCATGAGTTTGAGTTGGGAAGAACTTTAAGGTTCGCCAGGATAATGGCAATATACGAACGTGTCAAAATTCAAGATCCCACAACCCACACATGCACTAGTCACTAGTGATTTCAAGTACACCTTCAAATTTCTCATGGAATCCCCAAAATGTGATCTGGAAGATGATTCCCCCCGCTACGCACTATGGAGCTGTGCCCAATCAGAAGCCTTTGATGGTTGAAATCTGACCAATTTCATGTCATTGGGGAGTGCGGCATTTTTGCTCAAGGGACCATGAAATTTCCCAACAAAGCACTGGATTGAGACGAAAACCGCGTGGGGTTTTCACCCCTTCCGCAAGCGTCCCAGGAGCCGTTGCGGGCTGCGGCTTCCTCGCGAGGTTGGACTCCATGGAGGTGGAGTTGGACAAGTTGGACGACAAGATCAGCGTCTCAAATTGACATGGCTGTGATCTGGGTGACCAAAGCTTCCAAGGGCAGCACCCAGTGGACGGACGATGGAACGCAACGGCAACTGAGTCACTATCGCTTCCGGAAGAAGATGAAACCTCTGACGGTGCTCATTAAGACCATCTACTTGGGTGGCTTGGGAGGATTCACGAATCTAGGTAGATGGGCCATGGAGATATACATTTCACTGGTTATTCTAGCCTCACAACTGGCTATGTACTTGGCTATTGACCTGGCCAGCGAACTCTGCCCATCTAAGTATGAGAAACTCAATTTTTTGACTCAGCAAGTATTCTGAATCTACAGTAAACTAAACATACAAAAACCTATTTTTTTTTTCCCACCAGAAATGTAGATGATTCCGATGAATATCATAGATTTTCCATGTATATATATATACACATGTCACATTCATATATAAACATACATTTTTTCATACATGTGTATACATATATATATAGAGTTTATGTATATATATAGTTTATATATATATATTATAATAGTGGTTAGTAAGGGAAATCAACGTGCAACAACGGCCTTAATTCAGGTTAGTGAAATATTATAATTTACCCATATTATATATATATATATGTAATATGGCAAACCAACATAGGTCTGGAAAACCCCAGGAAATCATGATCCCCAGTCGTCGGTCGGTGTCTTTGTGTTGAGGTCTGGCCTTCTTCGAAATTCCATCCTGGTGCCTGAACCGGTCCAGGACGTATTGCCTGGAACGCCAAGGGATGTATAGCTGGGGCATCCCCGAGTTACCATTTCAGGCGAGGTTTTGCCCATTTTTTTTGATTTTTTGTCAGTTTCGTTGAATTTCTTATTTTTTTTAATGTTTAGATTTTTATTCCAACATGTTTCCATTGAACGTATCAAGTTGTATCCTCGACACCCCAATTTTGTACAAGTTAAACTCCTACGACTTTGTTTCGAACTTCCCGAACTTCCCCCTGAGATCCCAGGCTTCTAATGCCATCGACATCTTTTGTCTCATCTATTTAGCACAGTGCTTCTGCCATAGGCCGGTCGGTTTTTTGGTGGGTTGAAACACCAGTTTCAATGTGATGTGAAAACCACCTAAATCTCCAGGAAAATTGGGATGTAACCAGCAAAATCATGGGTATGTTGCAGTCTTTTGCAGCTAAAGTGGCGTTTTTTTTTTGGAACAGATCCCTGCATCCCACGCCTTAGAAAATGATCTGTCAAATTTTCAGTCAAACCGCCGTCGAATTTGGAAATGGGTCCCCATTTTGGCTATTTCAAACATGACCAAACTGCAGGGTTGGAGATGATCGCACGGCTGAGTGATGGCGGCGAAATGTGGCCACGAAATGCCTGTCACGAAGTAAGATTTACCAGAAAATCCCTTAGCCATATTAAATACCACCCAGAAACCAGGTTTTTTTTCTAGGAGATTTACACATAACTCCATCTTTCCCCATATTTTCCCATGGTTTCTCCCGTTCCAGGCATTGGTCCTTAGGAAATGCCTCAAGAAGGCGATGTTGGCACGTGCTGCGCATCCTGCTGGTGCCCAAAAAGGGTCTGTTTTGCCATAAATTTATGGCACCTTTGGGGGTTACCCTCTGGTAAACTAACATAGCTATTGAAAATGGCCATTTATAGTGGATTTTCCCATAAAAAATGGTGATTTTCCATAGTTATGTTAGTTTACCAGAGGGTAGTTTACGATTTTTCCCACATAAAGGTGGCACCGGAATGGGGGTGATTGGATCAGCCTCCAATCAAACATAGCTGGAATCAGTCCAAAAAAAATCCGTCCACTGACCAGTTTGGGGATCTTCCTGGGGATGGAACAATGACCTCGTCCTGGATTCACTGGCATTCCGGTGAAGCAACTGGCAATGTCGACAGGGATCCTTGGGGATGGGGATTGAATCCCCCAAAAAATGGCACTTGATGGGGAACATGGTGATAAAACCATGTGGATTTCAGCATGCCGCGTGTTAAAAAAACCCCTGTTTTTGGCTTTTCGTGGTAATATAGAATCACCACGTCGAAGAAAATCGTGACGAGAGGTTTCCATCTGAGATTCAGAGTCCTTGGATGTGCAACCCAGCTCCCAAGGGGGTTCAGAATGGTTGCTTTCCCCAGTTTTCGGTCATCAAAAATCACGGCAGTTGAGTCTGAAAGTTATGTAAAACTGCAGGATTTTTCATTACCGAAGATCAAGAGAGTGGATTTCCAATTATTTCCCATTATATTTACGTACACTTGGTTGATTTATCTCAATTACATCCAAGTACACTACTTATTGATTATCAACCCCTTATATTTTGGTTGATTTATCCCCTAATATTGATTTCCCAACTAAATCACTATCTTATTCTCCAAAACAGTGGTCATCAGTGATCCCTCAGTCAGGTGCTTCTGGCACTGGTGGATTGTGGTGTTGCCGTCTTCAACACCGTTGGAATTGTGCCTGGCTCCTTTCGCGTTTGCCGCGTCTGTCGGCCATTGATCTTGATGTGTGCCACAAAGTTCCTGCGAAGGATGCTGATGCAATCTTGCTTGTGCTTAGTAGGGAATTTTCGGGAATGATCCACAACTATTAATCATCATCCCAGCAACCCCCAGCAACCCATCCAGCAACCCTACGTAAAACGCACCAGTAAGCAATTGGTGGGTGAACATGGGATGCACTGATACCCAGCAAAGCACGGGCAATTGGTGGTAAATCATCAGATCTCTGAAGAACTGGCGCGAAGTTCGGGGTGGATGTGGGGTGGATGTGGGGAAAAAACTCGGGGTTAGTTGCCACATTGAATATCCTTGGTTGGTTAGTTGGGGTTGGAATATACAACAGGAAACCCAAATAGTTTCCAAGGATATTCAATGTGGCAAAGCCAATTTCAGAAACCATCCCCAACATCACCATTTTCATGGGTGGTATAATAAATCATCCCCAAATGGTACTTGTTGATGGCATTGGGTTTGCCACATTATTGATCATTATTAACCCATATTCACCCATTATTGATCATTATTAACCCATTATCAATCATTGTTAACCCATTATGAATCACTATTAACCCATATTAACCATCATTAACCCAATATTGATCATTATGAACCCATATTTACCATTATAAGCGCACGATTTTTACCAAGATGAAACGACCGTTTGGCAGGACTTTGAACCGACTTTGGCTTGCATTTCTGGATTTCTGGACAGTGCTGGCCTCGCTCGCACCTCACCGCATTAAAGTGCTTTGCTCGTTGTGCTGTTTCGGAAAACCTATGGGTTGGCAGAACCGGAGTTTGGGACCAAAAGTGTGGTTCTACATTAGTCCCTTTTTAAACTATATTTTAAGATACAATGTATACTATCCACATAATAAATGTATATACATACATGTAATATAATGTGTATATACACGTAATATAATGTGTATATATATATATCATATATGTATGTATATATATATATACATAGATATCCAGTATCATATTTAAATCCCTATCCCAACCCCCAAAAAGACAAATTTCACCATCGAAAGTTCACAACGAAACCTTTGTTGAGGCCCTCTGCGTGATCTTCTTTGTTTGGCTGGGCTTGGTGATCTTCGCACGGTCCAAGGAGGGCCAGGACCACTTCGCGGACTGGTCCACGTCCCTGGCATCGCTCTGGATATTGTTCACCACGGCCAACTTTCCGGACGTCATGATCGATGGTGGGCTGATTTTTTGAGATTTTTGGAGTGATCCTATCACTATCAATGTGAGGCCCCCAGTTATAAGTTGGTTTATAAGCCCCAGTAACTATAGTTATAAGTACCATAAACCATAGTTATTGGAGTTATAAACCAACTTAGCTATCTTGGGGGCCTCACATTGTAGGCTCCTAGCCTCTGGTAAACTAACAGGTTAATGTTGGTTATTGGTGGTCCGTTTAGAGATGATTTAGCGATTAAAATGGTGATTTTCCAGGCTATGTTAGTCTACCAGAGGGTATATATTACTAGACATAAGTGAAGTGCATATAGATCATATGTATGATATCTATGTGTATGTTCACCCTCTGAGATTTACCGAAGTGCTTTTTTGCAGCTGCATGTATCCATATATGTGACATGATAGGTTTTCACAGCTGCAAATACATATAGGATCTTTGTGCGATATCTATTCCAATTGGTTTCTAAGTCGTAGGTCTGCCAACAGATGGACCCATTCCAACCATTTCGAGTTTGATGATTTATGATAATCATTATGACAATGATGAGGACTACAATGATGATCACAACAAAAATCGCAATGACGATGAAGATGATGACGACGACGATGACGATGACTTTGGCCGCAACGTATTAGGGAGCTTCAACCAGCACAAAAATAGAGAGGAATTCAACCGACAAAAAGAGAGGTATTCAACCACAAGAATCGAGTTTATTTTCTCATGGTTTTGATGAACCAAAGTCATCGGTGTTTCACCCCAAGACAAATAAACAGGCTACAACAACCTCCGAGTGTCCTTTTTCTTCTTTTTTTTCTATTTGGTGATCTCCCTCTACTTGCTGAACAACATCCTGTTGGCGGCCGTGTATGACGCCTACAAAGTGCAACTGCGTGTGCAACTGCAGACCTTCTACCGCAAGAAGGTCCGGTTTTTGATCGGGACTGATGGGCGGATCCGCCTATATAGATCCGCCTACTCTTCAGTACTGACATACTCTGCAATGCACGTGGATGGTAGATGGTTTATCCTATCATCATTCCCATGATTTAATATTATTTATAGTGTTTCATAGGAATCCCAATAGTTAGCAACCTGTCTAGGATTGTGGAACCATCCACGGTACCAATTGTACAAATCATCAAGGTCATGTGGACAAAAAGGGTGTAAGAATTTGAGACCAAGAGGGCCATAGATTTGGTACCCAATGTTTGACGAATTTGTCCCATGTCGCCCATATATACACGGCTAACCACATACAAGTACATTATGTATATACATATTCTATGTACCTTTTCATGCAAAATATTGAACATATTCTATATGTTACATTGCATAATAATATCTACATGCCATCACATATATATATATATAATATATATATATATATACATATATATATATATGTGTACATGTGTGTTAATATATGTATGTATATAAAGATATATGTACACAGGCAGCCGGTTGGAAGACTCTTCAGGCGCATTCCATCGAGCGTGCCTTCCGTCTACTAGCCACCTCTCGCGTTGAGGAGGTGGCCATGACAAGGCATGCCAGGTTTCAGGCCGGAGAGGAACGACTTGATGTTCCTGTGGACTTGATGGGATTTGAAGCAAAGATGGGAATTCTTCATGGGATTCAACCAACCAAAACGGGGAAGAAAAGGGGGATTTATCAACGAACAGAAATGGGGATGAATGGTTACTGGTCTGGTCATTTAGTGGAAATATGGGGGATGAAGATGGATGAATGAAACATGATGACATGATAATTCATGAGGTAAAACCTACAATTAACGGCGAGACCAACTGACAACTCAACCTAGCTATGGCAGCTATGGAATATCCCCCACTTTTAATAGACATATGATCATACCAACTGGACCATAGCTTTCGTAGCCGTTTATTGAATGGGGGCTTCAACCAAAATATCTGATTTTGGGTTGGTTTCATAGACATTACCATCGAAAATTGCCAACAAAAAGGGATCAGGTTTTTCAAGAAAACTGGGGGGTTTCACCAGCCAAAATGTGGCATTTCATCCAGAATCAGCAGCAAAGGGGAACATGTCTTTGAGCAGAATGGTACTGTCATCGTTTTCCTCGATGTTTTTCGTTTTTCTACAACTGTCAGTGGGGATATGGCCATGAGTCAAAACCCTGGCACTTTTTTAACCATGAAATAGATGTTTCATGGATGGGCCATATGATGTGTTTATAATAGGTTTTGACCCATCCCCATATGATGTGTAAAGAACTTCGATTACTTTCTAGAAGAGTGGGTACGGGTATATTTACCGAGAAACAACTTCAGCGGGTTTTTTTCAACAGATTTCGAATTCAGGCAATTCATCTGTTCCAATCCAAGCTGGGCAATCTTACAACCCAGAAGTTTTCAACAGAGATGGGGAACTTTGCGACCATCCGTCGAGATGGGATGGAACATCCAGCCATACAATGGAAGCTATGTGTGCACTGTGGTATAGCAGGGTTTTAACATATGTTTCTTGGAGATTGTTCATATAGGGATAGGTCAGTGCCTTCAGTGCCAACAAAATGGAACAATCTGAGACTGATGGAAAGGTGTGGGCTGGGGAGTTTCACACTTTTGACCAACCATGAGCTCCTTTGATATACCAATTCTGTCCCAGTACCCCACTAATTTTGTTTGGCTGGCTACTGCCCCCTAAAATGCCTAAAATGTCCCAGCCCATTTGTTTCTTCCGCTTCTGAAGAAAGAGACAATACATGCTGTGGATTTCTGTAAGGCCTCAGTTTCTTCGTCCAAAACATATGCCTGAAAGTACGGTACTCTGGGACCTGACACCGAGTAGTCTATCATCATTTCTGCCAGTAAACATGTTATATAATGTGGTCAACCCGATTATAAACCAACCCAAATAACATCGTCAAATGAGGGGTACAAGCATCCCGAAATGGTCCTTGCTTATGACATTTTGTTGTTTACCACATTGCTTAAAATGGATAAGTGCTATGTTCAGACTCATCCACTTCGTACACCCAAGAGATATTGCCCTCTGGTGATTTAACGCAGCTATGGAATCACATTTTTTTGTTTGACAAATCATCTTATTTTTATCATCTATTTTGCAGGGGCCATGGCTTCCGTAGCTATGTCAAATATATTCCCCATGATATCCCCATGATATCCCAGAAGAAAAACACAATTTTCGTGCGTCAAAACACAGGATCCTCCCAGCTCCCCAGCATCTTCCGGGGCCGCCCGGTAGGACGGGGACGGCGACCCCCTGCAGAGTGACCCCCTGGGGATCGACTTCCAAAAATGGATGGCGTTCTTCACCGCCTACTGCGCGGCCACTACGGGGGACCTCCGCAGCCTGCGGGACCAGCAGTTCGTGCAGCAGCAGGCGGTGCAGACCTTTGAAGCGTTGGATACCGATGGGAGTGGCATGATTACCAAGGAGGAGAGACGGGGGAGCTGAGGCTGCAAAACCCCTGATTATGGTTGATTTTGGTTGGGGGGTGGAGGTTTTCAACATGGATTATGGTTTAACATGGTTTAACCCATCAAAGGGTTTAATCATGTTTCTTGACTGTATGTAATGAGGGCCCGAACACAGGCGGTGGTTCTTATGGTTCCGGGGCACAAGATCCGCAAATCATCCGCTGTGGCACAGCCCACAGCCTTCAGGAGTTCAAGTTGGTGGTGCATGTGCTCTCAGATCCCCAGGTCTACATTCCCTTGCGTCCAATCCCGGAAGTCGGGAGCACTGGTTGGGGACGACACTTGCGGAAGATCTTCAAAGAAGGTCTACCCCTCTGTGGCCGAAGACTCCCCTGGTGGGTGTTGATTGATTTGGTGGTTCTCTTGGAGATCGCCTTGGCGTTTCTTCAGACCTGTGTTTTCGTCTCTCCACTGGGTGGTAAATTCAATGATCAGCCCCTGTTGCCAGGGAGCGTGTGGTTTCGATTGCTGACCTGCACCACCGTCATCTTCTTTCTGGATGCTCGGATGATTCCTGGGTCGACGTTCGGTCGGGTCCTCGAAAAGCACTGAAAATGCTGTAACAAATGGTTGTATTGGCTTTTGGACCACACATGATACATGTTGGTGTTCGGGTTGGTGTTCGGGTTGGTGTTCGGGTGCTCATATTTGTGGGGTGATTAAAGTATAATTGTACTGAAGAACCAAGCAATGAGTTTTTTGGTCATCGCTCAAGTAGTGTTGATGCTAGTGGGATTCAACCACCCCCGAGGTCGGCAGGCCCCCCTTTAAAAAGAATCGATGTTTTTCTGGCCCGAAACATCGACCCAAACACATGATCTCCCATTCTATCGAATTGCCCTCTGGTTATTTAACATAGCCATGGTATAGATGGCCCATTTATGGATGATTTTCCCAGCTATAGACCTCCATTTATAAGCGATTTTCCATGGCTATGTTGAATAACCAGATGGTAGATCCCACAATAGATGGTTAATAATGTTAATAGAACATCAGAATATTCCACAAATACATCCCATGATGCCACAATGATCTCTCTCGACATCACCGGCGATCTCTCCGATCGCTAGGACACGTCTTTGCGCATCGTCACCTTTGGAGCCGAACGCTACTGGAATCGAAGACGCTTAAGGCATCGCTTCGATGTGCTGAGCATTTCGGCCTTGTGTGCCATGGAGATTGCAGTCTGTTGTTTCCACAGCCCTCCTGACTATCTGCTGCGAACTGTTCTGGCGCAACTTGCCCTTTAGGGCGGATTCGTGTTTTGTTGTGAAATTCTTGCCATATTTTTGGCGATACCCCATTGAGAAATCTGTACGCTGAAAATGATCTTTTCCATGTGCGAAGTTTCTGGCTGGTCTTTTTTCCTGAATCGCAACTGATCCGAAAATGGCTGGTTTTCAGGAAGGAATGATGGATGGTCACTAGGAATGTGGATCCATCACCAGGCATCAGTAGCTTGTACTTGGCTAGTGGCTTAGTATCTCCAAGCAGTTGAGTTCTACCTGGAATTGATCATGACAGAGAGCGAAAGGGTCAGTGTGATCCCAATACATGATATATAAATTCCATAGGATTCGCAACCAATTCCCCAAACATCAATCATATATATATATATAATATATATATACTATCCAGAAAAAACATGCATTCCATCCACATCTACATTGAGGAAAATCAATGCAGTGTAACGGAGCCTTTTTTAAGCACCCATTTGGGAATGGTAACCATACCACCTATAAAAATGTTGAGCCACAAAAATAGGATTATGGGATATATCATGGGATGATAATTGTAAATAATTGTATATCTAATGGGATAAAGATTATGGGATACATCTATTTTTTTTTCCCAAAAGTGTTTTTTTAATCGTAGCAACCACCTTGAATCCACCTTTAATCGAGGCTGCATATTTCTCGGGGTCTCTGCCTCACTCAGCATATTCAGCCCTTGCGCTATCTGGCGGCTTTGGTGGCTCACCTCGTTCCAGTTTACCACCAGTTAGGTGGGGAAACATCTGGAGATCGTTTCTGCGTTTCTGAGGGACCATCCAATAGCCACAGCAGCTGGTGTTTGCCATAGCCGCTATGGACCAATTGAGTCGAAGATATCGTACCTGGAGTTAGTGTAGATGTGAGGTTTCATATGGTTTCAATGTCTCAATATGACAATCCCATTCGTATGATATCTATTCTATTGGTTGACATTCCTATTCTCGGTGGGTTGACACTACAAGAGCGTTGTCATCATAATGACAACATCAATGATGACAATGCCAAACATGATGATAGGAGTAACCATTATGATATCAATGATAAGACTAGACCGTCAAAAAAATAGTGATAAAACTGATGATAAGGATAGTGATGAAAATAATGACAAAAACGATGATAATGATAATAATGATTATAATAATGATAATAACGATAATCATGATAATAATGATAATATAATAATGATAATATTGATAATATTGACAATATTGATAATGACAATAATGATGATAATGATGATAATGATGATAATGATAATGATAACAATGAAAATCATGAAAACAAAGAAAATAATGATAGTAATGATAATAATGATAATAAACGATCAGAACGATCATAACCATCATAATGATCATACTGATAATGAACATCATGATAGTGATTTTATGTAACGATCGCCCAAGAAATCAGAACTGAAACTGCTGATCCTCATCTTTTTTTAAACATGTGGGAGAGGCTTCCTGCTCTTCCTGGTCTACTATGTCTTCGCCACCATCGGCGTCCAGATTTTTGGGGGCCAGATCTATGAGGGCAACCCGAAACTGGACGGCAGTGCCTTCGCGGAGGGCGCCTATTGGAGTCTGAACTTCAACGACTTCCCCTCCGGACTCGTCACCCTGCTCCACAGCCGCGATTTTGGTGAAAATCCATGGGTTTCAGCGTGGTGAACCACATGGGAACATGGAAAGACGCCACTTTCGATTTTTTCATGGGGACAAGGCCACTACATCCAGCTTTGAAGAACTTCGAATCCGAAAACGTATCCACCTTGTGATGTGTCTTGCTTGTTTGATCTGAAACTGACGCTGGAAGCTATGGAAACTGTTCCATGCCCTGCAACAACCCAAAGGTTTGCCATTACAAGCATGAGAACTGCAAAACAATGATAAACCCAGCCTTTCATGTTTGATCTCTTGGGGAACAACAAAGGATTTGGTGATTTTGGGTTAACATTTTCAACAACGTCCGTTCCTTAGAAGAAACCAGTGACTCCGCAGGAACCTATGGCAAACCATAGATAGAACAGGTGGACATCTGGAAATCATGAAAAGTATCATCTATTCACATGGAAAGGATCAGCATTTTTTTTGCACAATAGGAATTTCAATCGACAATACAATAAAGCACCAAGTTTGGAGGGCTCAACCTCCAGGAAAAAAATTGGCCGCCCAGGTTTTGTTTGATGGTGGTCAACAACTGGTTCGTGGTGGCAGATGGCTTTTTGCGCGTCACCAACAAATCGGCCTCCATTTTCTTTGCGCCCTGGCTTTCAGATGCTTTCAGATGGGGCATCCCGGCAATCCGTGCCAAAGTTGCCCAAAAATGGCTGAATCATGGAGGAATTGTGAGAATTTTTTTCTGTCTCTTTCTGGAGATGGGCAACTCCTTGACTTTTTTTTTGCACCTTGATTCATTTTCCTTGATTCATAGCATTGGAACAGTAAAATGGGGTCCCTTTCGAAGCCTATCCTAGAATTCCACGAACTTTCTTGCACAATCAACCTTGAAAGACGAGTGGGTTGATCAGTTGAAGCTATTGATAGTTACGTCATGAAATCTGGGAGATTCTTGATATCCTCCTCCCTTAAAATCTTGTTTGCACAATCTTAACTGTAATCGTAGATGCAACCCCTGAACAGAGACGCATCGGATTTTTTGTGGGGCAAAAAACATTCTCATGACATCCTGAACAACCTTTTTGATATTCTGATAATCAATCGGTACCTTTGCCAAAGGCTTCTAATTTATCCAATCAGTTCTACATAGGTCATTGGCTGATCAGAACTTTATCAGTGGGCCTGGTGCACATTCCCACAATATCCCACAATAAACTCTTCCATAGTGCGACGTGGATGCTGATAGTTAACATTTTCATGATCAATTTATCTAGTTGACACACATTCACCAAAATTGACAGCCGGAATGAATCTCGATCATCCCGAAATTGGTGATTCTCTTGATTTCTATGTTTGCGTACCAGAAGGTGTTTTTATTTTTGACTTGTAGCCAGGTGCGTTTCTGCAGCCAAAACGATTCCATTCGTGGTAATGGTGGGATGATCAAATCCAATTTTATCCAATTTCTGCTGCAAGAAATATCATCAAATCCCTATTTTCATCCATTTTGCTTGGTGGCAGTCTCTTTTTTGGTCTCTTTCTTGGTGATTGCCAACATTTTCATGGTTACCCCCTGGTTATTTAACATAGCCATGGTATAGATGGTCCATTTATATAGATGGTTTACCGAACTTAAAAATGGTGGATCTTTCCATGGCGAACTGTGAGTCATAACCAGAGGGTACATACATTTTGTTTACTGTAAATCCCTCAAGTCTCCTGAGAGATCAACGGTGTTGGGGGTCTGGTCTCCAGCTTGAGCCGTTCGCCGCTGGGGCGCTTGTAGCGGCTACAACTACCCTCTGGTTATGACTCACATAGCCATGGAAAGATCCACCCTTTCTAATAGGTAAACCATCTATAAATGGGCCATCTATACCATGGCTATGTTAAATAACCAGAGGGTATAAGTGGGACTGAATTCTGACTATGCTTGGTTTCTGACTCAGCTGATTTTCCAAGTAATCAGCCACATTTTCGTGGATTACAAACCCTGATTCCACTTGTGTGCCATTTCTCTTGACTTGAAACCGCATCTCATTTCTGTGGCAAATGCTTAAATACCAGTTCTTCTCTCATTTGGGAGACCTCAAAACAGGTTTAGTATACCTTTAAGTTAATATACCATTTTATTGGCCATGAACATATCATATATATATATTATCATATATATATACATATTAATATTTTATTGTCATATATTAGTATATATATATATACACATTATCATATATTATCAACTATACATATATATATATTATTAATAAATACATTAATATACTTTTTTTGATATACCATTGAATGATCAAAGCAACAGGTGAGTTTAGTGCCGTTTAGCGTCGTAACTGCTCAGGTCTCCGCCGAAAATTCTGCGATATTCACTGGTGAATCTCCTTGTTTTGTGACCACCAACATTGGATGATTTTATATGGTACTTATATATAAAAATAAAAACATATATATATATATATCTCTATATCTACATGGTGTACATATCCTATACATACATAATATATATATATATATGGTTTATATATTGTATATATATAATATATAGAGCACATATTCAATCCTCATCACTTTCCTGCGTTTTTTCATCATCTAGATGTTCACTAGAGAAGTTTTCATCAGGTCTCTTTCTTCGTGATCACCAACCTGGTGGTGCTGAACATTTTGATGACGCTGATTTTGGAATCCTCCGCCGCAGTGCAGCAGGAGCTGCAGGCGAAAGTCCCCGACGTGCCGGACGACTCGGCCGACGCGCCGCAAAGGACCTGGAGCCGAGGCAAGGTGGGATGGACTATATCTACATGTAATATATATATATGTACTACGCGCAACGCCTGGGCTTTGCCCAGGCGTTGCAGTGTAGAGGGTCCCCATTCCCAATCAAATGTTGTTGCAACTCTGCATTCCATTGGGAAGATCAACAAAGGTATTAGGGAATATTTAAGTCCCACTCCCGGTAAACTTTACATTCATTGAAGATCTTCAATAAGGGTTTAATTCTCCCACCCCGTTAAACTTCTACATTCATTGAAGTTCTTCAATAAGGGTTTAATTCTCCCACCCCCGTTAAACTTCTACATTCATTGAAGATCTTCAATAAGGGTTTGATGATTATGATGATGAAGATGAGGATGATGATGATGATGATGATGATGGTGATGGTGATGGTGATTGTGATGGTGATGGTGATGCTGATGATGATGATGACGATAATGATGATGATGATGATGGTGATGGTGATGATGATGATGATGATGATGATGATGATGATGATGATGATGATGATGATGCGTTGCCTGTCGAGGTTGCGGTTCCGGGCAAAGCCCAGGCATTTGCCGCATATATTTGAAGCAAACCCGTTTGCGTAGGACAAAGTAGGAATTCATGTTGGAGGTGGTGTAAACTTTGTATATACGTATGCCATTTTGGCTACAAGTTTCCCAATGTAGGTGAGGTTTGGGATTTTGGTCTATCCAATGCCCGCGAGTGCCTTGCCTGGTGCTACGGATTTACAGGGTGTTGCTACGTTGGATGATACTACGTGGCTTCCTTCATGTCGGGGACGACGTGTGGGGCGCGATCATTCACCAGGCCGGTGATCCTGGACCTCACATTCGAGTTGTAGCTGCTCTTCCTCCCCAAGTCGTCGTGCAGAGCTCGGTGTCAGCGACGCTCCCCAACGGAGACAATCTGACAGCGGTGCAAGCCACTCATGTGGGGCTGCTGTGGCGGACTGCAAGGCATATTATGGTCCATATTTGGGCAGGGCTACCTGAGGCTGACTTCGTGGATGTGGACCCTTGGGCAGTGGTCTCTGGAGAGGGGGGAGCCAATAGACTCGAGCTGACGATCAAACTGATGGTGCGGCCAGCGGGGGACAAGTTAAAGAATGTGTTCTGAAGATGAGTTCCCTGCTGGATCCAGGGGATGACTCGGAGCTCATCCCCGCTTCAAGGGAACAAATTGACACGTGGCTGACCTCTTACGTGTCTGTCATGGGAAACTTACCGTTGGAAGAAGAGGAGCCGAGTGAGGCTCAATTGGCAGCGCTCCACAAAAGGGCGTTCGTCCTGAAGGGAACTCCATATTGTGACTTTGCAATTTGGACGCCTTTTTCGAGGAAGAATTTGAAGCTGCAAAAGTTTAGAATGTATGTGCCTCTTGGCGACGGTTCGTACTTAATGAAGGAGCTGCCGGGACCTCAGAACTTCCAACAGTGGAGCTCGTCCTGGAGGGTGTTTCGAACGGCCGCCGTACTGCTGGGCATTTCAACGTTGGCAGTGTTGTTGCAGTATGAGAAAACCTTCGAACGTTTGGTTATTCAATGGCCTCGCTGTTGGGGATTGATTGCATATGCGGAGGACAAGGCGAGATGTGAGAAGCTAGACAAAATCCGTCGCAAACTACAGCAGGACAACTTGGCAGGGCGAACCATGCCAAGTGACTGGTCTGAAGCCAACCCTTGGAACGCTTGCTTGAGAGCCCTGGCCACCGACGAAGACTACTGGAGTGAACAAGTTCGTCATCCAGCGGCTGCGTGGACGGCTTTCGGAGGGCGTGGAACACCTATGGCCCCTGCTGAGCAAGCGGCTTTGGTCCATGCTCTGGGAGGGCAGAACATAGAGCTTGAACCGGAGGCCAGGACGGATGATCGAAGGAAACAGTCCAACCGAGACAGGAGGGCAGCAAAGGTGCGTGGGCAGGTCGGGAGGAGTTGGTCTTTCCACAAACGTGGAAAGGCTTCTGACAACTCCGGCGGAGGACAAGATAAAGGAAAAGGTAAGGGCAAGTCTAAAGACCAGGCTGGGACTCAGATTTGCTACTCCTTCGCCAATGGTTCTGGCGTTTGCGGGTCAGTGGAGCCTGGTGCAACTTGCCTGCAGAAGGTGAAGCGGGCTCACAAGTGTCAATACTGTTTGTCGCCAGGTCACAGAAACGCTGATTGCCCTAAAGGGGGGTTGATGGACCATCGAAGCAATCGCTTCCCTGTCAACCTGGTTTTCGTTTGAAAAGAGAATGGGCAGTGGGATTTGGTTTCTGTATGTGTTTTGGTGTTTAACTTGTGTGTTCTGGGATTTGTTGGTTGAAGTGTCGCTGTCAGGTTCAAGATGCTGAGCAGCAGCAGTGAGTCGGAAGACGTCCCCGCCGATGGCGCCAATCAACAGACGGCGACCAAGGAGGAATCCGAGGACGATAGAGAGGTGGACCCTGAGTGGAGAAAAGTCAAAACTGAAAATGAGGAGGACGAGGAGAAGAAGCAGGAAGACGCTCCTTGGATTCCGATCCGGGTGACGGAAGCTCTGCAGGGGTCAAAGACTTTTAAAGAGTTCATGGAGAGGCGGAGATTCAACTTCCTTCACATGTTTAGCGGGTCCATAGATGGATTGGGCGAAGCGGTTTCGAGGATGGCGGAGCTGCAGGGCATCAAGGTCAGAGTGGTCGCGTTGGACAAGAAGCGGGGCATGAACCTTGCAGAACCTCAACCGTTCAATGACTTTCTCGAGTTAGTGAGAACGGGTGAGTTCGATGCGGCCCACTGTGGCTTCCGCGGCAGAAGCTTCAACCGGAGAAGATACAGAGAAGGCTCGGGAACGGCACCAGTGAGATCTAGCCAATGGATCTATGGCCTGCCGTCGAATGACAGGGAACAACAAGCCGAAGCCGACTTGGGCTCGCTGCTCGCTATCAGAAGCGTGCAAATTTGTTTCAAAGTCAACTAAGTCAACGGCTTAGAAGGGTTCCTGATTGTGGAACACTGGAAAACCCGTGTCGGATGACCTCAGGAGAGGGGACTGCGTGGTGCCTGCCCGAGGTGGACAAGTTCATGAGCGACTTCGCCTGTGAAGCTGTAGACTTCAATGCTTGCGGTTTTCAACAAAAGGAAAGATCAAGAAACTTGAAACAGGGAAGAGTTGGGGGAAGTTGACAGGGATGAAAGCCTTGGGACGTAAGTGTAATTGCCCCAAATTCTTCAAACACGTGCACCATCATATGGAGGCCAGATACCCGTATGAATTTTGCATTAAGTATGCAAAGTTGTTGATCAAGAGTTTTCGCATCGTGTTGGACTTGGAGTGGTGGCGGCATCAACAAAAGGTGAAGGGCGCCGACTCAAACTCCGTGAAGGAAAGGTGGGCTGCGTCAAAGGAGAGGCTGGCCATCATCAAACCTGTGGGGAACGAGATCATGAAATAGTTACTGTATAAGGGCGTCAAAAGAGCTTGGGACGCCGAAGACGCGGAGATGGACATTTTTCCTGCACAGCCGAGGCCTTCCAAAAGGGTAAGGCTTGAGAAGGAAGAGCGCAAGTTCTCGGGGGGCATGAGGAACCCCGCCCTGGCCCTCAGGCGTCTTGCGGGCTTGAAGGAGGCGGGAAAGGATGTATCTCGGATGTGGAACAACTTGGTGACGGACAAGCCGGAGGCCTTGGAGGTAGCGGCCCTGTATTGGACGAGGGCGTCCTCAAGGAATGGAGCGACAGGTTGGTCAAACTATGGAGGGTTGAAGGTGATGCCAAAGTGGACTTGCGGGGCAAGCATTTGTTTGCGCCGCCCTTGCAACCTCAGTTCTGGGAGGCCTGGAGAAAGTTCAGCGGGGACCCGGAACCCTGCTTGGCAAAATGGGCGAAAGACGGAGCCCCGTTTGGCATGTCATCGGGGACAACGGGATTGGCTTGCAGAACTACGGCTCTTTGGCAGACAACCCTGAGAATGCCCTCGTTCACATTAACATCAACCAAATGGTCGGCAAGGGCTTTGCCGCCGTCATGAGGAAGGAGGAGGCATGCCAGAGTTTTTCACAAGGGTCGAGATTACAAGATGTTCTCGTGCGGACGAAGATCGATCCCACAAATGACGCCACAGAACACCGCATCATCATCGACCCAAGATGGCCGAAAGGAAATCGTGGTGCGACGTAACGGAGAGGATCATGCTCCCACGGGTGGTGGACATCCTCAAGGGAGCGCAAGACATGTGGAGGCACAGGGGCGAAGCGGCGGACAATGCAGACTTTCAAGTCGAGTTGGTGCGGTGCGTGTGGGATGACCCGTACAATCAACTGGGAGCCGCCACGGCCGAGCAGGAGCACTGTTTGGCGTTGCACCCCAATGGAGAGAGCATCATCCTTTTTAAGACCGTGCTCTACGGGTTTGAGGCCACCCCATTGATTTTGGGACGCCTTTCAGCTACGGTGGGGCGAATGTGGCAAGCCTTTCTGGATGATCACCAAGGGGCGGTGCAGGCACACATGGAAGAGCAGCTGGTCATGATACAGGGACCAAAGAAAACGAGGGACACCTTGGTGGCTTTGTTGGTCTACACGGCGCGGGTTCTCGGCCTGAACTTGTCCTATGAGAGGGGCTCCCGTGGAAGCCGGACAAAGTTGATGGGGATGAACCTGGCAGTCGACTTGAAAGCGAAGGAAGTGGTGATCGACTTTCCCAAGGAGATGATCATGCAGTTGGTGGAATACCTCAGATGGTGGAAGGAAAGAATTCCAGTAAGAGAGCTCAGATCGGTCGTGGGCAAGTTGAGCGTTTTGGCAGGAGTCATCCCCAGGATCAAATGGATGGAAACCAACTGTTTCAAGGTGATGGTGAATGCAGAAGAGGAGATGAGCATCGAGAGGGAGCAGGGGCTTTCTAGCGGGCACAGCTAGGTCTGGTAGACAGTGCAACGTTGGAGCTTGAAAAGAGGTGGCTCTTGGCCTTCTTGGAGGGGGAAGGTGTGCCTCTCTCACCGGCGCCGCCTCAATGGGCGCTGACGTTGGAGGCTTCCCTCTTCGGCATGGGTGTGATTTTGTCTGAGGTAGACTTCTCGACGGGCCAGATCAAACCCACGGTCGCGCTCGAAATGAAAATTTCGATTAGCATGGCGACGGCCTTGGGAATTCAGTTCAGAGAGGCCATGAGCAAAGTCTTTTGGGAGGCACGGGCCATCCTGGTGGGCTTGCGCTTCTGGTGTGCAAAGGTGCGAGGCGCCGCCGACAGCACGGTGGCCTACGTGCAGACGAGGCGCTTAGAAGTAGACACTCCTGCCTTGAAATGGGTGGGCGCGGAACTGAACCTCAATCGGAAGTGTGGCAAGTGGCAGAAATCATCCCTCACCACTTGCCCGGTCGCTTAAAGAAGGGGGCTGACTGTCCAGGCCAGATTCAAGGGGGGCAATTGGTCGGGCTGACGCTTGGGCGCTGGAGACGTTGTTGCCCCCCTCCGGGCCAGGACTCATCGCTTTGGGGCCAAACCGCCCGAGTAAGCAGAGCTTTTGTCAACCTGTGAAAAGAGGAAGTTCAGGACGGTTGTGGTTGAAAATGTTTGATGGTTCACATAGATTTGTGTCCCGCAGCCATTTTTCATCTCAAAATGGAGGTGACAGTGTACTCAGAGGTCGAGAACGACCAACTGACATGGGTATAATTAGGTTTGGTTGGTTGTCTCTTACTGGGGCCTTCATGCTTCACATGGTGTTGCTATACCTGCCTGCAATGCGGTCGGGCGCGGTGGACCACCAGAGGGAGCATTGGAAGGGTGCCATCTTGTGTGTCAAAAAGTGTCCAGATTCGGGAGCGAGTATCTCATGTGACAGGAGGGGGCAGCACTCCCATCGGACACCGTTTCGATGGAGCACATACACCGAGAAAAAGACGTGGGGGCGTGGTTGATGTAGAACATGCACCGAGAGAACATACAAAAGCAAGTGCGGAATGCAGAACGGATCTTAAGACACATGGCCGACAGGGCCCAGCCTGAAGGACATGGAAGTCAGGAAATTGGGCCGGGAAACTCAACAAGGCCAGAGATCAAACCCACACGAACAAGAATGAACTGTAAGGCAACTGCGGAGGACAAGCTCAGGGTGCAAAATTCCGTGACCTCTTCCAGGACTGACACCAAACGATGAGGCAGGGGGTACGGTACATATGTGTGAATGGCAAAATGACAGAACCTACGGCCGAGGCGTCATAGGCGCAAAGGTGATGGACAGGTGGCTTAGCGATGGGATGACGTCCTTCATGTCGTGTCGCCAAGTGCTGGCTGGGGGGAAAGCTGACCCTTCCAGACACATTGAACATACAAAAACAATCCTCGGGCTTGACGGAATGGACTGCGTTCGAGTGGCGGTCGTAAATGTCGTCTGTTTATATGGGTGTGTCTTTTAGGTGGCGACAGCAGAACGTGTGTCTTCCGTTCGACAATGTACTCTGTCGTGAGTGGAGATTGCACAGACCTAGTCAGAATGGCCATCTGTGCAGGACAAGGCGATGGGCAACTTCTCGAACTGAGTATCTCAAATATTTTAAGAACTTTGTCTTCCATACCATCCCTTAATTTCAGGTTCACACTCGTGTGCATCGAATCCGAATGTCTCTACGATTATGGAGAATACCTGACAGTTCAACGTTGGCAGCTTGGAGCATCTATGAAGGTACTTCGTGGACTTGCCTCAGATCTAAGATGTACCTTACCTTGTTGGTCTTTACGGTGAAGCAGGCGCGACAAGTCAGAGAGGCAGAAAATTGCGCCAGCATCCAGTGAAAGAAATGGCCAAAATGAAAAGGGTCAATGCACACGAGACATCAAATGTGATGTCAAATCCACCAATGTGCAAAAAGATTAACCTTGGAGGGAGGGCGGGTTTGAAAGATGAGAACCGGAGTTGTCATATATATATATATAGATAGATAGATAGATAGACACACCTATATTGATATTTATCTATCTATCTGAATTATCTATCTATCTATCTGAATTTTCTATCTGCCTGAATTATCTGAATGATCTGAATCATCTAAATCATCTGAATTATATGAATTATCTGAATTATCTGAATTATCTGGATTATTCTGGATTATCTGGATTATCTGGATTATCTGGATTATCTGGATTCTCTGGATCATCTGGATTATCTGGATTATCTGGATTATCTGGATTATCTTGATTATCTTGATTATCTGGATTATCTGGATTATCTGGATTATCTGGATTATCTGGATTATCTGGATTATCTGGATTATCTGGATTATCTGGATTATTTGGATTATCTGGATTATCTGGATTATCTGGATTATCGATCGATCGATCGATCGATCTATCTATCTATCTATCTATCTATCTATCTCCAATAGGGTTGTTTCATATTGATCTTGCCAGGAGACCTGGTGGTATTCTTATTTGCTACCCAGCATTGCCCATGGTATCCACATTTTTTTTGTTATGTCACCATTTCCGTGGCCAAAATTGTGTGGAAACCCATTCGCTGGTAAGAATCTAATGCTTTAATTTGCTTCAATAATCTTGAGGTAAATCCCATTTTCAGACACACCCATAGCACATGGAAAAACATCACCATGCTATCCGCAATATCTCTGTTGCAGCTCCACTATATCTCCAAATGCATCTTCACAATCTCTCCACTATATCTCCACTATATCTTCAGTATCTTTGCACTATATCTCCATTACTTCCATTGCATCTTATAATTATGTCAACTATGGCTTCACTGTATCTCCATTGTATCTCCATGAAATATCCCTATGAAATCCATGTTTTATATCTCTATATCCACATTCTGGTGGTTTCCTTTACACATGGATTACATCCAGCCCCAGCGTTCCCAGCGAAAAACAGGTGCCCGGGAGTTCGTGTTGCAACGTATGCTGCTGAACGACGACGAACGCCTGGACAGCATCGTCTCAGGCACCTCGGGGCACCTTCGGACACCCACCGCCGGCCGACACGGCGCGGGCAGTTCTGCGGCGTGAGGGCGCCGCAGCCTGCGGCGAGCAGAGATGTTGCAACGGGCCTTTTTTCCATGGGTTAAGGGTGACTAGATTACTGATCATAACTATGGAAAATCACCATTTTTAATGAGAAAACTCACTATAAATGGCCATTTTCAATAGCTATGTTAGTTTACCAGAGGGTACTAGATTCGGCTGAAATTTGGAAATCAACATGGACGTTTTTGAGGATTCTAGGTCTTCTTAATCTTGGGGGTGCGGGTCCCACTTAGCAAAATGACAACCTCAGTTATAATGCCAACATCGGATTAATCAACCCCCCCCCCCACCAGGTAGGTAGGGGGGTACCTTCTGGCTAGTTTCTTGACTACCCCTTAATAATAAGAAACTCTGAACCATAAAAATTTGGATATGGCTTACGTCAATTAGATCTTAATTGAATTCTATTGGATTTGTTAAAATCTCATGGATCAGAAAGGTGGTTGATTAATCGGGGGCAAACCATGGTTATTATTAATGGGGGACATGGGCTCATGGGGGGTACCCTTTGGGAGCTATCCAAACTGATGATTTTTATAAAGATTTTAATTAGAAATCGATCATTTGGGGAATAGTCATTTTTTGAATTTTTCAATGATCAACTTAAACCTTAAGTATAACAATGATGATTAAACAAAAAGGTAAAAACAAATTGGAAATAAATAGAATTGGAAATAAAAATAGTTGGATAAAAAATTGATTTCAGCACAGGGGGTTGATTAATACCGCGGGTTTATTAATCCTGGGGGACCACCTCTTTTTAAATTACAAAAAAAAAATTGGGCAGAGGGGGTTGATTAATACCGCGGGGATTATTAATCCTATGTTGGCATTATATGGGTTATGGATAGGTTATAAACCACTTACAAACTGGGATGCGCATCGTAGCATTTCTGTAGAACCTTGTTGGAGATGAGATACCTATGATGTCCAGTGAAATGTTGGCAATATTTGCGTCGAAATTCAAGACGAAAGGGACTTGCGGACATTGTAATCTCTTCAAAATTCGAATTTCTCGTTGTGCTCTCTCCATTTTTTTGCATTGCAGAAATGCATTTTTTTTTCTTTTTCACCAATTACATCTGATGGCAAAAGTGAACCACCGTCATTGCCTTTGGAGGGAATGTATCACTCGGGGACAGCCGGCTTCGCACCATTTGGTGATTGGTGCAGGTCCTTGAAAAGGCTCGGGGATGATGATCCCCTGATGATTGGAATGACGGGATAAGATATGGAGGTTTCCTGAAAATGGAGGTACCCAAATGTATAGGGAAAGATCCCAATCTAAAATGTATGATAACTAGGGGTAGCCCTATTTCAGGAAACCTCCATTTTTTAACATTCCTGGAAACCTCTCCATGACAGGATAATTTGCCAGAGGGTAAGTGTGTAACTGAACGAGCCAGGCAGAAAATCAGTTGACATCACCAGCCCACCTGGTCCCACAGCTTCTCGCAGACTTCTCCGGTTTCACATGGAGAGCTGCAGAGGAGAGACCGCGACATAGCTGCCATGTGTTTTTGCTGAGCAGTGTTTGAACACATCAGAAATATAAATATCGAGCTATTCATGAAGGGCGTTCAATCAAACAATTCAATTCATTTTTTTGGTGGTAAATAAGCATGCAACAGAAACACATGGATATTGACCGAGGAAAATGCAGTGTGTATCCAGTGACAGTGGGCATGTGATGAGCGATTGTACGTAATGTAATGTAAATGTAAATGTAAATGTAAAGGTAAAGGTAAAGGTAAATGTAAATGTAAATGTAATGTAATGTCATGTCATGTAAATTAGATGCAATATAATGTAAATGTAATGTAATGTAATGTAATGTAAATTAGATGTAATGTAATGTAATGTAATGTAATGTAATGCAATGCAATGTAATGTAACGTAGTGTAGTTTAGTGTAATGTATTGTATTGTATTCTATTGGATATACATAGATGCAATCTGTTTGTATGTATGTACTGTAATGTACTGCAATTCAATGTAATGCAATGCAATGCAATGTAATGTAATGTAATGTACTGTACTGTACTGTACTGTATGTATGCATGCATACCTGACAAACTGTTTGTAGACATACCTGTATCACCATGGCAAGACCCCACAATACCATGACTTCAGATGAATCATTGCCATGTTTGTTCGTGATTCCAGAGGCAGAAACAATTTTCAGAAGCCTTCCCGGTTGCGGGGATTGATATTTTTGTAGCTTGAACAGACGCTCAGAGTTGAAACTTTGTAAAGCACTGCGATCTTTTTGCTGCTGAAAGGTCGGCGGAAAATGGCGAACGCGGCGAAAGTGGACCTTTTGGGGGATGGGAGGTCTTTCAATTTTCAGCCCTCCAAATTGGAAATCCACTTAGTGGCGAATCTAGGCAGAGCACATAGGTAGACATGTATCTGTCTCTATATATCTATTTCTGTATCAGTTTTCGTTCCTTCTGGTTGATGTTGAAAACAACCTCCACTTTCCATCCTAGGGTAATCATCACAATTGACTATAGCATATTTTTTTGATGGGTTATATCATATCAACATGTACAGTCGTTTGGCATGCCGTTATCTTTTGCACATGTTTATTTTGATGTGGGTCTTCGACGTTTATTTTATCAACTCCGCAGAAGCGTCCTGGGGTTTTGTAGAAAAAGATTGCTCTGGTATGGGTCAAACTTGAAGAGCCTGGATAGCCGCATACTTTACCCATTTCTAGATTTTACCTGTGTCAAACATCCACTGCCGCAACACATCTGTGCCGGCCTTCCGCCTGGAAAGCAAGTGACTGATGCTGAAGAATGGGGAAACATTCATAAATCATGGAGAAGTTTGGACCGACGTACCATGATACATCACCCCACAGATGTTGCCCAGTACCATGTTGTGCCATGACGTCATGACGCCCCCAGTTTGCGTTTCAGCATTCCAAAACTGCGACAGGATGCACTTCACGTTTTTTTTTTTTGTAGAGGAATTCAGTGGCCATTTGAAGTAGATGGAGATGTGCTTGGCATGGGCCGAAGGCATTTGAATCTCGGGTCGGGTTAACGGTGAGTAGCTGCTTTTTTGAAAAGGCTTATGGAACAATATTTTATTCGGCTGGACAAATGCTTGATTCCCTTAATTGCTTTAAGGGGAGAATTATATATAAGGTTGGGTCCCTAGTTATAAGTTGATTTATAAACCCCACGAATGCTAAAGTAAAAATTCCCATAATCAACCCTATCGTTTGGGGGTTGGTTCACCATCCTCATGTTCCCCTCGTTGATAGTCAGGGCAGTCAGGCTGTTCAAAAAACACGCAGGGGATCCAAAAAAGTTTACGTCCTAATCCGAACCTAGTAGACAATCTTGAATATGTTCAATACACCACTTAAATATCATACATATATATATATAAATACATATATATATATAGATAGATAGATAGATAGATAGATAGATAGATAGATAGATAGATGATATCATATGATATTTCCCCCTCTAACATGAACAAAACACGCAAATTCCCAAACCCTCGGAACGTCGCTCTGGATCCAGGTCAAGGCCGCGTGCCATGGTGCCAAGGAGAAGACCTGCGATGTGACGATGTGTGAAAAAAACGAGGGCAAGACTGGGTAGCCATAGGTAAATGCCATGGAAAATGGATGCTACAAAATTTGGGCCATGGAAACTGAAACCTCTGTTGAGTTTTTGGTTTGAGTTTTTTTTCTAGACAACCGTTCACCCAACTTTACCCACAATGTGAGGTCCCCAAACGATAGCTAAGTTGGTTTATAACTCCAATAACTATGGTTTATGATACGCAAATAAGTATAGTGAATGGGGTTTATACACCAACTGCCAACTTATAATTGGGGGGCCCCACATTGTAAAAATATGTGATAGGAATGGAACATCCTGTTAAACTATGGATGATGGGTGAACTGAGCTTTTTAAATCTATTATAAAAATACCATGGTTGATTGGCTACTCTAGGGACTTATTACTTATGCTACCAATTTTCTAACCCATAGGGAAGCCGTTTTCAACCAAGTAGTATTTCATGAGATGGGATAGTTGTATTTTAAAATGGCTCAGGTAGCCTAAGTCATAGCTCAATGGATGTGAATAATCCCCCACTATGGTAGCAATAGGGTCTGACTGTCTGACCCATCCCCGTCAGTTTTTGAGAGTTGCATCCAAATCCATTGGTTCATCATCATTTCTCCTGAAATGCCGCTGTTAAAGTGCACTTCATTTTCAGTTTCATCACATTTTCTTTGTTAAAGTGCATGGAATTCAAATGGGATATCTCCATTTTTAGAACCCATGCGGGATGAGTTCAACGCAGCTTTGAGTGAACGTGGGGTCACCCAAAATGGAAGCTGCCAGACCCCTAGGAGTTCCGTGAAGAGCGGGTCATGTTTACGAAGTTTAGCAAGTCGCTGATTTGGGCAAAATTCTGACTTTCAAATCCCTTGATGTTGGGTTTTGTGGGATCCTGGGACACTTGCGTTCTTGTTGATCAACAAGTGAATTGTCTCACCATATTTCGACTGATTTCAGGGAGGATTTTTCCATCTTCCACTGGAGTGACCTTTTCCACACGGGGGTAACGAGTGTCCGGTGGCGCGGGATCGGCGCAGGATACTTCAAGGACTACTAGTTTTTTTGTGCCGATCTCAGATCGCTGGAACCGGGACCGGGGCCCTGTTTTTTTTTTTCTCCCCGTCTCCCCGAGTTGGTCTGGTTGCCATCAAGAACATCAAGATGCCAGGGGATGAAATATATAGATTTATGTCAGCTATCTTGAAGTTCACTAAAGAGTACAAGAGAGTTTGTTCCAGAGCTGTTTGGGGTAACTTTGCCAACCCATTTCAGGACCTGAGGTGCCTTTGCGAACAAGGCAATGGTGGAATTTCCCATGGATCCATATCAAAGGCACAAAAGTTTTCTGTCAAGGGATTTGGCAGATCTACGTGGGATTGAGTAATTTCAATCATTATTCATTGGTTGCACCTTGTGACATCAGCCTTTTCCGATCTATAGATTGTAAAGTGGTGGTTCGAAAAGTGTTTTTTGTTTCCCCCAGGTTTACAGAGGTATACTCATAACATCTCATAACTAATCATTGGATCAATGGCCATTTTAGGAACCGATTGATTGGAGGTACCTATCATATGTTTTTGGCCTATTTTTCAGGCCTATTTTTCAGGAGATATATACTCAGTATACCCCCCAAATATTTTTCAGATCCCAAAATGGAGGTACTGTACCATATAAGGCCATATTTTGGGGGTACATCCCCTTACATAGCCCTGAAAAATAGGCCTTATATATGGAATCGGTACCTCCGTCCTCAATCGGATCCTGGAGATCTCCCAATGGAGGACATCAGGCCATGGCATTGTTCCGTGCCTCCTCTTAGGCCTTTTCACCTCAACGAGGCAGGGCAGCTTGTCTCAGTAGGGAGCTGAGACCCCCCAACATCCAAAATACACATCGTAGAGAATCTACAGTACATTACTTACTTCTAGTTATATATATATACATATCCAACAGTAGCTTTGTCTCAAAATACTTCGAGATTGCCCACTTCATGGCCCAACCCATAAGATGGCCCAACCACTTCGGCAGGCTCAGGATGTCGTTGAAACGAGACGACCCGACTTCAAACGATTTATGGAGGCCGGATAGGGCGGATGATTTTCACCATGAAATTTGTGGATTTTAAGCAGCAAGATGTTGGTGATTTTATAAGCCCCATGAATACTAGTCATATCTACCATAAACATCTATAAACCATAGTTGAATAAACCATAGCCCAATGCCATAAACCATCCCGAATATTACCCTCTGATAAACTAACATAACCATGGAAAACCACCATTTTTAATGGGTAAATCAACTTTATAGACTATAAATGGCCATTTTCCAGTTCGCTATGTAACAAATTACCAGAGGGTAAGGATTTTAAGCAGCAAGATATAAGGATCATCATTGATCAATGATGTTTGGCTGATGATTTTAAGGGGTTATACTATATTCGGGACTCATCATCCATAATGAGAAGCCCGCTGCCCAGCTCATAGGTGGTTGGTGAAGCCGGGGAAGTTGGTCTCTGAAAACCACCCGTAAACATTACCCTTTGGTACAGGATGGTGCCCCCCAACTACGAGTTGGTTGCTAAATCCCATGAATACAATAGAATAGTTACATCTACCATAGAATTCAGCCACTTATATCTCAACTATTAGCCGTGGGCCCCATCCTGTAATCAAACATGGCTTGCTGCACAATCCGCCATGGAAATTTTGATGATCTTCCCAGGGAATTAAACCTCCATTGAGTTGGTGAATTTCCAAGAAGCCCTTCTCTTCGGACAACCTCGGACAACTAGGGCTTTGAGATGGATTTGGGTGTCCGACATTTTTTCCATGGCAAATGCTCCATGCACTTTTCGGTGCTGTCATCCTATGGTGAGGGCCCCCCAAAAAAGGTGGCAGGCTTTTTTTGTGGCAAGTGGGATAGCTTCTCACCTTTTCCCCGTTTTTTGAGGATGGTCCGGTAGAGTTGATAGAGCAATAAAGATCAGGGATGGAAGATAGCCCATAACCCGGTAAGTCCCCATGCTGGAAATGGAACTTTTCGGATATCTTTTTTTTGATTTTTGGATGCCAAAAGATCGGCTCAGGGGTGGGCTTCTCTGACATTTTCAACTGGTCCCTGCAGAAATTTTGGCTGTTTTCAGTGGTTCACTGGTTCCATGGATGATTCTTCTCAAGAACCCTTGGGGACATGATTGTTACATTTTTTTGTTTAAAACATGTTAAAGCAATTTTCCCCATTTTTTCACCTTCCAACAGCCCTTGCGCGCTTCCAGCTGCTTTTGCCGAGGAGAAAGAAGCGTTTTTCGCCGCCTCCCACCGAAGGCTACAAGAGGACGTTGCGACGGAGGATGTGGTCGATATTCAGTACAGCAACTTGGCAGTGCTTGGTGGTGAACTACCCAGGAATCGTAAGCGGGTTAGTTCACCCCAGTTTTTTGAGTGGATTAAGCCTACAAAAATCCCATGGACATAATCAGGGTGAACTAACCCACTTACGATTCCTGGCATGAGCCAGCAAGTGGTGATAGATATGTTTTCCTGAGATGTTTTCTTTGTTAACAAGGAAGCCCAAGTGATCATCGAAGCTGTTCTTTTTCGAAGCAGTGGGGTGAAATTCAGGGGTACCTATTGGGTAGCCCAGATGGAACCTTCCGAAGGGGGTCTATTTCGCATCATTCGAGCTGTTCTCGGGGGTCCAGGGAGTCCAAGACCCCGGGGTACTCGCCATCGGGGCCAGGTGGCAAAGCCGGCCCAAGTCATCCCCAGTCATGGTCGTTGTTAGGACCAGCCAGGGTCAATCCCACATGATTTATCAATATCAAAGCCATATTCACCCAGTATTGATCATCATTTCTAGCCATTATGAATCACTATTAACCCATATTACGCATCTTTTTTTTCCATTTGTCAATCACTATCAACCCATATGAAAAACCTGTATCAAGCCACAAACTCTGCGAGTTTTCCGCCCATTTGAATTGCTGGTTCATGGCTCTCTGACCCATCGCCCCAGGTAACCTCACCTGGATTCCACCCTTAGATCAGAGTCCCCCCGGGGCCTTCGGTGGAGCCTTGGACTGCAGAGATTTTTGTTGGGTATATTTTGTAGTGGCTTCATGGTGGTTAATATGGGTTAATAGTGATTAAGACTGAGTTCATCTTTTCTGCGTTTTCTTTGTTTTTTTTTGGATTTCAGTCTTGTTTTTGGTGGAACTTTTGAGTTCTCCTGGTTTTGTTGATCTGATGCTTTTTGCGTCCAAAGTTTCAAACGCACCTGAGGTGCATGTCTTTATGCTGGCGCCAATTACACGTCTTGGCGAATTCACACCGACAAGAACATGACGGACAACAGTGCCCGTCTACGGGTCGTGAGGTCGGGGGCTTTTTTGCCCTTCGTGCGGTGCCTTTCAACGGAAACATTGCCCAAAGAATAAGGGAAGCAACAAACCGCAGTTCATAGTTAAAGCTTTGCTCTGGGAGTCTTCTTTTCCAAATTTCAGTGTTTGGGATTCCAGATCAGTGTTCTTGGGTCTGTTTATGTGCAGGTTTTGGTGCGTTTCCACTCCAACCACTGGTGTAAAGGGCACGCCGCAAGGGCACATTTGACCAGATTGATGGGCATGATTTGGGGATCAGTCAAAACCATGAAATGAACATCATTGACATCAATTTGCCGACATTAAGCAGAGCTTAGCAGTTTACCTACCATCAAGGTCCCAGCAATGTCCGGAGCACCGAAACATTTCCGTGAAACAAAAGATGAAGAATCGGAGAATACAGCGTGAAGGATCCGTATCCAAAGTTCAGAGATATGGATTTTTTGGACGGCAAACAGTCAGTTGCTCGCCACATCAGATTGAACTCCTAAAGCCCCAAACGGGAACCCCCGGTCCACTGCTGACTCAGTTGAAATAAAACCTAGCTTTTTCTACTGGCTCTGAAGAAACACACATGGGGCTTTCCTAAATTAGGGGTACCCCAAATCATCCCAGTGTCATGGATCACCATTGTAGTCGTATTGAAGCCCATGGTTTTGGGGTACCCTGGGTGCCCTCATTTCAGGAAACCCCCACATCATGGAAAGATAACCTTTGATATTATATTATATCAAACCCCCCCTCCTCGTAGACATCCCAGTGGAACCCCACCGCAAAAATGTTTCAAACATTTCTTTCTGAAACCACTTGATTTGATGGCAAGAACCTTGCTTTCCTTATGGAAAATGATGGAAGAAACCATTTCAAAACCATTATTTTCCCAGCAAAAATCGCTTTCCATCATCTCCTTGCAACCTGCGCGTCGGTTTTCATCCTGCAGGCCCAACTTGCAAACACCTGGCGCACCGGCGGGGCATTGTTTGATTGAGGTCAGCTCGGGGGTTCAGGCTGAGAGAAGTAGATGGACAGGGCCAGCGCGTTTAAGGTGACTTTTGGTCAAAATCCAATGGGAAGAAGGCATTACTTAAGGGGAATCTATAGTGAATATATGATAATATATGTATGTATATATATATATGTAATGTAATGTAATGTAATGTAATGTAGTGTAGTGTAGTGTAGTGTAGTGTAATGTAATGTAATGTATGTATGTATGTATGTAATGTATGTATGTATGTATGTATGTAAGTATGTATGTAAGTATGTATGTATGTATGTATGTATGTAATGTATGTAATGTATGTAATGTATGTAATGTATGTAATGTATGTAATGTATGTAATGTATGTAATGTATGTAATGTATGTAATGTATGTAATGTATGTAATGTATGTAATGTATGTAATGTATGTATTGTATGTAATGTATGTATTGTATGTAATGTATGTATTGTATGTAATGTATGTATTGTATGTATGTATGTATTGTATGTATGTATGGTATGTATGTATGTATGTATGTATGTATGTATGTATGGTATGTATGTATGTATGTATGGTATGGTATGTATGTATGTATGGTATGGTATGTATGTATGTATGGTATGGTATGTATGTATGTAATGGTATGTATGTATGTAATGGTATGTATGTATGTATGTATGTATGTATGTATACATACGTGTATATATATATATATATACACTGTATATATAATTATAAACACACACACATATATATATATATATACACACACACTCATTTTCGATTTCTTTTTTTGGGGACACCCGAAGCAAATCCACGTAAGTTTATGTGGTTTAATAAATACTGCTCGGTTTTATGGAAATCAGGTCGGTTAGAGCCAAATCATCCCGGGGAGGAATTTCCATCCCGGAGTTCATCCCATTTCCCGATGTCCCACAGCAGTTTTTCCCCAAACAGTGTGTCCACGCAGCTTGGGTTCTTACGGTAGGAGTAAAGGCCGGTGCTTGATCAGGGTGCTCACTCTGGGCCGCGGCATTTTTCCTGTGAATTTCCGTATAAAGTGGCTCTTGTGAAATCTTGACACGCGTTTCGACTGCGCAGGCTCGCACAAAGTCTGCGCCGTGGTTCTGGGGCGCGGCATTTTTTCTGTAAATTTCAGTAAAAAGTGGCCCTTGTGAAATGTTGAAGTGCATTTCGACTGTGCAGGCTCGCACAAAGTCTGCGCCGTGGTTCTGGGGCGCAGATTTTTCCTGTAAATTTATCGTATAAAATGGCTGTTGTGAAATCTTGACACGCGTTTCGATTGCGCAGGCTCGCGCAAAATGTGTGTCCGCGTTCTGGGCTCAATCTGGGCCACGGCATTTTGCCTGTAAATTTCTGCAGCATAAAGTGGCTCTTGTGAAATCTTGACATGCGTTTCGACTGCGCAGGCTCGCACAAAGTCTGCGCCGTGGTTCTGGGGCGCGGCATTTTTCCTGTAAACTTCCGTATAAAGTGGCTCGTGTGAAATCTTGACATGCGTTTCGACTGCGCAAGCTCGCACAAAATGTGTGTCCGTGTTCTGGGCTCATTCTTGGGCGTGGCATTTTTCCCGTAAACTTCCGCATAAAGTGGTACGTGTGAAACGTTGACATGCAGTTCGACTGCGCAGGCTCGCACGAAGTGTGGTCCTAGGTCTTGGCATCGGTCCTCCTCCTCAACATCATCATCCCCCACATCATCATCTTCCTCCTCCTCAACCTCATCATTCTCAACAAAATCATTCTCAACATCATCATCTTCCGCCCCCTTCACATTATCATCCTCAACTTCATCATCCTCCACCTCATCTTCCGCAGCATCATCCTCCTTCACCTCATCTTCCCCAAGATTATCATCCTTTTTAATCCTCCTCAACATCATCATCCTCATCATCATGATCTTCCTCCTTCTCAGCAACATCATCCTGCACCTTGTCCTCCTTCACTTCATCTTCCGCATTACCATCCTCATCCTCATCCTCCTCAACATCCTCATCCTCATCCTCATCCTCATCCTCATCCTCATCCTCATCCTCATCCTCATCCTCATCCTCATCCTCATCCTCATCCTCCTCAACATCATCCTCGCCACCAACATCCTCAACATCCTCAACATCCTCAACATCCTCAACATCCTCAACATCCTCAACATCCTCAACATCCTCAACATCCTCAACATCCTCAACATCCTCAAACATCCTCAACACCATCATCGTCATCACCATCATCATCATCATCATCATCATCATCAAAATCATCATAAACAATAACCATCATCATCATCATCATCATCATCATCATCATCATCATCATCATCCTTCTCAACATCATCCTCCACCTTATCAGGCTCCACTGGTCCACTTCATCTTCCGCATTATCATCCTCATCCTCATTCCCCTCAACGTCATCATCCTCACCATCAACATCCTCAACGTCATCATCTTCAACCTCATCATTCAGCATCAACATCAGCATCATCATCATCATCATCATCAACATCATTGTCAGCGTCGTCACCATCATCATCATCATCATCATCAACAACAACAACAACATTATAATACATTATCCTCCCACTCCCCCCCACACTGTTTGGGGTCTCTTGCCGGGATGTTTTTCCCCCCCAATTTTTGGGTTCCAAACCCTAAATGATCTGAAATGAAGAAGAAAAAATACAAACGATCGAAAAGGAACACAAATTCGCCAGATTTTTCTACTTTTCCAGGATTATCCCATCATTTTTCCAATTCTTCCACCATTTTCCCACCATTTTTCCCCTGTGCTGCGCGTTCGAAGCGACAAGGAGTACAACTTCATCGACGTCGTCCCGCCGTTGGACGGTAGCGTGACCTTCCGCGCGCAGCTGACGGACTGATGAGAAGTCTGATGGATTGCAAAGCTCCAGATACAGATGCAAATAGTAATTTAGTATGCATACTATACACATCCCAAAAATTGGGACAGCCAGAAAAGTATATATTAACACAATAATGTTTATATAGACACTGGAGTCACGAATCAGTCACCAAGCAGTCAGCAGGTCCATCCGATGTTTTCTTTCGGCCGCAGGAAGTGTGGTATACTGGTGGAATCAGTTTCTCCCAGGGGGGACAGGTGCAACTCTGTCTATCTCCCCTAGGGACGTCCCTTGGTGCAGTTCGGAGTGGTTGCAACGTGGTTGTTTTCATCAGCCATAAGCCACAGCAGCCACATCCCAGAAAAAAAAGGGGATATTCCATTCATCTAACTGGAGCTATAGGAAGTGATTTCTTTAATAATAAATGCTATAGATGATTTTACTAATGGGATGATTTTCAGATTACTGTAGAGGTTATGGATCGGATGATGAAGCCCCAGAAACGTTGAGGTTTGTGTGTACAGTTCACAGTGATTTGATCATAATGTGGGGTAGGAATGTGAGCTTCAAATTTTACAAAGCAAAACTACCCGGCCTGGTAAACGTACAAAAAACTATGGAAAGTCACCATTTTCAATGGGTAAATCCACTATTTCGACTGGGCCATGGCTTCAAGTAGCTATGTAACAAATTACCAGAGGGTAGTGAAACTAGACCAGCAAGTGATTTGGGAATTGAACACGCGTCTATGCATGGTGAATTTTTGCAGATCTGTATCCACTGCACACATGGCTAGGACTGAAGCATTGACTCGATCATCAGGGATTAGCCTCTGGTAATTTCTAAAATGGTGGTTTCATGGGATTTAACCACTATAAATGGTGATTTGATGGTGATTTACCCTCTGGTAAACTAACAGTTTGCTATTGAACATGGCCCAGTCAAAATCGTTTTTCTTTACCCAGCTAAGACTATGGAGGTTTTCCGGTTCGTTATGTAAAGGTTTACCAGGCCGGGTACCATGTGCGATAGGGATTCATTGCTGAAATGATCCCCATGGGGCCACTTTCAGGGTGAAATATGATCATTTACTGATGGTTAACAATGGTGATTAATGGTTTTCTTGTGGTTGTTTTAAGTACTGTACTTTGTTTTACATGATTTTTTTGGTTGTTTTTCCTGATCCATCGATATACTTTTCCCACTGGTTCTCATTAGGCACACTGAACAACCAGTGGAAAAATGATGACAACGGAGATACCAGTCACTGTTTCTGCTCTATCCTTTCCAGAAGAAGGTTTGGTAAATGTCCCATTTTGGGGATTTTGAATATCACTAAAACAAGTATCTGTTGGAGATGATATTCCCTTTTTATTTGGGTGATGTGAAAAAAGGCTGGACATACCAAAAGGATGGGCCGATGGGCCAGCGAAATCCGATAAACCACCAATTTGGGATGGTCAAAACCCTATGAATAATGGAAAGTTTGCCATCATAGGATGTTTCAACAATTTTTAACCATCACCAGCGAAATCACCAGTTGATGGCAAACATCCCAGTTGATAGTTAACCACCAAATAATGGGATGTTTGCCATCTATCTGGTGGTTTCGCAGGCCCCATCCACAGTAGAAACCATCCAGCCCTGCGAAGGTTCGCAGACCCCGTGCTGCGTGCGCTGGGAGATGCAGCGCTGGTGCCGGATGGTCGGGACCTCGGTAGACTCGGGAGATTTGAGGATAGGGGCCATGGTGGGATGGATTTATAGGGGATTTATGGTGGGATTTAGCCTCTGGTTGATGAAAATTAGGGGGGTACTCCCCAAATAGTCATTTCATCTGATACTTTTTTATGGTATCCCCCAATTAAACAACCGTAAACGGGGTTTATTAATCCAGGGTTGACATTTGATGGGATTTTTGTGAGGGATTCATGATGGATATTTCAGGGGAATTTATTTGGGGAATTAATGGTGGGTTTTATGGTGGGGATTTGCATGATGGATATTTCATGGATTTATAGGGAAATTATGAGGTCTTATAAGGGATTTATGATGGATATAATGGATTACATGGGATGTATTCGGGATTTAGATATCCTCATTTTGCATACCCAACTACTTGGAGCGGAGATTTGTGCAACACAATATTTATGTCATGTCAACCCTGGATGAATAAACTCCGTTTATGGCTGTTTAATTGGGAGGGTACCATTTATGTACCATTTATGTACCATATTGTGACTATTTGGAGGGTACCCCCTAATTCATAAACCATGGTTTATTCATCCGGGGTTGACATTGTGTAGTAGAGTGTTCTGGAAAAGTGGATTCTGGCCACGACCACGGCGACCACGGGACTCTTGCCAAGATGGAGATTTCTCCACATGGGATATTGCACCAGCATAACACGTGAAATTTGCAGCGACCATGGGGCGGAACTTTGGCCGAAGCTTGGTCAACAGCTGATCTGATGGTCAACAGCCAAGATGCATAGGTAGATGATGAGTAAACAGGTTGAATTTATGAAAACATGTTGGGGAGCCCACTTCAGAAACATACAAAAGCGAAGATTCGTTTGTGTTTTTTCACATCAAAACCTGCCTAATCTTCCAATCCTCTATGGCACCTGGCAGCTGAGGCTACACCGAATGGCGGATTTTGGGAGCCATGGATTCCTGCCCCTCTGGACCAGGCAATACCAAGAACCCCCATCTGAGACTCCAACTGAGACACCATTTTGGCACTGGGAGAAGATTTGATTGGTGCTTGTTGAACTCGTGGCAAGAGCTGTTACCCTCTGGTAAACTAACATAACTATGGAACATCACCATTTTTCATGGGAAAATTCACTGTAAATGGCTATTTTCCATAGTTATGTTAAATGACCAGAGCTGTTCATCACTAGAATAGTCCACCCAACTCTTAGTGTCCACCCCAACAACTCTGGAGCGTTTAAACTTCGGTTTGTGCGGAAGTTTGTTGAGTCACGGAGGCTCCAGAATCCATATTGCAATACATTACCCTCTGGTTATGACTCACATAGCCATGGAAAATCACCATTTTTAATAGGTAGACCATCTATAAATGGGTCATTTTCCATGGCTATGTTAGTCATAACCAGAGGGTAAATATATTAATGTTGGTAAAAGAATGCCATTTGCACCATCCCTGAATGATACATAATTTTTTGGTTGGTGGTATAAACTTACCATTCCCAGGAAGTCATCGGTGGTAAATTTCTGGCATTGTTTTATGGCATTGCTTTACTCACATTGTTCTTTTTTTAGAATTCTGTAAAGATCAGAGCTTGAAGGAGCAGCGCAGAAAACATGTGGCGCTGGGAATGGGATTCACCATAGAAAAATAGCTACTTAAGGTGATTTTCATGGAAGAATCTTGGATTCATATGGATTAATGCTGGGAAAAATCAGGAAGAATCGGTGACTTTTTTGTCATTTTTCACAGTTCGCCATGGAAAACGATCCATTTCGTTCGATGCTTTACCTCTAAAATTCCATATGTAAAAAGCCATGGCAAATTCTTGGATTTTTCGGGCAGGTACTGTATGGTTTTTTCCTCTGGCTTTACGGTGACAAACTGGATGAGAAATCACCCAACGTTGGGTCCACCAGAAAACTCTCAGACCTTGGAGCTGTCCCACGGAATCCACGAGAAATGGGGAATTCATCAGGACGATTCCAATTTTTTTGGGGATTCCGCAGAAGCAGATCCAAATATTTCTGTGGTATTTTTCATCTCCAGGTGATATTTGCGGAGAGTTTTTTGGCAAATCTGACAACTCTGCTGGGTCTATGCGAGTCTATGCTACCACTGCATTGCTATTGGTTTATATATGTTGTATCAAATGTACCCGTTCGCACGTATTCTAGCAACATTTCACTATAGTAACTGTTCATCGCGTTTCGTTATGATTAGGTGATGAAAAATCCTGCCTGGATGCCTGGTGAATCTCCCCAGGTGGCCCAGTTCCCTCGGAAGATCATCCTGCTACACCGTATTTTCACCGGTGATGCAAAAGAAGCCTCTGAAATAAGATGTGAACTGAACCCAAGAGCTACATTTTTTTTTAAAGCCCAAATTTATCACCAATGGTTTTACGCTCTACTCCAGTATCAAGGTCTGGAAGATTTAGAACTTATCCATTTACAACGCCTTTTTTTTTGATTGACGAGTGATGGTAACATTGCCGAGTTGGCTTACCAGCACAAAGCCGTAGAACTTAGATTGCAATCCTCGATGCTGAAACATCATGATGGTCACACCATTTTGGATGCTAACATCCATTTTTGGATCAAGGTTGATTCCGACACCCCAGGTACAAGGGGGTAAATTGCGTAAATATGGAGGACACATGAGCAATTTCTCCTCCAAAGCGGCTATCATGAATTTATACCCAGAATGGGCTGCAGGAACCCTGATCCATCCTGATCCCAATGAATCATCAACAAAAATCACCAGTAACTGGGTGCTAACATCCCCATATCATGATCCTGCAAGTACTGGCTTTATTACCATGGTTATCCTCCAGTAAACTAACATAGCTATGGAAGCCATGGACCCATTTATAGATGATTTACCTATTAAAATCCCGATTTTCCAGTTCGCTATGGTAGTTTACCATAGTTTATACCAAGGAAAAAACCCAGTTCTGCAAGCTCAAGTGGTGCAGGTTGTTTGTCCATGCGGCGCTTCTTCTGCTTTTTGCCCCACACGCGGCTTGGACGGTTGTTTGTTCAGCACGGGTGTTCGATCAGAAGCGAGCAAAACACAGCGAAATGTGGTGATCCAACTTAAGTTTGGAAAGGACTGGAAGTTATGGTATGATCCAAACTTATGATCAGCAATATATAAACATAACTTATAGTTATACCATAACTTTTGTTATAGCGATAACAAACATGTATACCAAACTTTATGGAGTGATAAAGATGGATGCTTTCTGGAAGAAAGATTATGATTCCAGCAAGAACAGCGATGAACAAGCAACAAGAATTGCGACTGAACACAGATGCTGATCGTTGCTGTATCCCACATGCAGATTTAACCAACCAGTTATTTGGAACATCGGGACACGCAGAAATGGAAGCTGATTAATTGGTACACTGGTAATGATGCAGTGTTGTGGGGATGACTCGGGCATCCCGGATTACTGTATGTATAAATATATACAATGTGGGGCCCCCCAGTTATAAGTTGGTTTATAAGCCCCAGTAACTATAGTTATAAGTACCATAAACCATAGTTATTGGAGTTATAAACCAACTTAGCTATCTAGGGGGCCCCACATTGTACACAAATAAATGAATAGATAGATAAGTAGAGAAATAGCAAGTTTTTTTTTTCCAATTGACCATTCATCTTCTAGGTTCCTTGGCCAGGAGTCTCTTTTTTAGCGTGACCTTACGATATTTTCCCAGCCTCGATCTTGTCGTGCTGAGGTACTACACCAGATACGTCCAGACCGACCTGGAATGCGATATGCTCCTGGGACCTCCATCGAGATCCATCTGGCTTTTCAGGGCTTGTGGTCTTTCACTTTCTGGTCGTTGTACCCTCTGGTAATTTAACATAGCTATTGAAAATGGCCATAGAAATAGTGAGTTTTCCCATTAAGAATGGTGATTTTCCCATCAGTTATGTAAACGTTTACCAGAGGGTAATTCCGTCCAAATTGCTTAACAACCAGCATATCTTCAACGGATAGAAAAATATGTTCACTCCGACGATGCGACAAAAACAGCCAGAGCAGTCATCCATGCAAAGCAGTTCTCCCATGATGTGCGCTCAAAAACATCCCCAATTTGCCCATGGGTTTAGAACATACTATTAGATAATATTAGATACATCCCATTCCCATGCTGGGATGCCTCCTACTCTCCAAAGGTTTTGGCTTCCACTTGGTGGTGGTGAACTACCCAGGAATCGTAAGTGGGTTAGTTCACCCCAGTTTTTTGAGTGGATTAATCCTGCAAAAATCCCATAGAAATAACCAGGGTGAACTAACCCACTTACTTTCTCCGTGGGATGAGCCACCAAGCACATGACATATCCAAGCACGAATGATGGTTTAAAACTCCAGTTTTCATGAAGACCGAAAGAGTTTCATAGGGTCTTATTGGATTTGAATGTGAACATAGGGGTATATGAGGGTTTCCATAAATGGGAATATCCAAAAATGGTTGTGGTCGCTTTATTTCATGGAAAATCCCAATCCAAGATGGATCATTTGGGGGCATCCCCATTTTAGGAAACCTCCATATATAGATATACCCGTAATGTCTTGACAATTCTCATGGGGGAAATGAGGTTGCAAATCCCGTGATGGGCTTGAGACATTCGTTTTGGACTGATTTCTTCTGGATGGATTATAGCCATTGACGGTATAAATTTTAGCGTTCTGGGATGGATTTACCACATATCCAACTACAAGTGAAACTACCCTCTGGTAATTTAATATAACCATGCAACATCACCAGTTTTAAGAAATAGATCATCGAACTGACTGGGCCATCTATACCATTCTATACCATTCTATACCATTCTATACCATTCTATACCATTCTATACCATAACTAACTGTTTAGATTACCGGCTGGTAACTTCGCAGAAGATCTGGCAGTACCAAGCCTTGCGTGAGCCCAGGTTTTTGCAAGCGACGAGTTCGCCCTTGCTCTATTCGCGGATGGCTGTGATGGTCCGGCCCGCAGTCACCCATGGGGTAGTGGACAAATGGAGGATGACGCGTCAAAAAGGGGATTATGTAAATTTTATTCACCAACCATAGTGAGGGTTGTTCTATAGGTAAACGATAGCAGGGCTGGAAATTGCCGATTTGACCATATTTGACCTTTGCGTTTACCCATTTTACCCCGTCTTGTATTTGGGATGTTGGGAGCAACCCGGATAGTAGGAGACATATTGGAATCCACTGGGATATATGACCAATATCATACCAATTGATGGGATGATTATTAGAAGAATCCACCATTTTATAGGGATTGAAATTGGACACACACACATATATATATGTATATTATATTATCAATATGATATGTGATATATTTGATATATGGGTTCGGCCCAACACAAGGTGGTAGACCAGCCATCAATTTTATATTAGGAAGGTGATAAACACGAGGTGGCTCAAGAGAGAACATGTTGGATTCCAAACTTGTGCCCAGCATTTGGGGCAATTGTTCTGTAGGATGACCGGATGACCCCAAAAAACAGCGTTTCCTCGAAGATTCGGAGTAGCCACACTGCCCCATGATCTCGCAGTTGTCACAATTATGGATGCCAATTCAATTCCAGAGTTTTTCGATGGAATTACACTCTTGTATTCAAATGTGGCTGGAAAATCCGCGACCAAATGGAGATCTTAATGAGAAACTCATCTATAACTAGGTCAGTCTTGGATGGGTAGAAACTAATCCTGCTATGTCTTTTGGTATCAATAAGATTATCTACTAACCAGCTAAGAATTTATTTTTTTTCAGGGTATCTAAGATTGGCACTGATAATAAATGGGGAGTTTTCAATTGCCATCTTTGATAACAGGAGGGTATGCATGTTTTCCCCCCATGACCATTGATTTGGACAAAAAATACAACTTGGGAAACTGATCTTACATTATTGGATATCCTATATGTATATATGTATACATATATGTGTATATACATATGTGTATATACATATATGTATAACATATATGTATATATGTATATGTATATATATATATGTATATATATACATATAATGAATAAGTATATATATATATAAATACGGGGTTTCTTAAGTCATAGGAGGATCCCCAAGTCATCATAGGTTTCAATACTATAGTTTGGTCATCCATGACTTGGATGATTTGGGGATAACCCCATGGCTTAGGAAACCTATATATATATAATATATATACACATGATATGTATATACATATATACATAATATAATGTTATTGAATAGACATAATGTATAAATGCATATCTTGTTGGATATTATACATATATGTTTCATGTATGTTCTCATGAATTGTTTTCAAAGAGCTGGGCTTAGAGCCGGTAACCGCTCTGCCGTTTCTGAGGACGACGTGCAGTGTGGGAGGCGAACAGGGATGGCGATGCTCCCCAACTTCCAAAACCGCTGGGAAAGGACTGCTTGGCAAAGGGGGGTGCCAAGCTTGGCAGGGCTTCACGCATGTGTAGCCAGCAGTTATGGGATGTTTATATGCATTTGTGTTTGAAAATATATGTTTTAGATATGTATGTTTTTTTTGTTTTAATGTATTATATGTATTACATGTATCATATGTATTACATGTATTATATGTATTATATGTGCTATACATATACATTATGTTTACATATATATATATGTTTCTATATGTTTTATATGTTCTATTTGTTTTATATGTATCATATGTATATTATGTTATATGCTTATATGCTTGTATGTTTGAATTGTATTACATGTGTTGTATGTATTTATACGTTTATATATTTTATATGTATTATATGCATTATATGTAGCACATGTATTATATCTATTGTATATTTTTATATTCTATATGGTTATATGTATTATATGTATTATATGTACATATACACATATACACGTTTCTCTACGTATATATTAGGTGTATATGTGTATATTTATGTATTTGTGTGCATATATATATATATACATACATGGTTATATACATTATATATATATACTGTAGACGATAAAACCTCTGAGAGGATCGGGAACACCAGCAACATCGCTGGTCTCTGCACATTCCGAAATCTGGGTGAAAGCGACTCGATGTCTTTTTGTACGTCAATCTTTGTTTTGTTGCGGGGGGTTATACTACTGTTGATGGAAGAAATCCTGCACCAATTTCTTTACAGCTCTCACGTCCCAATATCCATCAATTTTTATTGTCATTCGTCACATCATAAAGCAGCTTAGCATTTAAATGTGTTCAGAATTTGCTTTAATTGTATCAATGGAAATTTTTCTTTCAATGTTAGACATTACATTTTGCAATAACTTCAGTTTCAACAACTTTACTATAGTCAACATTAATGTTTCGGCGATTCCAAAGTACATAAGGTTAAGATAATAGCGGGACAGATGAAAGTTTCTGAAATTGTTATATGCTAAGATTAAATTAGATATGTTGAAATGTAATGACAATTAAGTGAGATAAATACAATTGTAGCGCGTAAGATAAAAATATACGTGAGAGCTCCTAATTTAATATTGTTTGTAGACGGAGTGATCAAAATGGATTCGTGCGATTGACGGAAATCCTGCACCACCTGTCAACATGTCATTCAACATTGAACTTGGGGGTACGGGGGTACAAGTTATGTATTAGCAAATGTGATGTTATAGAGGTGGTGCAGGATTTCTTCCACCCACCGTATCTATATTTGGGAATATATATATATGGGTAAACCATCGGTTACGTATGGGTAATAATGATAAATCATGTGGGAAACCGTGGCTGCCATAAACCTACCATTTGGTGATGGGTTATATACCACCCATAAAAATGGCGATTTTGGTGATGGTTTAGTTTATTATTGGGTTTACCACATTAGGGGTCTATACCAACCAGCTAAAAACATATTTTCCCCCTAGGGTATGCAAGATTGGCATTTGATTTAGATATGGGACATTTGGATACCCTTTGGTAAACTGACATAACTATGGAAATCACCATTTTTAATAGGTAAATCAACTATAAATTGCAATTTTTCGATAGCTATGTAACAAACTATGAGAGGGTACATTTAGTTTCATTGACTTCGATTGGATCGGCCTAGCGAGCCGGAGAGTCTTAATCTCACATTACAGGGGAGAGTTCTTTGAGTATATTCAGCATGTGGAAATGGCCATGAGAAACAGTGCGCTTTTCTCTCAAGAATGATATTGTATACCGTATACCCATGTGATATGATACATAACAATACATAACATGTATAGATGTTGCATGAGTTAATACAGTGTACAGAGGCATATTATATATTCATATACATATGCCAGGTGAGATCCATAGCAGGCTGCATCCCAAGAATCGCAGGATTGTTGATCCCATTTCCTTGATCGAACTGGGGGAGACCCGTTCAGTGCCTGGGTTCAGCAATCGGGGGCTTGGGTGAAGCAAAGAACTTCGGGATTTTTGCCAAGTCAAATGGTGATTGAAGAGTGGAAACATGATAAAACCTTTGTATATAACTTATATACAACTATCGAATAAGCAATAAATAACCAACAAGATTTCCCTTGGGATTTCTTGGAATAAAAAAACCATCCATTCTCAGGGTTGGGCTAAGCCATCTTGGGGGGCCTTCGAGGTGCTGGGGGAGGATTGTTGTTTGGGAGTAGGAGAAGTGTAGCTAACTAGCACCAGAAATATAGGTGGTATACATAGAGTTGATTATGTTATATGCATATATATATATATATATTGAATCTGGTTGATCAATTCGTCAACCAGAAAACCCTTGACCTCGGGTCAACCAACTTCACCGAGGGACACCACCGAAGTGTCACCCACCTAAGTTACTGTCGTTTACCCGGCCTGGTAAACGTTTACATAGCGAACTGGAAAATCACCATTTTTAATGGGAAAATCTACTATGAATGGCCATTTTCAATAGCTACGTTAAATTTCCTTGGGAAAAGCCAGGCATTTTTCATAGGCAGGTTACCGGTTTTTTCGTTTGGATTCATCCCACGCGGATCTGCGTCATCCAATGGTGCTGTCCAGCGGATGTGGATCCTCTCCTTTGAAAAATGCATGGTTTTAGATGGGTAGCTCTCATCATATTTTCAACTTTTGGAAAAAAACGGTAGTGGTTAGTAAGCATAGTTGTACAACCCATAGTTGTACAACCCATAGTTGTACAACCCATTTGTAGATGGGAGAAACCACGAAGAAAGGGGACGAACCCCATCACCAGGGTTTTTCTCTCACCAATATTCGTGGGATGATCCTCCAATATCCGTGGTTTATAATCCCCAAAAATCATCCCTATATCAACGATATATCACCGTGCTACTTCATTTGGTTGATCCATGGCCCCAGATATTTTCTTGTGGAAAGCCGCTGGTTACATTACATTCTGAAAACTTAAGGACCAGACCTTGGGATTTCATTACCTACTCTGCTTCTGTCCTGCAACTCGTATTGATGGTGCTTGATGGCGTCGTCATGGGTTTTGGATGGTTTTGGGGTGAGGATATCAGCAGGAGAATCAGTGAGACTTAGTGAGGTAGTCGAGAAAACATGGGGGTGTAAGATGAAGAGGGATCCCACCAAGAAGAAGCCGATGTCAGACACGCTCTGATATCAGCAAATGGAGGTTTCCTATAGGGGTTCCCTTCAAATTTTCCATTTTGGATTGGGATTTTCCATAAACCATCCAGCTATTGGGGCACCCCCACAGTTGGATTCGACCACCAAAAACTGGCATCCAACCAGCAAGACTCGTGGCAGTTTTCACCAACGACGTGGATTTCACTTGTCGATGGCCGGATGTAACGGCCATCACTTGGTGGCGATGGATGTTCAATCCCCCATATTGAAAATCATAGGATTTCGCCCCTTCTCCTTAGAGACCCTGCTCTGCATCAAAGTCGTGCCTCAAAAGATATACGACGTACATAAAACATCCCATGTGAATGGCAAAAACATGCCAGCCCGATGGGTTGTGAATCATAAATAGGTTGTTTGGTCATTCACAACTCATCACAAGTAAACCTTTGGTTGATGTACTACCTAGTTTACTTTCTTTGGGCTCCAAGAATCAATCAGCCAGGCTGGCTCCAAGAACCTAGCATGGGTGGCATCACTCAATCGCCAATGCAAGTTTTGCTTCAAAACACCAATTCTCGTGGATATATGGATACAAGTTTTTCAGCTCATGGAATTTCAGGGCTTTCCAACATGAAGCATTTTTGAAAAAGCATCTACAACACTCATTTTTCGACATAATTATACTTGTGATGCATAAAATTGTGATTGGTTTGCTTGGTTTGTTTTCTTGGCGGCGCTCTCCAATTAGTCAACACAGATTTTTCCACATTTGTTCGACATTTTTCGATTTTTTTCCTCATTTGTTCGACATTTTCCGACATTTTTCCAGCTTTTTCCAACGTTTCTCGACCTTTTTCGACCTTTGCGAACAGGCGAAACTCCCCCGGATCTCAGCGAACTGAGGCCTTTGATGCCTCAGAAGGGATCTTCCCAGTGATCGATGGCGTTTGCGGACAGTTCGATGACTTTGTACAGCAGGTGGGAGACTTTTGATACAGATCTGGAACGATGTGTGTGTCTATATATATATATAAGGTATATATATATGGTATATATATATAAGGTATATATATATATTATATTATATTATATTTTCAATGGTATACTTCTCAAATTGCCTGTATGTATATACATCTATATCGTGTATATATGGGTGTGTCTGAAAATGGGCTATGGCCTTTTACGGGAAAATGATGATTCGTCATGGGATTTTGGGGTACCTTGTCTTCAGACAAACCTACAATGTGGGGCCCCCGTTTGATAGCTAAGTTGGTGAACATAACTCCAATAACTATGGTTTATGGTACGCAAATAACTATAGTTACTGGGGCGAATCTAAACCAACTAACATCACTGGGGGGCCTCACATTGTACAATCATACCATTATATCACTGTGACCGTTGTACCAACCACCACAGTAGGCAACGACTCACGTGCCTTGGATGTGCATCCCACCGATCGGATCCGTGGTTTATAATCCATGTATAACCACTGTTTCATCCCTTGTAATCCACTGGAAATATTCCATTCATCTAAATGGAGGTATAAGCCATTTAGTAAATGGGCCCACCCCCAAGTAATATATATATATATGGTTGATAATAATCCACTAATCATACATACTAATATAATCGTATTGATTATAAAGCTAATATTCGATACCTTCCCCTATTGGTTGATGATTATATGGAATTATCATAATCAGGCCATTATACTGGTAATGTAACCAATACTAACCCCATATATTTGGTAGTGTAAACCCTGTTGGTTGATTATTACAGGCGATTTTATGCTCAACATGGATTGGGGATGATCATCATCCACGGAATTGCTATCGACAAACTGGTGAGTATGGCTGAGATGTTGTTGGCTCGGAAAGCCTGACACGACTCAGCAGTTTTTTGGTGATTTCATGGTTGAAAATTGGCGCTTTTTTTGGGATTTGATAGCTTGCAATTGGGTTTTTTCACCATGGGAAAAACGTGTTTGACCTATGTCCGATTTCCGGAAAGGATATCTTCGGCCTGAAAAAAGGGAAGAATGGGGATGATGTGTTCATCGTTTTGCCGGTCAGCAGCGCGGAATGGGAAATTCACCAGGGCGCGGCTCACCGAAGATTGAACCACGGAAGATGTCCACGACGCACGTTTTCCTCCGCGCCGGGCATCTTTTTTTTTCGTCACCTCCTGGATTCACCGAAAAGTTTTCCAGAAAATGCTGCCCGGAAAGTCCAGAAATTTGAGAAACATAGAGATCTTGTGGGTTTGTGTGGATGTGGTACACTTTGCTGGTGTTCAGAACCTCATCTTTTTCAGAAACATGGCGACAACTCGGTGGCAGATCTCCCATTTTTGGAAATATGTGGCAACCCCGAGATAGAATCGCAACCAAAAATGGATTTTAAGATTCGGAACTCGCTTGAAACCATTTTGTGGTGCACCTCATCTTCATCCCCAAAATCATCAAACCATCCGCTTTTATCAAACCTGGCAATTTTATCAATTTTCACGTCCAAGATAGATATATATACATGGAGTTTGCAATTTTCAAATCCGAAACAGTTGGTGATTTCTGGAGGTCACAGGTTAAAAACGTGGTGAATTTCAGGTGTGAAACCCCGGTTCAGTTCATCCCGATGATCCTCCAGGGATGCCAGGAATCCAAACCAAAAACGGCCGGGGCAGAACATCCATCCCAGCGACTTTTGGTGTTTATGGTAGATATATCCATAGAATTTTCCCAGGGATTCGTATTCCTATGTATCCCCATATTGTTTGGCGATTATACCATTACCATTGATTATACCAATGAAATCCCATAGAAATCACCATGGATCAATTCCATGAAATGTCCGGATGGTCTTTCTGGTAGATATATCCATAGAACTATAACGGTTAATGGGAACTATATCCGAAAAACCAACCATGGGGCAACTGGGATAACCATGAAAACTGGTATAGTGGTATAGTATCAACCATCAAAACTAGTGGTTTTCGATGGGATAGAATGGGAAAATATGCTTGGGAACATGATGACCTATACCCGGCCTGGTTATGACTAACAGTTCGCCATGGTATAGATGGTCCATTGAAATAGATGGTTTACCGAACTTAATAGCATGGTGACTGTCCATGGCTATGTTAAATAACCAAAGGGTACATAGAACTATAAATGACTATATAGAACTATGTAGAACTATATAAAGCTAGATAGAACTATTTTTATAACGATATATATATAACTGTATATATATATAATATTTACCTATGTATAACTAAATATAAGTAGATATAAACATATAAGACTATATAAAATTAAAAAATAAAACATATATAAAACTATATAACAATATTTAAAACTACATATATACCTATATATATAACTATAAAACTGTATAAAACTACTTTTAGCTTTGAACTACAGAATCATTTAAATATTTACAACTATATATTACTATACATAACCTTATGTAAGTATAAATAACAATATATATATGTATAACTATCTAAAACTATTTATATATCACTATATATATATAACTATATATAATTATATAAAACTGTAAATAGCTCTAGACAGCTACATATGACTATAGATAACTATATATAACTATATAAAACTATATCGAACTATATATAACTATAAAACTATATAAAACTATATATATAACAATACGTAACAATATAAAACTATATAGAACTATATATATAAAACTATATAAAACTATATATAACTATATATAACTATATATAACTATATATAACTATATATAACTATATATAACTATATATAACTATATATAACTATATATAACTATATATAACAATATATAACAATATAGAATTATATAGAACTATATGCACTAGGTCCACCGCTCATATCGGACCGTGGTACGAAATGATATTTGTCATATTCCAAGTGCATGGAATGTTCGTAATTCCAATGGCAAATATTTGCGAAAGGCAAAGAAGCTTTCGAACGCATAGTTCCATTGGTTAAAATGTGTCATGTGTAGTTCCCAGTCTAATTTCCTTCTCAAAAGTGTTTTCAAGCTGCCCCTAACTATTAGTTTTTTTGAATGTCATCAATTCTGTGAATTCGCAATCATAGGGGGAGATGCATACGTGTCATTTTGCCCATAATATTGGCCTGTTTTCACACATTCCAGCACCCAGGTGTTCAAAGAAGAATCTTTTCTTCTAAGGGTTTGGAAGTCACGTGGCTTTCAGCAATCTCTTCAATGCTGAAAAGAACTCGTTTGGAGTTGCAGGCGTTACCGATTTTCCTGACAACGTGCGGTATCGTAGCATCATCTTCAAGATGCAAGTGCCAGGAACGTTAACACACCCGCCCACCCCTGACCCCATGGTGACATGCCGCAAGTTCCAAGACAACGCATTAACTTCAACAGAAGCCAGCAAAAATGCACTAAAATACCCACGGGCTGTTGCGGGCGGTGGTCCAACTACATACACATCTTTATATAGAACTATATTTACAACCACACATGCACAACCACACACACACAGGCACACATAACCACAGCCAGAACCACACACAACTATATATATATATAACTATATATAACTATATATAACTATATATAACTATAGATAACTATAGATAACTATAGATAACTATATATAACTATATATAACTATATATATAACTATATATAAAACTATGTATATAACTATATATTTATAACTATATATATATAACTATATATATATAACTATATATATGTAACGATATATATATATAACTATATATATATAACTATATATATAACTATATATATATAACTATATATATAACTATATATATATAACTATATATATAACTATATATATAACTATATATATATAACTATATATATATAACTATATATATAACTATATATATACATATAACTATATATATAACTATATATATAACTATATATATATATAACTATATATATAACTATATATATAACTATATATATATAACTATATATATATATAACTATATATATAACTATATATATACATAACTATATATATAACTATATATATATAACTATATATATATATAACTATATATATAACTATATATATAACTATATATATATAACTATATATATATAACTATATATATATAACTATATATATATATATTTATATAACTATATATATTTATATATAACTATATATATATATATAACTATATACAACTATATATAACTATATCTAACTACACAACTATATACAAACTGTAGTTACCCTTGACATATATTTAATTCGGCATGGTGTAAACCACCATTCACCAACAAAGCTGCCGTAGGTTGGAGTGGTGGATGGTTTGATGACCACCTTCCTCAATGTCGACTTTGTGGTGGTGGAGCAGATCGTGCCCATGACGCGCTTCACCATACGCAGCTTGGTTGCAGTGGTCATGCCGGTGATCATCCCACAGATCGTTTTACGTGGTTCATGACCCTGGTAAGCGTACCTCCCCGAAACGCTGGTAAACGTACCGACGTACCGAAGTGGATCCTCCCACTTACAAATGGGGTATAGCTCTGGGTACTAAGCATTTTTATAGCTGCAGGTACCTAGGGTCCCTAGGGTTGCTCCAAGCTATTGTACTTGGCAGCCCCACGAGTCGTAAATGGGTGCAAAAAAAACCATTTAGATTTATGGGAATATCCCTGGTTGATGGGATGAAATATGGGTCATATTAATGGATTATAATGGCCAACAAATCCAAATCCGATATGTGGGGCCCGCCCATCCAAGTAGGTAGATCAAACTGCCAGTTTTTCAGGGGAACATTGGTGTTTTTACCCTTGTAGCTGCTTGTAGCTGATGGTCTGAAACAACCGTTCCAGTTGGGGCAAGGTTCCAGTTGTATCGTTCAATCCAATTTTGAGTCGGGTAGATGACGTACAGGTACAATACCGCAGGTTCATGTAAATAGAGGTTGATATACCCATGAAAAGCGGGGAACCCGCATGGTGGATGACCACAAACCAGAATTTTCTGTGGGTAAAAAATGGTAAAACAATCATAAACCACCTCATATGTTGATTTTTTTTTAAATACCACCTATTTATGGTGATGACTGGGGGAGTGTTCATGATTGTTTTACTCACATACCATGTAATTTGAGGCGGAGACGAAGATCGCCTCTTCTTCGGTACCAGTTCGAACTGGATGTTTTTCACGGTTTTCTTCGGTCGAGGGGTGACCGGGTGACCGACCTTTAGGGCCACAAAAATGGTTCTAAAGCTAGTTTTCTGACCTTATCAAATAGAGGGGTTTCCCTCCAGATTTGGCCCCGAGTTCGTGGCCATGCGAATGTCAAAAACTTCTCCTTAATCCAGGAGATCTTGCGTAGTGGCAGGGTGCCATGGCAGGCTTTTTGGGGGCAAAATCTTTGATTCGATTTTCCGAAAATTCGATTTTAAAGGCCAGATCGGGAGAGGATTGGCCCAGATTTTCTGGCCAAGAAAAAGAGCACAAAATAATGGAGGTAAGGCTGACGGGTTTGTATCATGGGGTCCCTCGAAAGCCCTTAGTCCCCAATCAACTGCAATCAGCAACGAAAGAAACCTGGGTAGTTATCTATCCCCATGTAGAATTTGGGGATAGATCAAACTTGTGATTGTCAAAGGGTCCTTAATCTTGACGCATCCCGATCTCTAATGGTTGCACACCGAGGTTGATGATCTTTATGTTGAGTTTACAAAACATCGGTTTCCTCGGTTTCCTCGGAGGGTCACCAACCAAAATAGATGGGCTAACCATGATTTACCCTCTGGTAAACTAACATAACTATGGAAAATCACCATTTTTAATGGGAAAACTCACTATAAATGACAATTTTCAATAGCTATGTTAGTTTACCAGAGGGTAGTGGAAGCTACGGGAATTCAACATGTTTTCTATCCATTTCCCATCTTGGTTGGACTACCCAGGGCACCCCGGGACCGATGCATCCGATGCGACGCGGGTGTTTTGAGGTGTCGATTGTGGTGGCGGCTTCGACAGTTGCGACGACAACGACTTCTCCAGCATCAAGGTTGTGGTGTCGGAAACGACCAAAATGGGACAACATGACTTGATGACAATAACAGTAATGATACTGATCATAGTATATAATATATGATAGTATACAAGAGTATATAATAGTATATGATAGTATATAATTGTATATAATAGTCATAGCAATTAATCATGATTAATTTATAGCAAGAAGAAGAAGAGGAAGAAGAAGAAGAAGAAGAAGAAGAAGAAGAAGTGATAATAAGCAATTACAATCATAATAATTCGCGGCATACTATGATACAAAAGCAGTTTCTGACTGGGTCTGGGTAACCTGACTGATGACTTCACTTTCTGGGTTTTCCATTGGGAAATATGTATGTCATACCCGGCTCAAGATTCAGTTCCTCCGCAGGGCATCATTGAACTTAGCATTTTTTCCCATCAGAATCTGACGCTCGAAACACCGATGCCTGGGGAATCAAACCTGGCGATGGATTTTCTCCAGTTCGAGTGGATTTTCTCCATATTTTCTGCGACAAAGCCAGGTAAAACATGGTAAAACCTCCATTTTTACCAGCGATTTCCCAGGGCTCTGTGTGATTGGGAAGATTTTACCTTGGGGAAAATTGAGCCATGAAGAAAATGCCCTGGTTGATTGGTTATGACCTGGTCTGAATGGGACGCAAAACCATCAACATTTTGGGGGGTTTTATAGGGTATTAATAGTATTAACTACCAAAGACATGGGCATATACTTGAGAAATTTTTCTGGGTTGATTGGTTCTGAAATATTCCGAAATGAATTTCCCATGGAAAACCCTCCATTTATAGTGGGAAAATCATCTATAAATGGAGGGTTTCATGGGATTTAATGAGACGTACTACCTCATTTCTTGGGAGTATTTTCGCCGCTTGAATCCGTTACATCCCCAACTAAGCCATCAACCCATGAGATTTTCCTATATACATTTTCCTATGATTTTCCCATTAAACCCTCCATTTACAGATGATTTTTTCTTTAAACCCTCCATTTATAGATGATTTTCCCTTAAAACCCTCCATTTATATATAGATGATGTTCCCTTTAAACCCTCCATTTTCCTATGTTTTTCCCATGATTTCCACTTTTAAACGTCTAGAGCATCCGAAAAAAATGGCACGGCGCACGGCTTTTGGAGGTGATTCCTCGTTCCTGGTCGGCCACGCGCTCTTCCATCGGCTACATGCATTGGAACACCAGCAACACCTGTCCTGAGGTGCCGGTGACCGAAGAATGGTGGGCAACAGATTGTATCTAGATGTATATATATATACATATATATAGATACACATACAATACTTATATATATATATTATATGTATATATGTATGTATGAGTATCCGAGAAATTTATTGTAATTCTGATCTAGTTTTGTTTTGCCTTGGCCTTTCTGAGGTTGCACAAAACATTCATAAACGATAGGGGACGACCCTATACCGATACCCCAGTTGTGATACCTCCGGGAGTACTGAAATCCTCGCAACCGACCCTGATTTGTGCATGGCATTAAATTTATATAACAAATAATTTTGTCCGCTACTCATATATATATATATATATATACCCATGTACTTATATATATATATATGTATATATATATATAGATAGATAGATAGACAGACAGATAGATAGATAGAGATAGATATAGATATACATATGCATATGCATATGTAGTCATACATATACATAGTTGTGTACATTATTAGATGTACATGTACACATAGAAGTGCATGTATTTTTCACATCCAAAAAGTCTTCCCATTTCCATTCCCAGACATGTCAGGAACTGGATGGGAATGCAAGGACCCCACACCAACGGACATGGGTTCCCATTTGGACGTGCGCAAATCTTGTTTGTTTCAAAACTATTGTGGAATTCGCCAGTTATGTACACACACACACATATATATATACATATGAATGCATGGTAGCCCGCCGAAAACCTATGAATTACTCATTCGGTGTATGATAGTAACAGTAATAATAATGATAATGATAAAAACAATTAATAATAATAATGATATATATATATATATATGAATACATGATATAATATATAATAATAGATAATATAACATAATATATAGTATATATAATGTAATATAATATAATATTTACAGATACATATACAGATACATAGATGCGCCCGGAGTCCGTAACTCTTCATCACTCCAGAACTGGTTATGGCCCAGGCCATTGAAACCACCCAGTGGTATTCTCCGGTGAATTGCCAGGAGCTGATCGTTTTTAGTGAATTGCCCGGTGATTTCTGGCTCCCATGGGTTGAAACTATGGCTTATTTAACTGCTAGTTATTGTGGCTTTACTTCATGGTTAATGGTCAATGGTTTAATAATAACAACTAAATATGGTTATTCACTCATTATTTCTGATAGTCCAGCTCACTGTGGGTGAAAAATAACAACTAACTATGGTTTATGGTTCAAACTATGGTTTTACTAACTAAACTATCCATGGTTATTCAATGTGCTGATCCGTTTTTGGTGATCCTCTAATGTGGGCCCTGTGGTTTTCAGATTTGGTGAAGTATGTGAAGTGTGGAGTGCAAATCGGCTAGACATGGTGGGAATCTGTCAGCTTTTCGATGGATTTCAAGGATTTGATATCTTGGTAGATCTTTATACATGATAACTGAATATCTGCAGGGTTCCTTGACATTTTGGGGGTCCCAAAGTTTTTCACAGTGTGGTCATGATATCGCCAGAATCACACCTTGGATTTCTTTAACCTTCTCTAAGAGTTGGTTCTTGGTGCCCTTGGGCGCTTTGCGGCTACTTTGATGGAAGCTGATTCGCTAAGCCAATTTTTGGGGGGTCCCAGAAAATGGCTGACCCATTTTTTGGCAGCATATTAAAAAAAATGGTCAGAGGATGGGATTACACACATCGCAACCCCCAAGAAGATGGGAATGCTGACATTCATGTACTACATTTCCTTCAGGGATTCTAAGGATTCTATATGTCTATCATTTCGGGGGTTGCTGTAGTACTAAGCTGCCCATCCAGTTTGTGAATAAGTATCATTTTCCAGCTATAAGATAGGACTTATGATAGTATATTCTGGAGGATCATAATGAATAGACACACAGATGAATAGATAAACCCATAAATAGATAAGTAAATAGATAAATAGATTCATAGTAAACAAATGATGATAAAATAAATATATATGTATATATATATAATATACACGGACCCACATCTACCCATGTCCAATCATATCTTCATGTATAGCTGTCCCCAGAAAGATGCCGCTGGCCGTGTTTCCAGGAGGTTAGAAACTGATGCATTTGGTACACGTTTCCAGGTTTCCCAATTTTCTATCTAATTGGTATTATATAGATTGTAATCATGTATGGCAACCCCAACATTTTCCATGGGTCATGACTGATGTCCCCATTGGACATCACCCAACCATGAATGGTATATGGTCTACTAGATGGCTACTATAAGGTGATGTCCAATATACCCAAAATGGGACAGTTACCAACCCCTGTTTTCTTGGTGACAACCGAAAAAAAACATGGATTCCATACACATTTTTCTTCCATACAGATTTTTATCCATCAGGGATATGTTTCTTGGAATATAGAGTTTACGAACTATAGGTTGAATTCCATAGGAGTTCCTGTTGTGTCCATGTCTTATTTCTTGGGGACTTCTATCCCTCATTTTTATACATCAGCAACCAATTTTCCATGAAATCACAATTTGTCTTGGCGAAATCACCATTTTTCCTAAGATTTTCTTGGTGAAATCTCCATTTTCCCTATGTTTTCCCATGGTTTCCCTCACCGGCCACACACTGATCGTCCTGAGCTCCAGGAAGACGGTTCGCGCACCGCGGAGAACTGCAAGGTGCGGCAAGAAGTACTGTATGGGAAGCAATGGTACACATCTGTGTATATCATCTGTATATATGTATATTATTATATATATATATGTATATAACATATATAACACACATATATATATATTATACATACATGATATTATGCTATGTATATAAATATATATATATACGTATATATATATCTTTCTGTCTGTATGTCTATTATCTATCGATTATCTATCTATTTATACACTATTATCTATCGATTATCTATCTATTTATACACTACACATATGAACTTCTTAGATGCAGCCATGTCTATTTATACACATGTGATGTGTGCATCTATACATCTGTATGTACAGGAACGTAAGCAATCTTGCAGGCTATGTGTACAAGAATCACCATTCTTCCGAATGTGGCCGCTTTTCCCTAACATGTGGATGCTAATTTTACGAAATCATGGTGAGATCAATAAACCAGCGGGGGAGATACGCATCTTAACACCGCCGAAAGTGATGTGCTTTCTTTGTTTTTTTTTTGTGGGTTGCTCCAAGCTGTAGGTGAATCTTAACCACCGGAGAACTGTTTTTTTTTTAAACCCTTTATTTTGTTTTGTTTTTTTCTTCCTGAGAAACGGAGTATAGTCTTTTCTTAGGGACCTATACTCTGTAGCTAAAATCACCAGAAACTTTAGTTGACCTGGACATATAAACCAACATAGCGCAGGGGCACCATCTTCGTTGCAGCTGGACGACGGGAATTTCACTGACAAGTTTGAATCAAAGGAAACACAGCCATCATATGGGACTGTCCAACAATTTGTCTATTGCCAGGTTGGATTTTAGGACAGTTTTCAGAGGAGGCTCCTCTCCTGATTTTGATCGATGCGCACTGGAGCACTGCGGGATAGGCAAAAACTGGGCAAACAACGTCAAACAAGGCAACCGGTTGACTTGGCGCCCTTGTAATTAAGGGTAACGAATTTAAATTCTGATTTTTGAGGCTAAGAGAGAAAATGCTGGTATTTGCAGGAGTCGTCAAAAAATGTTTGCAACATGGACATTCATTTCGATTGGCAGGCGTGTGACTCAAGAGTGAAAATTTGCGTTTCGCCTGCGCGGTGACTCGATTTTGCTCTTCAAGGGTAAAAAAAAAAGAATTCTATGATTTTCAATCATCCGAATCATATCAGGGCGACATTCACTCATCCAGTTTTTTCCTCTTCTCGACGCTTCAGTGCCAGAGCGCTTGTGGCAACTTAGAAGCCACAGACTGCAACAAGGCAGCATTGTGACGCCATGTCCAGCTGTAGGCCCAAGTGTATCTTTTTTGTACACTTGTTGATTTTTTTTTGTGGAGCATCGACATAGGTCGCCATTTTTTGAGGTGCTTCCATGTACCATCCATTTGTTGAGTACCAGCAAAATAGGTTCACGCAAGAAATCCAACAAAAGCGCGTCAGAAAGCATGTGCAACATGTCAATAACGGCATCGTGTTCCGCAACGTAAGGGAAGTGCTCGTCAAGGACGTTAATACACCCCCCCCCACGCCCCTTGATGATCATACGACAGCATGTGCAACGTGTGCATGTTCCGTACCGTCAGAGAAGTGCTCGTCAAGGACGTTAATACACCCCCCCCCACCCCCCTGATGATCACAGGCAACGTGTACCTGTTCCGTAACGTAAGGAAGTACTCGTCAAGGACGTTAATACACCCCCTCCACCCCCACCCCCCTGATGATCATACGACAGCATGTGCAACATGTTAAAAACGCCAAAAAATCATGTTAAAGACGCAAAAATCAAATCCTATACCCCCATTTCGGAAAGCCCAATTTTTGAAGTTTGCAGCCCTTCCAAGGGATCGTAAATGGCACATCTCAAAATTAACAACCCTTCCAAGGGCGCCTTATCAGCCGCATGCCTCAAACAACTGCGCTCTGGTAGTCTTTCTCACCGCGCAAAAAAGAGATGTCCTTTGCCCATTGGTTGGTTGATTAATAGAGGGTTTGTTCACCCCTTTAACAACAGGTAAATGATGATAGATGGTATACCAAACCGGCCCCTCTATTTTACCAAAAGGACATTATTGTTTTGGCCGCGATGGAGGTGGAGGATGCATGATTCATGACACACACACACACACATGCATGCATATGAATATATGCATATACTATATATAATTCGTATATATATATTTACATACATATTTATATATACACACATAGTCTACATGCTATTTGCAAATACATGTCAACTGTTTTTTTTTCCGCTTCCTGACAGGCCAGTGGTGGTAGCAACATGACGGATAAGTCGGGGAGCTTAGTTGGCAGATCCCCGGGGAGGTTTCGTACAATGGGGGTACCCAATAGCTGGATGGCTTATTTCATGGAAGATCCCAACAAAAACTGGATGATTGGTGGGGGTACTCCCATGGATTGGAAACACCCATTTATGGAAAAAAATAAGGAATTACTGCTGGGGAGTGGACTTTAAGCATTTGGCAAATGGGGGTTTCAAGCAGCACATGTAATTTTTGCTCACGAGGATTTAAGCAACAGACCTTGGTGGAGGATTGGAATTTGAAGCAACAGTAGAGGGTTCACCAGCAAATTCTAGGGGAGATCATTTTTCTTGGACATGAATGTCACAACAACATTTGTGGATGAAAACAATGGTATATGTAAAGCACAATTCAACAGGATGGAACACGTTTGGCCTGTGAGTTCTTTGGCCTGTGAGTGGTTCATTCTATCCAACCAGAACCGGAACTTTGGGGATGAAATTTGCCGAAACAGAGCCCATCAGGCCATCAGGCAACTAGTTCTATCCAGTCCCAGCCAGCTGCATCCTGCTGCATCCTGCTGCATCCTGAGGGTCTTTGGATACAATGAGATCAAATTTTTGCCCAAAGTGGATGCTGACAACGTGTCTTGCGCAGAATTCCGAGTCGTGACATGCCTGGGTTCTGACTAGAAAGACACTGGCTGAGAAATGTTACCGCTCGTTGAACATTATCAGTTGAGCAGTGTTCAAAACTGCTGTTGATTGATGATTGTAGGGGATTATATTACCCAGTATATTGGGGATTATCGTAATCCATGAATGGGATTTCCGTTCTTAACCAACGAGCACTGTAGAATGAAATGACGTCGAGCAGCCAACTTGAACCTTTTGACTTGGGGATCAGTTCACTGGAACAGCCAGGGCCAAGTATCAAACCGCTGACTCCTCGTGAGGGGTTTCTTTAACAATTCTCATTCCATACCCTCCAGTAAACCAATATACCCTCTGGTAATTTAACATAGCTATTGAAAATGGCCATGTATAGTGGAATTTCCCATTATAAATGGCATTTTTCAATAGCTATGTTAGTTTACCAGAGGGTAGACATTTGAAAATTTGAAATGCAGGCTTTGGAGTCATCATTTCCGGGCGCGATTTTTTCCATGGATTTGCTCCTTCTCCTAGATCACCGTAGAGAATTGCTGGCAGGTAAAATTTCGTTCCAAACCTGGCTGGTTTCCCAATCGGAAAAGGAACTATCAATGGTGGATTACTATACACAAATGCTGGAGGAAACCAGCATTCTACCAACATTGGTGGATTTTCGAGGCTTTTTTCGCTTCTGGTTTGGGAAAAATGCTTCGTTGAAAGATGTTTTTGGCAAGCTTCCTGATAAAGAAGTTGCCGGCATCTTCAGGCCGGAGTTGCGCAGTTCTTTGATATTTGCTTCGTTCACAAGGTGCCGAATCTTTCATCCCACAGTGGCCGGCCGTGACGGCCTGTGACCTGGTGTTTGTAGTCATACTATGACTTAACACCCGATCTCCGCTACTTGTGATATCCAACTGTTTTTAAGTGGTGATACAATCCCCTCTGCCCCCTTGGGATTATTCCGGGGATCAGAAGTAGCTTTCTTAACGAGTTCCTTTATAGGATGGATTTCCAAGAACAGTTAGTAGTTGGCCGCACTTTCGCCTTTGGATGGTTTTTGGACTGGGCAGCGTGAAGATGCGTGAAGCAGTCAGGGGGAAACCGTGAAACTGTTCAGGGTCTGAAAGTGGTTGGTGGTTACAATGTGCTTGAGGGAAAAACAACATCCTCTGTATCCATACGTATATACACATATCCATATACCCATATATAAATATTATATACATATATTATATACATATATACACAGACATGATATAATATAACATATGTATATAAGTAGATAAGAGGATGATGATGATGATGATGATGATGGATGCCTGTCTGACTGGCCCATATTTTTTGGGGTTCTGAATGGCGGCTCAAGGATCAACATCAATGTGGGCCCCATGACTGTTTCGCCGCTCCATTTTCGTTGGTTTTTTTTTCGTTGTTTTTTTTTTCCGTATCCCCCAAAAAGTCGAGGAGCAACTTCCGATTGGGAACATACAAGGGGAAACTTCTTTTCCATTCTTTCAAAAAGGGGGGTTACCCTCTGGTAATTTAACATAGCTATTGAAAATGGCCCCTTTATAGTTGATTTACCTATTAAGGATGGTGATTTTCTACAGCTATGTTAGTTTACCAGAGGGTACTGGCTACATATCGCAGTGATGTTGGCTCTTGATCACCTGCAGGATCCGGGCGTGGACGGTCTGAACATCCGATCCTTTGAACCATACAGTGACGCTGCGATGCAAGAGACGACAAGGACCTTCTTTAAGGCACGAAAACGCGCTGTTCGAGAATTTTTCTGGCCCTGGTACAATGATATATATATATATACATGTATAATATATATATATAGATATGCATAATATATTTATATAGATTATATGTATAATATATATATATATATTCATTCATTCATTTATTTATTTATTTACTTAAAGCCCCAGTTGACTGGTATATACATAATATTGTATATGTATATACAAATAGGGTCTTATTGCCCATATCAAAATAGCTTGAAAGGGGTTGCTCAAGTTCCTAAGAGAGAAGATCAATGGAACATATCTTTCAAGGGAATGTGCCATGAGAAACGGACAACATTGGTCATTCATAGGGGATGGACATCTCTTTTGATGCGTCGCTACGTTTTTCATAGGGAATGGTGAGACGGTGAGACGTAAAACGTCAATTTTTGGCTGACGTTTGGCTGACTCTGGCATCGCTGCCAGGGACTTGCAAAGAAAAAAAGAAGAGAACATGAAATAGTGGCTCAAAGTGATATATATATAATATATATACCTGAAGTATATATGTATATCTTTATAGTAACCTCAAAAAAGATGCAGAAAAGTAATCGTCTACTAAAATAGTCCCGAATTATTTTTGCGCATTTTTTAAACAGGGGTTCCTGGTCCCAAAGTGGATGCTTTTCGTAAAAGGTGACCACATTTCTGGGTCCAAAATAGGATATCCGGTAGCCATTCGAGAAGGGGAAATTCACCATGGAGGGATTCGGAATGTCAGCTTTTCGGCTGTTGAATGGGTGATTTGACACTTTTCAATGGTACCCGCCTGGTAAACGTTTACATAGCGAACTGGCAAATCAGTATCTTATTAGGTCAATAATCTACAAATGGTCCATGGCTTCCATAGCTATGTTAGTTAGAAAAGGAGAGTATGTTTCACCAGCCCTTTTGGAAGAAACTCAAAGAAACTATCTTCTGAATGGGCGGTTTGATGCACCGCTTATGGTTTCTGAACATATACAATTTTATCTAAGATAGCGATGGCAATGGCCCATAGAAATAGATGGTATACCTTTTCAAAGTGGTGGATCTTTCCACAGTTGCTATATCCCCATGAAAAAAACCAATGATTCCTGGTGAAATCCCCATGCCTGACACTCACCTCTCCTATTTTAAACCATATTTTTGTTGCAAGAACACATCTATCATAGGTAATTTTTTTAAGGACCGAACCCTGTTCTCCCTCACTGAGTGAATACTGCTTAGGATTCGGGAAATCATCCCCTTTTTTTTGGCCCAACAATTCAGCTTAGTGAAATGGTTTGAAAAAAATTACCCAGACCTATGACCATTCCATGACTGTACCGGTTCCACAGGTGGGTCAGTTGGTGGTGGAACCGATTTGGCTCTACGGCACCGATGGGTGGGTTTGGGTCACCCAGAGGAGGGAAGCTGCGGTATATCTAAATTACATAGCTGTATGCATATATATATATGTATATGTATATGTAAAACATATCATATTATATAGCACTATGATCATAGATCATAATATATCACTACAGTCACCGACAGAATTATGGAAAAAAATAAACCGTTCAACTTAGACAGGCGGCGCCTGCGTCCGATTTTTCCATAATTGGATTTTTCCCCATAAGGGTTCAAAATATCCCGGAAGTGATCCGAACCTTTTTTTTTCTCCATAATTCTTGGAGGTGGCCATTATTTCCATAATTGATTTTTCCTGTGAAATCAGGGGGCTAGGGCAGATTGACCGGTTTTTCCATAATTACATAATTATTTTTTCCATAATTAATGTTTGGGGCTCCACCTGTTGGACATGTCATGGATCCACAATTCAAACCCGTTTTTTTTTGGGGTTATGGAAATATGTATGCAAATGCAAGTATGTAGTATCAACCCAATTGGTGGCTTGGCAAAAGGAAACATCCAGATATTATGTATATCAATGGCAGGCTTTAGGGGCATATACCAGATCTTTAGACACATATTTTCTATAATTCAATATTCCCCCTTAAAATGCATTCAAATTGCGAACATCACATGATATTATGTATATCCAGGGAAGACTTAGGGGCATATACCAGATCTTTAGACACATATTTTCTATAATTCAATATTCCCCCTTAAAATGCATTCAAATTGCGAATCGATGGACATACAGTCACCGACAGAATTATGGAAAAAAAATAATTATGGAAACAATAATTATGGAAAAAAAAAGGTTCGTAACTTTTCTATCATAGACAGGCGGCGCCTGTAAATTGAAACGTTTTATTTTTTTCCATAATTCTGTCGGTGACCATATCATTATCATATAGTCTATCACTATGATTATCATATAGCATATCACTACTATTATCACATATATAAATATCTTTCTGCATTGTCTATGCATTTACATACTGAATATTCAGACAAACACACATCTGTATATATATATATAAATAAAACCATATATATATATATATACATACATACACAATCCGATCATCCATACACCAGTAAACAAATAGATGGAAAAGGCGCTTCATGACCAACTGAGTATGAACATATCCCGAAGCTCAGCATTTTTCGCTCCAACCCCAAATCCCCATTGAAGTGGCGATTGGACACGACTGAAGTGGCTGATTTCATATTTCATACATGTTTCCATCCCATTGGTTTACATAAATTGTACCTGGTTTTCATCAAACTAAAAAAAAAGTGGACGCCTTCAATTGGAGTTCCCGTTGTCTCTGAACCTTTCGATTTTCCCCCCGTATTACAGAAACCGCATGTTTTCCGCACCAGGATGGGTGCCCCCCGGTAAAAATGTTGGTTTATAAAGCCCATGAAAGCTATAGCAATGAACTAGTTCGTTATATCTACCATAAACCATAGAATTCAGCCACTTATGTTAGTTGGTCACCGGTAACCTTCCCAACCCTATCCAGCTCCCAGGGCTCCCCAGGGCCTCCCCAGGGCTCCCACAGGTCATGACGCGTCCCAATGAGATCCGCCTGGGTCCTCCGGACCTGTCGCGCACGAGCAACCTGCATGGCAGTCTGCTGGAGGGCTACCTGGCCAACGGGACCGCACCAAGGGGACCGAAAGGAAGGGATGGGCTGAGGAAAAAAGGGCAATGGTTACAACACATTGTTATTATTATTAATATTTATTATTCATTTATCATTATTATTATTGTTATTGTTATTATTATTATCAATGTCAACCCCGGAGTTTGCTAAACCATGGTTTATTAATTAGGGGGATACTCCCCAAATAGTCATAATATGATACTTAAATGGTATCACCCCCAATTAAACAGACTAGGGGTTTATTAATCCAGGGTTGACATTATTTATTATTATTATTATTAGGTTTTATTGTTGCTGTTTTTGTTATTATGGTATATGTAGACACATATACACATTGGAATAGTTATTCTTCTGCTTTATTCTTCGTGTTATTGTTGCTCATTATTGTTACTTCTTTATTTGTTTTTTTTATTCATTAATCAATGGTTGTTGTTTATTGTTATTGAAACTAGCAATATTATTGTTATGCTGATGATCATTACCTTTTTACTAGTATTACTATTATTATCATTGTCATCACGTGATGTTATTAATGTTATTTATTATTAATGTTATTTACTAGTATTAATGTTAACAAGTATTATTTACTATTAATCTAATTTTTTTGTTAGTAATCTTATTAATCTATTTATGTATTAATGTTATTATCATTGTCATCTTTTCTACTTTTTTAGCACGTGCAACGCTTCGAAGTGGTTCGTTTTTAGCGCACGAATCGTGCGAACGAACGCAATGAACGGAGGATCGCCGGGATCAAAGGAGTGGTTGCCCTAAGCAGCTGGAGATATGCTATAGATACCAATATGGTTATAATATGGGTTCTAATATTCTATATATATATAGAATATATATATATATCCAACTGGGTTCTAATGTGGTTATAATGGACCACTTCAATAACTATAGTTAAAATCGATTTAAACCAATCAGATCGGCGTTTCCATGGAGGCCATGGTCTGCAACTGGTTTTGCAGCCATCAGAGGCCAAGCAGTCAAAATGAAGTATGTATATTTAAATATACATGTAGATATACATTAGATACGCACACGCACGCATATATATATATATATGTTAGACATATGGATGTATATATGAATTTATGTATATGTATATGTCACTGGTACATTTTTTTGGGATGTGAAAAGCCATGTCACAACAGTCACTGGATCCAATGTCTATCAATCATCTCGGCTCGCGCTTGGCTCGCACCCGAACATGGCCAGCAGTCAGATCTCACATGGCCTGTGGTGGTTCAGGAAATGTATTTTTTTGGGAAATCCCCTGGTGAAATGTATGGGGAAGTATGGAGTTAACGGTATATATATATACATACACTTCCCCAATCTATAGTTTGGAGTCCCCATAGTTAATGGTGGATAGCCAGGGGTTAATCCATCAATTACAATATAATATGGGAAAGCCTATAGTTTGATGGATTTAGCGGTGACTGTCACAGTTTGCTGTGACAAAGATCATACCACTGGGTTAAGCTTTCCACGGCGCGACTTTGATGTTTTGCACATCCCAAAAAAATCTCCCATTAATGTTAATCCCATTTATCCTCATTCATATCCCCATGATATTCCCACTATATCACCTTTTTACATAACCATCAAATATCCCATCAGATTTTTTTAAATACATATATCCTCAAATAATATATCCTTGCCGCTTTTCCGCTGTACCTTAACCTCCATTCTACCAAATCCCATGAAATCACCAGAAAAAAACCCATGAAATTGCCGCAGGACGGATCCAATGGGGCCGATGATCAAGGTGCGGATGAAAAACTGAAAAACTGTGGGGTGTGAGCATTTTGCGCTTAGCAAAACGGCATGTTATGTTTATATTTATGCTTGTGTTATGTTTATGTTTATATGTTTATATATATATATACGTTTATATCTTTGTGTTGTGTGTGTTATGTTATGTCATCTTATGTTATATTATGTTTATATATTTATATACTTATATGTTTATACGATTATGTCTTTGTTTATGTCTATGTAGATGTTGATGTTTATATGGTTTCGTCCACGTTCATGTTTATGTAGATGTTCGTGCTTATATGGTTATGGTATGTTGTGGTTATGTTTGTGTTTATATGGTTACGTCTATATGTTTATATGTTTATATATGTTTATGTGTTTATATGTTTACATGTTTACATGTTTATGTTGATATGTTTATGTTTATATGGTTATGTTTATGTTTTTGTTTGTATATTCATGTTTACGTTTATGCTTTTGTTGTGTTTATATGTTTATATGTTTTATGCTTTATATGTTTTATATGTTTTATATGTTGTATATGTTTTATATGTTTTATATGCTTGTATGTTTTATATGTTTTATATGTTTTATATGTTTACATGTTTTATATGTTTATATGTTTATATGTATATGTTGATATGTTTATGTTATGATGTGTTATGTTATGATGTGTTATGTTATTTTATGTTATGTTATTATATGTTATGTTATGTTATATTATGTTATGATATTATTTTGTAAACAACTGATTTATCATACTATGTTATGTTAACCAACCATATCAATGAACAACACATGCTATGCCTTGAGATTGCAATCTTTTCTTGTGAGGGGGTACTATATCATTTTTTGGGCAGGTTGGTTCACAGCACAAGAGTCACATCAGTTGCAACTTGTCACCCAACTTTCCGAACGCTCACTTTGCGTTCAACGTGTTCCCTTGGTTTCACATCAACTTAACATCATCCACTTTTCACCTCCAAGTTGATGTACCTCCTCAATCATCATCAATTTTTTCATCATCCATTTTTTCACCTCCAAACTGATGTTGAGTTTTATGATGTTTTCATCATCCAATGTGGAACTCAGGATGGCCGTTGTCAGGTGATTTGATGGCTAAATCGACAGTTTCACTGGTGATTTTTTTTTTCACCACTTAAACTCAATATTCTCCAGACTAAGTCATTATTATAAATTATGTACCAAAACAAGCTGATTTTCTGAAAATCACCAGATTTCACCACTTTCATCTCCAGATTCTCCATAAATCTCGTCATTTTTTCCCATTGTTCTCCCAAGATTTTTCGGTTCGCGGAACGAGGTGATCCTGGAAGATCAGACCACGGGGTCCCTGGACGCCTACGGCTGTTTTGGATTTATCCCCAACGAGGCCTCCGTGGTGCCTTGGAAAACTGCGAAGATTTCCATGGCGAGACAACCATGATTTTCCATAGCTATGTTAATTATGATTTTTCCTGGGTGATAGTATCTTATAGTATAATTATATACATATATATATATACACATATATGTATATATACACATAATGGTGATACAATGGTGATTATATGGTAAACATGGCAACAATCACCGGATAATGGGACATTAGTATATTATCATTATATAAACGTGGAGATTTTCACTGGGGAAAATATGAGAAAACCAAGGGGAATACGGGAGGCTTATAAAGCCACCTAACTACAGATCCGGTATAGATCCAATCTTTAGCCTAGTTATTGAGTAAAGTATAACGACCGAACCCTGCCAACCCTGGAATGATGGTCAGTAGGAGTGCCTATCCCAGAATAGCCAAGCTTTTCAGGTTAGTGAATGATTATACCGAGAAACATAGAGATTTCTCTGGGGAAATTTTGGGAAACCATGGGGGTTCTGGCAACTTTGCCAATGGATTTCTTTGATATATGCAATTATATGCAATTATATAGATATGATATGATGAGATATGAGATATATGTGGATGAATTATAATGACCGAAGCCGTTGTGAGGTCACTAGCATTATGACATGATTAGATTAGTGGCAATCATCCCGAAATGGACAAAGTTTTCAGGTATGTTCACGTTAGTGAAGTACTATAGTTTAGCTAGATATATTGGGCATATAATGGAAACACAATGGGAATATGATGGGGAATATCTATCATTTATCCAGAGATCCAATGGGAACATGGGGATTTCTTTTTCCAGCATTAACCAACAATATCCATTGATATCTAGGGGATACCCTCCAGTAAATCAACATAGACCCTGAAAATCACCCATTTTTAATGGAAACTAGTCTTCCAACCCCTATCTGCCAGGGTCTATGTTAATTTACCAGAGGGTATCTACTGGGATACTCAGATATTTCATGAGATTTTTCATGGGATTTTTCCGGATATTTATTCATCGAAGTCTGGGCGACCCTCCCAAAATTTTCAAAGCCAAATGGCAATTGATAAGCCCCAAATTGAAATCACCAGGCCACAGATTTGCGAATTTCATTCGAATTTCACATCTGAATGGACTCCTTTACCCTCTGGTAATTTGTTACATAGCGAACTGGAAAATGGCCCAGTCGAAATAGTGGATTTACCCATTGATCGCATGGTGGATCTTCCCCATCAGTTTTTTGTTAACGTTTACCAGTGGAGATTCCGTTGTTTTTTAACCCAGTCGACTGGAATCCGGAGATACCCGGCCTGGTAAACGTTAACAAAAAACGATGGAAAATCACTATTTTTAATGGGAAAACTCACTATTTCTATGGCAATTTTCAAGAGCTATGTTAGTTTACCAGAGGGATCGTTATCCAAGCACAGTTGATGCTAGTTTACAATGTTTACCCGTTTACCCGGTTACCCCATGCAACCGCAGATAAATGCACCATAAGTCTACTGTAATCTTTAACACAGTTACGAACCAACTTAGAACATGACGCTTATAAACTATTATAAACCCATCTAAGTGCAGATAGATCCACTATAAATCCGATCTTTAGCCTAGTTCTCCATCCAACTTACCCTCTGGTACTCTCTGTCCGTGGCTTTTTTGAATATCATCTACAAATGAGGAAAATTCTAAGGGGAAAATCATCTGTGAACTGTGAACGGTGGATTTTCAATTGCCACATCTGACTCTTGGAGGGCACCCTCTGGTAAACATACAAAAAACTATTGAAAATGGTCCAGTCGAAATAGTTGATTTACCGAAGAAAAATGCATGGTGATTTCCCTAATCGTCATGTAAATGTTTACCAGGCCGGGTAATTCTAGTTATACCATGTTTACTATCAGATTCACCAGTGGTGAGCCCCTGTAAAGGCCGTAAACGTTTAGCCTCTGGTTATGACTAACAGTTCGCCATGGTTTTTCGATGGCCCCAATCGAAATAGATGGCTTACCGAACTTAATAGCATGGTGATGGCTTCCATGGCTATGTTAGTCATAACCAGATGGTACATATAGCTATGGAAAATCAATGAACCCTGCAGCATTTTTAGTTCGGTAAATCAACTTCTATGGCCATGGCTGAAAAATAGCAAACTGTGATTGTTTACCAGAGGGTACTGTAACAGTTAGTGATATCCAATTTATGGTAATATCCAATGGGTTATATTTCTGCTTAACTATGGTTTATGATAGATACCCTCTGGTAAATTAACATAGACCCTGAAAATAGCCTAGAACTATAATGGAAACCAATCTTCCAACCCCTATCTGGCAGGGTCTATGTTAATTTACTGGATGGTATAACTATCAATGGGAATTTCAGGATCCTAAAATGGAGGTACGTTAGTACCATTATAGGCCTTATATATGCCTACGGCAGGAAAACCGTACGTGCGTTTTGCTTCTTTTTTGAGTATTGCTCTTTTTCTTGGGGTTGGGGCGGGGTGGGGTGGGGGGGCATGTTAACGTTCCTTGTACTTCGTACATGATATATTGCCATGTTGCTAAGATCTCGGGGATCTTTTACTACGTTACGTGTTGCTACGCTGCTGAGATCTCTAGTGTGGGTTGGGGTCGGGGTGGGGTGGGGTGGGGGGGCATGTTAACGTTCCTCGTACTTCGTACAGGATATATTGCCATGTTAGTGTGGGTTGGGGTTGGGATGGGGTGGGGTGGGGGGGCATGTTAACGTTCCTCAAACTTCGTACAGGATATATTGCGATGTTGCTAAGATCTCTGGGATCTTTTACTACGTTACATGTTGCTACGCTGCTGGTATCTCTGAGATAGTTTCCTACGTTACAGGTTGCTACGCTGCTGAGATCCTTGGGATCGTTTACTACGTGACATGTTGCTACGCTGCTGAGATCCTTGGGATCGTTTACTACGTGACATGTTGCTACGCTGCTGAGATCTCTGGGATCTTTTACTACGTTACATGTTGCTACGCTGCTCAGATCCTTGGGATCGTTTACTACGTGACATGTTGCTACGCTGCTGAGATCTCTGGGATCGTTTACTACGTAACATGTTGCTACGCTGCTAAGATCTCTGGGATTGTTTACTACGTTACATGTTGCTACGCTGCTAAGATCCTTGCTGCTGCTGGGAAGATTGACTCTCTGTGGAATTTGGCTAAAAAAATTGTGCCTAGCAATTTGCAGACAAAGGCAGGGCAGAACAAAGATGTCATGCTATACCTGCGTTGCTGGCAGTGGCGTTATGAGTGCCATAGTGGCAACTTGCTGTCGAAGACAGCTTCCACACTGATGGATCGCTGAGCCGACGAAGAGTGTGAAAAAAAATCTGCGCATCCACGTCTGATGCACATGATGTTTACCTGGATTTGTTAAAAATCAATAGATTTTGCATCCACTTTTTTTAACCCAAATTCAGTTATCCAAACTGATCGGAAGAGCATTTTATATTGTAAATTACAGGTGATTGTGACTCTCCTGGAAGCAGCCAATCAAAACGCTCGCGCGGTTTCCCTTCCGCCGGGTTATATATGGGATTGGTACCTCCAATCAATCGGTTCCTGAAATGGCCATTGAAACTATAGTTAATGAGATTATAAAGCAACCCTTACTGCAACAACCAGTAAATTAACATAAACCATAACTATAGTTATAACTGGATGGTCTATAAACCATAGTTGCGGTTTATAGTTAAGTTAGACAATTGGATACATGGCTTAGATTCAGATTGGTGTGTCAGTAGGCTCAGTAGGAATAGATATTTTGGTATACCTATCCCTATTTGTTAATGGGTTTATAAAGCAACCCTTACTGCAACGCTTGCCGTCTAAGGCGGGTGTCTACTGTTCCAATCGCTCCTGGTGTACTCCGCGCGCCACCAAAGTGGGCCAGGACGGCCGAGCGCTGGAACATCCCTGGAAACCGGCGGTTGCAATGGGAAAATCCTGGGAAAATCCTGGGAAAATCCTGGGAAAATCCTGGGAAAAAGTGGAACAAATCTTGGCAAAGTCCTAAAAAATCAGGTTCTGGAGGTTTGCTGGGAAAATTTATTGAACTGAAATGAATCTAAATGAGACTAGCTAGCTGTTTTGTTTTTTCCAGCTAGCCATGCTTGATGACACCGGAAGGCCTAGAGGACAGCTAGGCGTCTCTCCCCGAAATCATGCTGGTTGTTTCAGAGCTTAGGCTGCGATGTTCCCATGAAAATGGCCATTGAGGATTCTACTTGGTTCTGTCATCTCCCATCGTAGAGTTTAACTGGTATATCGTAACCATCCATTCGTTTGGGTTTTTTCATCACGACCTTTCGGGATGCTGCCAATGACCTTCACCACGTCCCCAATGGTCCCAATCTTCTCGCAGCGTCTGAGGAGCTGGTGTTGGATGGAGGGAACCCGGATCATCGCATCACGGTCCTGAAGGCCGGCTTTGCCGCGGCGAAGCCGAAGAAAAGACTCGGGGAGATTTTCCGATATCCTAGGTCAATCTTACATGGATACTTTAATCCTAACTAGTCTTTTGGTATCTGGCTGGGAATATCTACGTTCACCAGCATTCAGAATTGGTCATTTTTTGCAGGGTATCTGGCTGATTTTCTGAAATATCTTGCATGGATTGGCTGGCATCGATTGGCTGATTCTGAGTGAAGACCCGTGATGGATCAATGGGAATTTCAGGATCCTAAAATGGAGGTACCTACCATATATAAGGCCTATATAAGGGCTATTTTTCAGGGGCATATCCCACCAAAATATGGCCTTATATGGTACAGTACCTCCATTTTTGGATCCTGGAATTCCCATTGAATGGATGAATCTTGGTGGACTTTTCGATCATCCTTTATCTGGGCTTGTACCCAAAAAAAGCCTCCGGTACCCTCTGGTAATTTGTTACATAGCTATTGAAAACGACCCATTTAGTTCGTTGATTTACCTATTAAAGATGGTGATTTTCCATAATTATCTTAGTTTGCCAGAGGGTAAATGAAGAATTCGATCCTGAAAATCAAGCATTTTCAGTTTCACGAATCTTCCAAGCCCGATGATCAGCCATTTTGGGGTGAAAAACACCATGGATGGTGATGAAAGTCCACTGAACGGCCGATGTCACCATATATTTGTTGTTGGAAATGCTTAGGGTAAAGCCAATCATATATAAACCATCCCCCAAATTTCACAAATCATCATTTTGATGGCATTGGATAAGCCCCGATGGAAAATCAACCATTGTTCATAGGTAAATCATCTATTTCTGCCATCCATACCAGTTTGCTATGTAACGAATACACATGACCAGATTTTATACCATCTGGTTATTTAACATAGCCATGGAAAATCCCTTATAAATGGAGGTTTATAGCTGGGAAAATCATCTATTTCTATGGGCCATCTATACCATGGCTATGTTAGTCATAACCAGAGGGTAGATCATCTCCCCATGACTTTCCCCCATGACATTCCCGTGGCGAAAGTCTCTCGTCCAATAAGGCGGGTGTAACCTCGGTCTGCTACTGTGAGGCAGGGAATGGGTCAAAAATCCAGAACATGGATCAATACAGGATGGGGCCCCCAAGATAGCTAAGTTGGTTTATAAGTGGCTGAATTAAATGGTTTATGGTACTAGTAGATATAACTATAGTTAATGGGGAACATGGATCAATAGCTATTTTGCATTTTGGATGGGGGAATCACAATCCATTCATCAACCCATCAACTGACGGATGTAGCTATTGATGGTAAAACAATGCCAGAAATTTACCACCCATGACTGGGACTGGTTTTATCGCAGCGATAAAAATGCTGATGACTGGGGGATGGTTTGTGAAATTGTTTCACCCAAATTAACATTTTGGATGGGGAAATCAACCGTCCATGAAAACCTGCTATAACTTAGGGTACCGTTTGGGTCCCTAGGTTTTGACTCACAAACATAACTATAGTTTTGAATATATATATATAACTCTTCAAAGAAGTAAATCGAGTATGCGTCCAAGAAGTTATAGGAAGATCTATTTATGTTACTAGCCTCAGTGAATAGACCACTTAGCAATGCAGTTATTGCTTCAAGTTATTGGATCATCCAGCTATCGTTATGACTATCTACTTTGGAAGCAATTGACTAAGCTATTGGGCCTCTACTTCAGTACACTTTTTTCCATCCTGGAAAACACTCGTTAAATCAGGAGCTTTGTGAAAAATCTTTATTGAATCGTTAAATCATTAACCATCATTAACCATATATTAACCATTATTTATTATACACTTATAGGATCCCATTATGAATCACCTATGGTTAGTTAATCACCATTAATCACCATCATTCTTCGTTGGTGAAATCCACCATGATGTTTAAATCACCAGGCATGGCCTGCCGACGGAAGGGAGCGGTGCAACCGGTCACTCAGCCTGGTGCATGGCATATTGGCTGGGGACACATCATCTCCATCCACTGGAAAAAAACCTAGTTTTAAACCAATCGAAAAATCATGAACAAATTCACCAATATAGTGTATTCATCAATAGAACCCGATATAGTGTATATATATGTATATATATATAGTGTATCCACCACTGAATTCATCAATAGAACAATGAAAAATTGTTTGAAACTTGAATCGAATCCTTGGGAACTTGGCTGGATCTATCATCTAAGCATCACCAGCAGTCACCAACCCTTTGCCAGAAATGGTGTTGTTCTGTTTGGCCTTGGGGATTGAAAGATAATATATGATAATATGATGCCTTCTGCCTGAGCTAGATGGTTTTTAATTTCTGTGCAGATCCCATGATTGGCGTCATATGGAGGTGTCCTAAAATGCTACCCCAATAGCTGGATCATGCAAAATCCTACAACGTGGGGCCCCGCAGTAATAAGTTGGTTTATAAGTCCCATTAACTATAGTTATAAGTACAATAAACCATAGTTATTGGAGTTATAAACCAACTTAGCTATCTAGGGGGCCCCACATTGTATAAACATGGAAACCTCCTAATGTAGTTGTATCCTGACATGATGAATGCAGAATTCACACCAGCTGTAACTTCGAGACTGGGTTTTAGTCTCCGAACATGGTGATGCCGCGTTGCGCGTTGCCCTAAAAACACTTCGTCTTGGACTGGAACCAAGCTGGGAATCATACCCTTTGGTAAACAAACATAGCTATTTTTTGACATGGCCATAGAAATAGTTGATTTACCCATTACCGCAATAGCATGGTGATTTTCCCATCAGTTTTTTGTAAACGTTCACCAGAGGGTAATTTCTAGTTATACACCATCGGATCCACAAGAACTATCAATAATAATCTCATTCCCCCATTCTATAATAATTTGTGAGTCATAAATCCTGGAGTGTATCAATTGGACGTTCTCCACGATATTTTTTTGGGCGTTATTTTTATTCCCCACGTTTAGCACCAGTCATAAATCCTGGTCTGGAAAGCTCAGCTTCCTCAGCCAGCTTCTGGCTGAGGGTGGAGGATTGGATCCTCGTGGGCAAGTTTTTGGTTTCTGGACCCAGAGGGAACCAGGAGAGCAGGGCCGGCAGGGCACGGCAGGGGATCCCGGCAGGGGATCCAACTGAGCCGGTCAAGGTTGCTGAAGGTTGGAGAAGCGGCACGATGTCTCTCTTTGTCCTTTTTTTGCACGACTTTTTTTGTTGTATCTTAGATGGTTTTTCTTGTTTTTCTTGTTTTTATGTGCGAAATCGCACGAATTTCATGCTCTATGATTATGATATATTCCAATTTGGAAAGGCTATTGCCATGGTTTTTGTATTGCCAATGAACAAAAAAAACCTTGTGATATCCCGTTGTGGTTTTGTAGACTTCCTTCTGGGATCCTCCACGGTGGGCATTCTCACCCTTGCGCAATTTGCGCCAATTTGGATTTTTCAGAATATCTTATGACTTAGTAACTTTCGGATTTAAGAATATCTTATTACTTAGTAACTTAGATAGCAATCAGATATCATTTATAGGCCATGGTTTTTTTCGAGTGTATAATGGCATACATGAGACTCTTGGCCACTCAAAAATGGTTTACGAAATGGGTCAATTATAACCCATCAATATCACAATGACTTGACCCTGTGGCTTCCTTTGAAGAAATTAGGATAGATTTTCCTGACCAAAATGGCCACGACTGGGGTAAGATCTCTCATTTTGAGACACCCAACGATGATATTGAGCTATGTCCCATGAAAAGCATACTATATATATATATGGTATATATATATATACATATATATATGGTATAGAGTATTAGATAATATATGGGGAGGATGATATTATTGGATATATCCCATCAAATCAGATGGGGCGTCTCCAGCTTGGTGAAATCAATGGCGAGGCATCGCCAGAAGTTGATGCGAAAATCGCTTGGTGAATTCAATGGTTTTAATGGCAGATATAACGAGAAATTACCGGTCAAACGTGGCCTTTGAGTTATGCCTTATTTATAAATATCAATATGAATATAAATAAATATATAAATACATAAATAAATATATATATATATATATGTATACGTATTTTTAATTATGATTTTCCCACTGTCAAGTCTCCGTTCAGGGGATTTTCCACGACACCTGAGCTTACATTTAGTTACGGTTCGGGGGCCTCACCGTACGTATATCTAATTATTTTGAGGCCATTAAACAAGTTGATACATATGTAATCTAAAGACCATATGAAATTGTATATCTAATGTCAATTTTAAGGCCATATGAATTATACATATTGTATTTTTTTTCGTCCATTGAAAGGTATCAACATTGAGTCTGACTTTTTTTTTGTCCCCTTGGAGTCTCGTCAGGAGTGGACATTGGACACTGGGATGATACAAAGCCTCGAAGTGGAAGGTGTGGATACTTGGGGTCTTCCACGGATCATGTTTGTGGTTAACCATAGTTCACCCATTTATAGAATTTTAGATGGAATTGGTCAATTTTTTGATTTATGATTTTTTATGATCACTAGGCTGATTTATGATGGGAGATATTTTCATGACATGGTATATGACGGGGATGTGTATATATATATATAACATCTCATTGGTAGCATGATTTTTTCTATCGCGGCTGCGATCCGCCACTGCTGATGATTGGTTGGGGGTTATACCCTCTGGTACACTAACATAGCGAACTGGAAAATCACTGTTTTGAATGGGTAAATCCACTATGTCTATGGCCATTTTCAATAGCTTTTTGTATGTTTACCAGGCCGGGTATATTACATAATCCAGGATGAATTGGGATGGATTTTCATGGATGAAAAAACAGCATCTCTTGGAGAGGCCACACATCCACATCACTTGGAACTGGGTGATGTGAAGAGTTTTTGGATAATTAGGACATTTACCAAGCCTTTTTTAGGCTCACATGTCAACTTGCTTGCTGGTGAGTTTTTGTAGGGTTTGGTTCTGCCCATTTGTATATGCACATATACATATATATATATATGTATATTTATATTTATATTTATAAATATGTGGGATAACCCTGGGGAATGGTGGAACTGTGAAAACCATGGTTGTTTAGTTGGACCCTTGAGATTCCTTTGATGATCCTCTAAGTTGCAGTTTTACTGATGCAAATATCGAAATTTCTTCACAGGAACTGTGACTATTTCACTGGGGTTAACTAGGGTTCTACCATCCGGTAATGAATCATGGATATTGGATTTCCGCTATACATTGGAGGTTTTATAGCTGGAAAATCATCTATAAATTGGTCACTTTCCAGCCACTTTTCATTAACGGATGGTAATCCAGCAAACTCAACCGATTTTTTGTCAGGAATGGAACCAATGGCACCCTCAAAATGAATCCTAAGATTCAGATTGGGGGTACCCCCAGTTATCATCCAGTCATGTTACCCTCTGGTAAACAACATAGCTATTGAAAATGGTGATTTATAGTGGATATTCCCATTAAAAATGGTGATTTTCCATAGTTATGTTAGTTTACCAGAGGGTAGTCCATGACTTTGTATAGCTAAAAAGCCACGGTTTTTTTTGGAGGATGCCCGAACGGAGGAGCACCAGTTTGGCCTTTGGAAATCAGATCCCGTGAAAGCGAAGTACATCACCTGATCGAATGGTCGTATTAAGTTTACGCCGAGCAGAGGCCAAGGTGATGATGATCTGTCCAAAAAATGGGCAATAAAGTTAATATATCTGGTTGGTGGTTTGGAACATGGCTGGATTATGACTTTCCATTGAGTTGGGAATGAATAGTCATCCCAACTGACGAACTCCATCATTTTTCAGAGGGGTAGGTGTACCACCAACCAGATTAACTTCATTGTCTCCACTGAAATTAACAGCAGTTTTCAACGGGTATCCGGCCCGGTCTCCACGATGTTTGGAGAGTTTTTTTAGCACCCAAAAAATTAGCAAAGTAATTTGCCACTACTTTGGTAAAATTTCACTTTTCTATATGTAATGTACATATAGAATTATATAGATAGATACAGTTGGTCTATAAACCATTATAATCCCCATATAGTTGGAGCACGGCCTTTATCTGGCCGTGTGTTTTCGTGCACATTGGGGGGGTGGGGGTGGGGTGGGGCATGTGTTAACGTTCATGTGAACTTGCTAGGTAAGTGGACTCGTCTCTGTGTGTGCCGTTATGTGCGTGTAGACATGGGCATTCAACGATGCACCCGTCAGTAACGCAATATGTGTTCATGTGGTGCTGGCGCTCCACCCTGGACAATCCAGATCCCCAAAGGTTCCTGGAAGAACTAGAACAGTTGCTGTGAGAAAAAAAATCAATCAGAAGATGTCTGCTGGAAGTGCGATCAGTTTCTTTGCTTTCAACATCATTTACTTGTATGAATGCCTGTCTTTGGTTATAGTTAGCTGTTCGATGCAAGTGAAGGTCCGTTGCAAGGTCGTCTGGCAGGTTGTGCCAAATTCATCAATACATAACATGTTGAAATCCAGGTCGGTTGCAAGGTCGTCTGGCAGGCTGTGCCAACTTCATCAATACATAACATGTGGAATTACAAAAAATGCGTTTTCGCCTAGGCAAAATACTTGTTTTTTCATTTCATGCACCAGAATAAGGGGGTTTCTTGTCTTTGAACTCACATCAAAACAATACAGGTCGAATTAGTTGGGGAGTTCTGAGAAACATCAAAAATGATAGTTTCGCCTAGGCGAAACACTCGATTGCGATTTTATGCACCAGAATCAGGGGTTTTTCGCCTTTGAAATCACATCAACCAAAATCCTATTGGCACGACCACATCAAACATCATCCATGACACCCCGTTGATCACAAAAACACCACGGCCAGATAAAGGCCGTGTTCCTAGTTATATCTACCATAAAACCATTGAATTCAGCCACTTATAAACCAACTCAACGCTATCGCTCGACTGGGGGCCCCATCCTGTACAGGCCTGATTCATAGCTGTTATCAGATGCAGTGGCTCCAGGTTGGGGCCTGCGTGAAACCAATACCATCCGTATCCTCGAGAAGGGTCAGACCTGCCGTGATGTGCGGGGTCCCGGGAAGTCAGCAAGCCCGGCGTGTGCAGATTCGGAGTTTATCCGAAACAACATCCGAAACAACAAGTAACCGAAGAAACCACAAGAAAATCGGGAAAATGGTGATTAGCCAATGGATTATTTTTTTTCTATAAAATGATCAGAGAGATCCAACTAGATTGATGTTCTACAAAAAATGATGGGGTTTGAAGCAGACCATCTGAAGTCACAAAAATGAGCACCTGATTGATTGGTCTGGAAAAGTTGAAACGATCTCATGTTGCTGCCTTCGCAAAACTGGTTCATATTTGTGTAAATAGCAGGTTTATCTTTACAGAGCTTGGGATTTATTGTGTATACATATATAAACATACATGTGATCTTAGTAGTAAGTATATATATATATACATATGAACTGTTTAGACATGGGGTGATGGTGTGATGCTTGGGTGTTCACACCCAAAACCCAAACTCAACCCCCTGTTTTTCAGGCGTGAAACTATTTTTATGGTTTAAAGCAACAATTTTCATGGTCAACACCATAGAAACAATGGAAACAATGAGAAATTTGGACTGGTCAAAACCGTCACTCTGACTCTGAGAACTAGAACTGAGGTTGCATCCTGTGTAGTGGGACTGGATTGTTTGAATTGAAGCTAGATGCCCCCGGCATCTGATGGCAATGATCATCATTTTTCCCCATTTTTCCATGGCAATTTTAGCTGGTTGGTGGTTTGGAACATTTTTTATGACTTTCCATCTATTGGGAATTTCATCATCCCAACTGACTTTCTCATATTCTTCAGAGGGGTAGGTATACCACCAACCAGTATATATATATATATACATATGGAAAATCACCATTTTCAATGGGTAAATCCACTATTTCTATCACCATTTTCAATGGGTATCCCATGAAAAATCCCCATGATTTTTTTTTGACCGAACAATTTCGGATCTTCGGACCAGTCTTGTGGATTTCGTCCCCCCTGGCGCCCTGGTTTCAGGACAGCCCAGAAAAACTACCACCATCCATCCCAGGATTAAGAAAACGCAGTTTAATAATAGGAGAAAAAAATTAAGAGTGATAAATTCAGATTATCACTATTCTGGGACGCCAAACTGTTTTTGGGTCTATTCATCCGCTGTGAATTTTTGATCAACGATTGCTGAAAATTCCACCGATAAATTCCTTTATATTCCATAATATTCCATCATAATCCCTATATAATGGATATAATATCCCCATAGTTGAAGATATAATGGATATAACCATGATATAATACTATATATATATATATATGGATGGGGATTTATATATTATATCATAGTTTCATAGTGATATAAATCCCCATCAAATCCTCAAGAATCCGAGAATCCACGAGGGTTCCACTTGGTTCCGATCGGCTTTCAGGAGGGATTTCTCCAAGTGGCTAACCATGTGAAGTGGTGTTCAGCGAGGCACCAAGCTGTGTAGCTGTGAAGACTGACCGCCATTAAAAAATGGCTATTTTCATGGGAGCTGTACGTGTATATATATATATATGTATTTAAACAATAATGGCGTTTGAAACATTTCAGCCTTGTTTTTGTTGTATTAACCCATCACATTGACTTTTTTCTCCGGATCTTCGAGGATTTGGTAGGCAGTCACAGCTTGAAATAGCTTTTATGGAGATCGGGGGGCGCGAATTGTGTGACGATCCAGCATTCCCAACAGGCAAATAAGCCAGGATTCACCTGGGTCATTGGAAAAAACATATGGTGGTGTACGAATTTTGCTCGTAATCACTATATGAATATATATATATATATATATGAATATGTATATATATACATATATTTATCATATTTACCATATACAATATATATATGTATATATACATATTTATCATATTTACCATATACAATATATATATATATATATCATATATTTATCACATTTATCATTTATCACTGTGGGGGTACTCTCTGATAATTTCACTGTTTGCTATTGACAAAGAACCCATTTTTAAACGCTGAATTATCGAACTAAATGAATGATGGTTATGGACATTGGTCCATGTTTAGATGATTTACCTATATTTACCCATTAGCAAAATTGTGGTTTTCCCGAACAAACTGTTAGTCATGACCAGAGGCTAACCAGCCGAATAATAGAAAAGCTGCCACGAACGTGTATATATATATATATATTACATTTTGTGAACATTATGCGTAATGACATTATAATTATTATGATGTAATGACAATACATAATAGATATTACAGTATATATATATACATAATTTATTATTATCAGCAGTATGTTTCTATGTTATTTATGAATTACTTTAACAGAACATATATATATATAATATAGAAATGATGTATATATATACAATATAAATAATGTATATATATATATATATCACATATATATGTGATATATATATACACGTGATATGTATATACATATATATATACATATATATCATATATATATATATGTATATCATACATGTATATATATATATGTATGTATGTATTATATATATACATAATAAAAATCTATACATATATGATTTATATAATATATGATATATATATATAAATAAATATATATATATATTATGATATAATCAAAGGAAGTTGGGAAGCAATACTTCCGAGTTACGAATGACTTTTACTTGATGGAATTGACTATGATGAAGGGTGGTGCGCGAGTGAGACTTGACCTTGATGAAGGGTGGTGTGAGACTTTACACTACATAACAATACATCAGAAAAGAACTGACTTTGATGAAGGGTGGTGTGAGACTTTACACTACATAACAATACATCAGAAAAAAACTGACTTTGATGAAGGGTGGTGTGAGACTTTACACTACATGACAATACATCAGGAAAGAACTGACCTTGATGAAGGGTGGTGTGAGACTTTGCACTACATAACAATACATCAGAAAAGAACTGACTTTGATGAAGGGTGGTGTGAGACTTTACACTACATAACAGCACATCAGGAAAGAACTGACCTTGATGAAGGGTGGTGTGAGACTTTACACTACATAACAATACCTCAGAAAAGAACTGACTTTGATGAAGGGTGGTGTGAGACTTTACACTACATAACAATACATCAGAAAAGAACTGACTTTGATGAAGGGTGGTGTGAGACTTTACACTACATAACAATACATCAGGAAAGAACTGACCTTGATGAAGGGTGGTGTGAGACTTTGCACTACATAACAGTACATCAGAAAAGAACTGACTTTGATGAAGGGTGGTGTGAGACTTTACACTACATAACAATACATCAGAAAAGAATTGACCTTGATGAAGGGTGGTGTGAGACTAGATCGCATTGGAATGGCTGCATGATGTTGCAAGGGCTGTGTGTTGGGGAGGAAGCCGGAGCACGAAACCTTGTGTTTTTCCGTGTAAAGTGGCTGCAGCCGGCGATGAAAGGTATCTCGTCTGTGCGGCGGGTGCGGCTGCGGTCGGTTTGCCTTTTTTTTTTGCCGCATTGTAGCGGTGGCTTCAAGCTGCTTTGGGTGTGCTTGTGTGTGCGTGGTTATAGGGTGTTTTGGAATCTGTGCTTGCAGATCGCATTGGAATGGCTGCATGATGTTGCAAGGGCTCTGTTTTGGGGAGGAAGCCGGAGCACGAAACCTTGTGTTTTTCCGTGTAAAGTGGCAGCAGCCGGCGATGAAAGGTACCTCGTCTGTGCGGCGGTGCGGCTGCGGTCGGTTTGCCTTTTTTTTTGTTGCCGCATTGTAACGGTGGCTTCAAGCTGCTTTGGGTGTGCTTGTGTGTGCGTAGTTATAGGGTGTTTTGGAATCTGTGCTTGCAGATCGCATTGGAATGGCTGCATGATGTTGCATGGGCTCTGTTTTGGGGAGGAAGCCGAGCACGAAACCTTGTGTTTTTCCGTGTAAAGTGGCTGCAGCCGGCGATGAAAGGTACCTCGTCTGTGCGGCGGTTGCGGCTGCGGTCGGTTTGCCTTTTTTTTTTTGCCGCATTGTAACGGTGGCTTCAAGCTGCTTTGGGTGTGCTTGTGTGTGCGTAGTTATAGGGTGTTTTGGAATCTGTGCTTGCAGATCGCATTGGAATGGCTGCATGATGTTGCAAGGGCTATGTTTTGGGGAGGAAGCCGGAGCACGAAACCTTGTGTTTTTCCGTGTAAAGTGGCTGCAGCCGGCGATGAAAGGTACCTCGTCTGTGCGGCGGGTGCGGCTGCGGTCGGTTTGCCTTTTTTTTTTGGCCGCATTGTAACGGTGGCTTCAAGCTGCTTTGGGTGTGCTTGTGTGTGCGTAGTTATAGGGTGTTTTGGAATCTGTGATAAGCTCTCCAGCCTTTCGTGCCAGTGCGGGCCGAAAAAGCTGCCAAAAGCCTGGACCAAGTGTAGCGCAGAGAAAAAAGCATCTGTTGACCTTGGACTGCGTGAATCTCCTTGACAGGTAACAACTAACTACACCATGTTTACACTTGCCGTTGCGATTTGATGCAATGCATCAACGCTTGGCATTAATGACTTCAATATTGTAAATATTTTATGTTCTACACCTTTTGGCATGCAGAAGAATCGACATGAGTTACGCTCAACCTTGCTGACGTCGAGGAGCGCCGAGATAAGTTGAAAGTAGCTCCAACGCATGAGAAAGTTTGAGCTGCGCTCAGATGACATGAAAATAGCCAAGAAGAACGTAGCTGACATATGGGAAGACATGAAACCAGATGAAAAAAGCTCAGATGTGAAGTGTGAAGGGTGCAATGTGATGTGTGAGGAAAGTGCTTGCTTGACGTTGCATTGCACCGGGGACGCGCGCAGGTCATGTTCTTGGACAGCAACACTGCAACAGCTTCGCACAAAGCACGCACGCACGGGCCTGGCTGGCGCACTGCGCATGCAAGTTCCTTTGTAGTAGTACTGGGAAGAGATTCATGAAAGCTTAGATGACATATGAGAAGAGATGAGATGAGAAGAGCTGAGCTGGGATAAGGTGAGAAGAGCTCAGATGAGATGAAGTGTGGGGTGTGAAGAGTGCAGTGTGAAGTGTGGGGCGTGAAGAGTGCAGTGTGGAGTGTGAAGACTGTCAAGTGTGAAGTGTGACGTGGAGCTTCAATTGTGACATGTGAAACAAGACACCAGTTTCGCAGAGTGCACGCACGCACGGGCTTGGCTGGCGCACGGCGCATGCAAGTTCTATAGATGAGAAAGGTCTTATATATATCTTTAAGGCAACTTCCGCCCCACCTCGTGCGGGTACTACTGGTATATATATATATGGTATATAGACATGATATATATATATGGTATATAGACATGATATATATAAATATATATGATATATATATTATAATATGATAATCATGGCAATGATAATAATATTAGTGACACAATTGATAACAACGCTAATAATGATAATGATAATAATGGTAATAATGATAATAATGACAATCATAACAATGATAAGAATAATACTAACAACTAATAATAGCAGCACAGTACATTCTATTGCGTTGCTTCACAATGCAAAAGAATATGCTTTCAAATCCCGCAAAATGCCTGTAACATCCCTTCATAGCTATGGTGCCTTTAACTTCGGCTGTGGGTTTCTCTGAAAATAGAGTACATACCCCGAAATTTTGGCTGTGGGTTTGGCTGAAAATAGAGTATATACCCCGAAATTTTGACGGTCATTTTTTTCTTGGAGTTAGATCCACCATTATATATATATGTATCACATGTATGTATATCATATATATATATATATATATCCACCATTTTTCTTGGAGAACACTTCCGGTGTCACCCAGCCATCTTCAGCCAGGAATAAGGGCATTTGTGTGATGCACGCGCAAGGGACCAATGCAGCTTGGTCATGGATCAACGGAAAAAAACCCCTGGGGGCTTCGGGGTATCGGGTGCGCTAGCTCCGTCTGGAAGTAGTTTCATTCGAGTTTATATTGAACTGGTTAGATGGATATGGGTCAAAATTGGATACCCCAATAATTGGATGGTTGGTACTCAAAATAGACTTATTCTTCGTGGTGCCCCAGGTCTTCCACTTTGACCGATGCCCAGATATTTGTATCTGAGGGATACTGCTTCACATGTGTCCATTTGCCAAGAATTTGGTCAGTTTGGGTGTTGCATAGCATGGATTTCTGCATGGTGATTTCAAAGTTTCATCTTACCCTCTGGTAAACGTTTACATAGCGAACTGGAAAATTCACCATGCTATTCAGTTCGGTTTTTACCATCTCTTTCTATGGGCCATCTATACCATGGCGAACTGTTAGTCTTAATCAGAGGGTAGTATCCAATAGCAACCTGTGAGGATGATCAAAAAAAGAGATCGTTGCCATTTTTTTTTGGCGTAGCGAGGCTAGGGAAACATATCGGAAAGCCTGCGACAGATTTCCCATCACAGGGTTTCCAAAAAAGTTTCCACCACAGATTTCTGGAAATTCTTGGAATTGTCATCCAAGTGGCTGGAGTTTGAAAAAAAACACTGGCGATGGTTGGTTGCTGATTGTAGGCTGTGCTACTCAGCATATTTCGGATCACATTCCATGAACAGGGAATCCGCCTGAAAACCAACTATCATATGGGATTATCCACTATTGTTTTGACATATAAGTTGGACATTTCAGTTACATATCCCATTGCACCCGAATTATTCCCAATAATATTCGCATATCACCCCGTTTTGGGTTTTGTAAAAACTAACCCATCCACAAAACGTCCAAGAATGCCGATGCTTGGGTCCGGTCATAGGCCACAAGCATCTTCGATCTGCCCGGCATCTTATGGCGCCACAACAGTACGGATCCACCAGCCTACATCTACCTCATTGAACAAGCGGAGGATGGCCGAGGTGTGCAAACGTATACCGCCTTTGGGGATCGGGGGATCGTTTTTTCATGTTGCTTTGCCTGCTTTGAGGTTTGTGTTTGGGTTTGTTGTTGTTGTTGTCGTTGTTATCGTTGAACTATTCATAAATTTCATGTGATCATTTTCTGAAAGCTGCTATCATTTTCGATTTCACCTTTCATGCCAGGTACTTTCCTCCACTTTCCCGTGGTGCCGGTCATCAGGCTGGGTAGGTCTGAGAGATCTCCCCAGCAGTTGCTCATCATTTTCCGCATGAACGTGGCCATTTCGGTGGTATACCCCGTTTAATCCCCGTTTGAATTTCGCAATTGAACTGCACACGAACATGGACATGGATTTAGATCAAGCACCGAGCGTTTGTTGGTGGAATTTCGCGGGAATGTTTCTGGGAGGTGAATCTGCCACGTAACCATCATTCACTCAGAGTAACCATCAGACTTGGGGATATTGGAATGGGTTTAAAACATGTTAAAACACCTGTAGAGGGAAGGCTAGTGAGTTGTTTGATCCAAAATCCCTTTAGCGATGCTTCAACGGATGGAGTTTATCTATCTCCATTTCTTGGAATTACATGCAGTACACGCGGTAGAGCTCTTGTATATTATATTATATTATATTATAAAATGGGCTAACGCCCTGGTGCCGCCGACCCCTTTTCAAGGGTGGAGGAAGAAGTGCGCAGACATAGAGCCACTCAAGAAGCCCAGCAAACGCCTAGGCCTAAACATTGTAAGACATACGTATGTATATATATTAATATATATATATGACATGATATGTATTCCATTGGCAAAAGTGGAATGATGATAGAAATTGGGGAATACTGATGACGTCATTGTGGCGACGCCACCAGGATGAAATATTGTGAAACACCCCAAGACATCCAAGACCTTCTAATGCGCATGTCTCCTGTTGAGATCGCTGCAGCTATTCATGCTTTATTTGTGGCTAAGACTTTTTCAACTGACCCTATCGAGCTGACTCCTATGCTTTCCATGTTGGCATTTTGATGGTTTTAACTGGTTTACCTTGATCATGTTGGCTTCCCAACATGATGCATAATTTGGAATGCTCGTTTTAGGGGTTTTAGGGGTTTTAGGGGTTTAAGGGCTGGCAAACGGCAGGCTTGGACGCCCATAAGAAGCCTAAGAAGCCATTGTTGTGGCCTTGGGGTGCCTGTTGGCATGGACCGCGCTGAGAAGAAACGATGGATCTGGCCTTGGGGTAGCTTATGCCTGCGCGGTTGGGCATCCCAGACGCTTGGACAGAGTTTTAACGGTTTTAAGCCAGACGCTGTGGCAGAGTTTCAACAGTTTTAAGGGGTTTAGGGGTTTTAGGCGGGGTTTTAGGGGTTTTAGGGGTTTTAGGGGTTTTAGGGGTTTAAGGGCTGGCAAACGGCAGGCTTGGACGCCCATAAGAAGCCTAAGAAGCCATTGTTGTGGCTTGGGGTGCCTGTTGGCATGGACCGCGCTGAGAAGAAACGATGGATCTGGCCTTGGGGTAGCTTATGCCTGCGCGGCCTGCGCGGTTGGGCATCCCAGACGCTTGGACAGAGTTTTAACGGTTTTAAGCTGCGCGATTGGGCGTCCCAGACGCTGTGGCAGAGTTGCAACAGTTTTAAGGGTTTTAGGGGTTTTAGGCGTTTTAGGGGTTTTAGGCGGTTTTAGGGTTTACTGCTGCAAACGGCAGGCTTGGACGCCCATAAGAAGCCTAAGAAGCCATTGTTGTGGCCTTGGGTGCTGTTGGCCAATGGACCGCGCTGAGAAGAAACGCTGGATCTGGCCTTGGGGTAGCTTATGCCTGCGCGGTTGGGCATCCCATACGCTTGGACAGAGTTTTAACGGTTTTAAGCTGCGCGGTTGGGCGTCCCATACGCTGTGGCAGAGTTTTAACGGTTTTAAGGGTTTAGGCGTTTTAAGGGTTTTAGGGGTTTTAGGGTTTAAGGGCTGGCAAACGGCAGGCTTGGACGCCCATAAGAAGCCTAAGAAGCCATTGTGTGGCCCATTGTTGTGGCCTTGGGGTGCCTGTTGGCATGGACCGCGCTGAGAAGAAACGATGGATCTGGCCTTGGGGTAGCTTATGCCTGCGCGGTTGGGCATCCCAGACGCTTGGACAGAGTTTTAACGGTTTTAGTCCCATACGCTGTGGCAGAGTTTCAACGGTTTTAAGGGTTTTAGGGGTTTTAGGGGTTTAAGGGCTGGCAAACGGCAGGCTTGGACGCCCATAAGAAGCCTAAGAAGCCATTGTTGTGGCCTTGGGGTGCCTGTTGGCATGGACCGCGCTGAGAAGAAACGATGGATCTGGCCTTGGGGTAGCTTATGCCTGCGCGGTTGGGCATCCCAGACGCTTGGACAGAGAACGGTTTTAAGCTGCGCGCTGTGGCAGAGTTTAACGGTTTTAAGGGCGTTTTAGGGGTTTTAGGGTTTAAGGAAACGGCAGGCTTGGACGCCCATAAGAAGCCTAAGAGCCCATTGTTGTGGCCTTGGGGTGCCTGTTGGCATGGACCGCGCTGAGAAGAAACGATGGATCTGGCCTTGGGGTAGCTTATGCCTGCGCGGTTGGGCATCCCAGACGCTTGGACAGAGTTTTAACGGTTTTAAGCTGCGCGATTGGGCGTCCCAGACGCTGTGGCAGAGTTGCAACAGTTTTAAGGGTTTTAGGGGTTTTAGGCGTAGGGGTTTTAGGGGTTTTAGGGGTTTAAGGGCTGGCAAACGGCAGGCTTGGACGCCCATAAGAAGCCTAAGAAGCCATTGTTGTGGCCTTGGGGTGCCTGTTGGCATGGACCGCGCTGAGAAGAAACGATGGATCTGGCCTTGGGGTAGCTTATGCCTGCGCGGTTGGGCATCCCAGACGCTTGGACAGAGTTTTAACGGTTTTAGTCCCATACGCTGTGGCAGAGTTTCAACAGTTTTAAGGGTTTTAGGGGTTTTAGGGGTTTTAGGCGTTTTAGGGGTTTTAGGGGTTTTAGGGGTTTAAGGGCTGGCAAACGGCAGGCTTGGACGCCCATAAGAAGCCTAAGAAGCCATTGTTGTGGCCTTGGGGTGCCTGTTGGCATGGACCGCGCTGAGAAGAAACGATGGATCTGGCCTTGGGGTAGCTTATGCCTGCGCGGTTGGGCATCCCAGACGCTTGGACAGAGTTTTAACGGTTTTAGTCCCATACGCTGTGGCAGAGTTTCAACAGTTTTAAGGGTTTTAGGGGTTTTAGGGGTTTTAGGCGTTTTAGGGGTTTTAGGGGTTTTAGGGCTGGCAAACGGCAGGCTTGGACGCCCATAAGAAGCCTAAGAAGCCATTGTTGTGGCCTTGGGGTGCCTGTTGGCATGGACCTATAAAAGAAGCCATTGCTGCGGCCGTGGGGTGCCGTTTCCCTGCGGAGGTGGGCAAACTTTTGGAGGAGTTGGAAGGTTTGGAGGGTTTGAGGCTTCGCAAACGGCAGCCTATAAAAGAAGCCATTGCTGCGGCCGTGGGGTGCTCTTGAGCCATTGCGGTGGCCTTGTGGTGGCGTTTGCCTGCAGTGTGGGCGTGGCAAGGGTTCAAGAAAGACAGGATCCACACCTCCGGTGGTCCCAGGCGCCGCCCCGGCCTTGGCGAAGGCCAGGGTCGGCGGATATTGTATTGTATTATATTATATTGTATTATATTATACTATGTTATATTATATTATATTATATTGTATTGTATTATATTATATTATATTGTATTATATTATACTATATTATATTATATTACATTACATTATTATATAATATTGTATTGTATTATATTCTATTATATTATATTACATTACATTAGTAATTAGTAATTAGATTATATTATACATTATATATACCGAATTAACATCGGTTCAAACCTGTTGTAAATCAACGATGGGAATCCTCATAGTGGGGGATGCATCTCAAAAGGCGGTACATGATGCAAATCAATGGCATTGGGTATGGGTCAATAGCTATTAATACCATTTTTAGGGGAATGAACATCCATAAATCCCAGCTATGACTTGATGTGAACAAAAAAGGGGTACTATTGGTTTTGACCCATCCCCCTATGAAAACTCTATACAAGACACATTTATTTCTAGATATGATCTGGTACAGACATCATGTTTGATGGTTGGAAAGCAACTCGTGCGGGGAAAGTCATGTAGAATCTAAGCATGTAATTTTTATAGTGAGATACCAAAGAATCCACAATTTCCACAGGTTGGCATCAGTTTATCACTGGGCCGCAGGCAGTTCGACACCATTGTCATCGAAGAGAACGTTGTGCCCCAGGTTGGAACGAAGTGGGGCGGATTTGACTCAAAGTTGTGATTTTTGGGCTCAAACAAGTGAAGATTTTGATCAAAAAGGGAGGTACTTTGGGGTCCCAACTAGTAAGTGGTTTATAAGCCAGGTATCCTCCCTGGAATTAAATCATGAGTTCCTACTGAACACAACAAGCAGTGTTTCCCATGGAACCCAACAGAGACAGGCTCTTGTAACTGGCCATTTTCGGGCTTCCGGCCATGCTCAACCGGCTTGGTGACGGAGTCCTTGGACAATTGTGGAGGGGATGGCTTGTTGAACTCTACTTGCGATGGCTGGAATCACTAGGGTGACCTTCACAAGTGCTTCAATACTTCTGGTATCCTTTTTTTTGCAATCGCGCCAATTACTTTGTGGTTCATCCTACGGATCTTAAGCAGATTATAAGTTTCGACCCCAGTCATATGGTGACAACCCTACCCCATGATCATTGCCAGGTTATTGACCTACTTCCCATTAGGATGAAGCACCAAGTACATGTCCCATCTCACAATTGAGTAATTTCACGTGGCAACCGGGAAAAAACATGCCCATTTACAGATGGTTCTTCCAATTAAATCCAATTAAAAAAAATATATATATAAATATGAAAATGCGAAATTTGCCATTATTTAACGCCCATTGATAGGGTATTTCTTACTGCAGGTACCACCTCCATTAGCTCGAAGCCCCATTTTCTCCAGGCAGACCACTGGGTACGGCAACGGGATTTGCAACGAATCCTGCGGGGTCAGGAGCCGAGCCTTTCGGAAGATTTCCAGAGGGTAATGTCAACCCTGGATTAATAAACCACTGGGCTGTTTAATTGGGAGGGTACCATTCAAGTATTAGATTATGACTATTGGAGTAGTACCCCCCCAATTAATAAACCATGGTTTAGCAAACTCCGGGGTTGACATTATAGATTTCCCAAATTTTCCCCATTTGATTTTCCATCAAAAAGCTGGGTTTCTGTTGGTGAAATCTCCACTTTTCATGATTTTGGTGGCTGAATTCCCCCATTCCGCTCCTGAAAATACCTGGTTTTTACGGGAGGATTATCCGATCGGATCGTGTTAGGAAGTGGTCAAGAAGTTTCATGGCTTTTCGAGGTCCCATGATCCCAGGATTATCCCATTATCCCATGATCCCAGGATTATCCCAGGATTATCCCATGTTTTTTGGGTGGCTAAACCTCAAAACTAAGTTAACTAAGGCCACAAACACTCTGACTACGATCCAGCAGGGATGATCCTCCAGTGGTTTTTAAGCAAGCCCTGTATCATCCCAGAAAGAAAGGCCCATTTTTCTGGGTGAGATGCCGATTTTTCATGGTTATATAATAAAGTCTTAATTATAAAGTTATGTAAGTTATACATAGTAAAAAACCGTGTAAAGAAAAGTTATGTAAGTTATACATAGTAAAAAACTGTATAAACTTAAATGGTATAACTTATACTAATGGTTACCCTACACCCTAATCCTAAAGCGCCGCAGGACACGGGGCACCAGATCATTGAGATGCTGAATGCGGATCGCACCCTACGGATCGAAATGGCCGCCTCGACTTTCGTTTCGTTACGGATTTCCATGGGCAAAATGGTGAGATTTCCATGGGGATTTTTCATGGGAATTTCCCATGGGAAAAATTGCTGATTTTGAGCTAAGTTGACTTGTACATAGACTTGGTGAACGTGTGATTTTTTCCAGGGGATCTTTCACGACGATCGTTTTGATTAACAAAAAGAGTGAAGAGTTTTCGCGCTCACCCTGGAGGGAGGGGGATTTTTCGATGGATTGAATCATGGACAACGGGGATCACTATATAATGTATATCATTGTATATCTATATCTATATCTATATCTATATATATATATAGCCAACAATATTCACCAATTTTGGATATTATTTGCAATGTATGATTATATATATATATTATCATACATCACACATAATATCCGAATTATATATATATATATAGCCAACGATTAACCATTTTTTTGGGAATATCCATAAATCCCAGCTATTTTGGGGTGCGGGTAGGGCGGTAACAGAATTTTGACCCGTAGCCATACCTGGAGTACCGCAAAATGATCTTAGCATGATTTAACCAACAAAATGGAGATCCACTACCAGCCAGAATGGGGATACAACGGGGATCTGCTTATACAACACGAGAATATGTGGCCTCTGCGGAAGGGAAGTTGTGATGATTGACCAGTGGAGTTTTTTAGGTACCGTGAAAGGTACCCCATGAGCCCCAGAAATGGTTAGGATTGGCGGGAATTACACCAGTTATATACTGAGCCTAAAGCTGGAAAGGGCTTACAGTAGAAAGTGAGATGTTCATCGATGAACATCGCGAAATGAACCACGTGAGACTGCGCTTTGACCCAAAAACCCTATGATGTACGGGAACATCCACAATTCAATGGGAATTTCAGGATCCTAAAATGGAGGTACGTTAGTACCATATAAGGCCATATTTTGGGGGAATATTCCCTTACATAGCCCTGAAACATAGGCCAAACATATATGGAATCGGTACCTCCGTCCTCAATCGCTTCCTGTTGGGCCATTGAAGAATTACCAGCGATGGCAGCTTCGGGCCTCGAGGTTTTAGATCCGTTTCCTCAACTGATCTTCACACCTCCTCAGGAGGGCAGGCGAGGTGGATCTGCGCGATGCCATGACTGGGAATGGTTTATACATGTTTATACCACCCAGAAAAATGGTGAGTCATTGGGGGGTGGTGCAAATTTATGGCATTGTTTTAACCACATTAGTACATGTCCCATCATTTCCCCATAGAAATAGTTGATTTACCCATTTCCATGGTGTTTAACCACATTACATGGCTTTTTATTGTACAGAACTGAGTCTCTGAGCCTTTTTCACGAGACTTCCGGGATGCAGCAATGCGCAGCAATCTGTGCATCCCGGGTAATAACTTGTTGGTAACAATAATTAGCTGGTTGGTGGTTTGGAACATGGCTTTTGTTTTCCATAATATATGGGATAATCCTTCCCATTGACTTTAATATTTTTCAGGGTTGAAACCACCAACCAGTTAGTTTAACCGGTCACATATGACTATTGCGGCAGCAGATTAGAACTAACACAGTTATAGTTCTGCATAACAACTGATACAGTAATCAATCAGTGATGATACATGATGTAACAATACTTCAGCAGGACAAACATTTTTTGCGTCAGCTGTGGCAAATCGAAACAACTTATCTCTGCGGATCATGATTCCGAGGGATATTTCGCGTGGCCTGCGCAGTGGATCGAATTTACTAGCCGTTTTACACTAAAATTATTTTAAAGGTTATAATGTGATCCGTGGTCCGCTACCCAAGTAGAAACTTCTTAAGGGCATGTCTTTGCTAGGAGTCTATGAGGAAAGTTGGAAAACCCAGGAGGATAAACACAATATTCCCGGTGACAGTAATCACGCATCCCATAGTAGCCATGGAAAACCATGGAAGAATCGCAATAATTACGGAGCCAACTCCCCACTTGGGTGACTTATGATATCGGAAGTCGCGAAGCATGGAGTGGTTTGAACAGCCTGTGAAACTGATGTTGCTGGGATCCATACTTTTCAACCTATTTGGATATTTGATACCATTGATCGATTCATAGCTATTTTACTATTGACATCATTCTATGGCCATAGGGATTTTCTTGATTCATAGCTATTTTGGTATGGCCATTGGGATACCAATTGACCTCATTTTGTCTCAAAGCATCCCGAGCACAGACCATCTGCAGGTGGTACAGAAACAACAAAGTCAAGGCCGTGTTGGGGAAGTGCGTGAAAAAGACTAAGAGTCTAGAGTGGATAAGTAAAGACTATTGTTACATATCCATAGTCCACTATGTGGCTGTTATATATCCACTAAGTAATACTCTTAAGAGTCTTGTGTTTCCTGCGGACATGTAGTTTAATTTTGACTTCTTCATGCTATTCCAATGAAATGTGTAACTTCGTTCAACTGGGGCCCTGGCTGTGGGAGAGGCAATACTCAAAATGACCAAGTTCGGTTCAGAAACTGGCCTGACTAGAAGTGTTAGAAGTGAATATATTTCACCATATTTATAGGGGCTCCATATCCCAACTTATTGGGGTTTCACCATGGTTACTGAAAAGGCCATGGAAATCACCGAAATGACCTGCACCCCGAACTGGCATGTGCACATCTGACATATCTGAGATTCCTGATTTTTTGGGGCCTACCTGGGCCTCCAGGTCGAATTTTCAGGGGGACTTCACCCCGAACTGGCACACGTTGATGCACACGTTGATGGGAAAAAAACAACTCAGTTCCTAAGCATGTTGGACATCGAAATCATCCTGTCCCTGAACTACCAAAGCATCTGCCAAACAAAAGCCTGGTATGATGGGTTTTTGCCATTTCTGGATATTTATGGTATGATGGGACCTGGTATGATGATACTTTCAATCTCTATTTCGTCATTTGCTTGTGCTTTGAAAGTATTGCCGGGTCACATTCAAACCTTGCAAGACGAACCAGCCAGACCGGCAGTCCCATGATCAGTGGCTGCAAAAACTCGACCACCTTAGCAGGTTCTTGATCGTTCAGAGCTGTTTAAATGGATGGTTTGCATACATTTTGCATCCTAAACTTACTAAACATGATCAAATTTCTGGGTTCATTGAACTCCCAAGTGCCAGCTGTTGAAAACCGTTGCCGCCGAATATCGGCAGGTGCCCGATATTAAAGGCACAGAGGTGCGCCGATGGCGCTCTGCGCATGTCCCGGGTTTTTAAGATCCGGTGACGTTTGATCAATTGAGGAGTGGCTGCTGTTCTGGTTAACTATCAACTAATTGGAATGGGAATATTAACTATAACTATAAATATTAATAGTTAATCCCAGTCCCAGTCAAAGTTAATATATCTGGTTGGTGGTGACTGGAACATGGCTGGATTATGACTTTCCATTCAGTTGGGAATGTCATCATCCCAACTGACGAACTCATATTTTTCAGAGGGGTAGGTATACCACCAACCAGTGATTATTTCGGAGGATTATACTAGTCACTAAATATTGGGGATGATCATCATTCAATCCTCAGTTTGTTGCTTTGGATTAACCTGATGAATGCAAACGTTCGTTATGTCCTAATCAACCCAAAGGTTAAACAAGTGATAAATCAACTTACCTATCGTTCTGAAGCCCCAGCGAGTTGGAGAATTTGCAGCAAGAGCCTATATTTGATGGTAAAACCCATGTAAAAACCATGTTTTTTTGGGGGGAAATGTGGTTTGCCGCAATGATAAACCTAGCATTTGGGGATGGTTTGTACAAAGCATCAAACATGGTGAACTGGGGATTTTTGTAGAAAGGTTGGGTTTAACATGGGTTTACCCTAAATTTTCCAAAGAAAAATGTGATCCTTCAAGGTTTGTCATGGCCCAGCTATGCTATGCCAGGAAGTTGGGAATCTCGCAGTTTGCTGGGGTCCGGGAGCCCAAGGACCACAAGGACCACTTGGATGGAGAGTTTTGGTACCTTTGTTTTTGGCCATGGCCATGGGATATGGCCATGGATCAATAGCGAATTTATAGCAGGGGGATGAACATCCATGAGTCATCATGAATTTTAGCTGTTTTGAATTGTTTTGATGTGAACTACAGGGATACGCGGTTTTGACCCCATCCCCGTATCTGTACATCTGGAGGTTTTTCTTAAAATGGTGTTTTTTAGTGGTACCCCAAATCAAATCATGAAGGACCATGACTTGGTATTGAAACCCATGGTGACGACTGGGGATCCCCCAATTAAGAACCACCCATCTATATATACGTATATATATATATATATACGTATATATGTATGTATGTATGTATGCATGCATGCATGCATGCATGTATGTATGTATGTATGTATGTATGTATGTATGTAATGTATGTAATGTATGTAATGTATGTAATGTATGTAATGTATGTAATGTATGTAATGTATGTATGTATGTATGTAATGTATGTGTAATGTATGTAATGTATGTAATGTATGTAATGTATGTAATGTATGTAATGTATGTAATGTATGTAATGTATGTAATGTATGTAATGTATGTAATGTATGTAATGTATGTAATGTATTGTATTGTAATGTAATGTAATGTAATGTAATGTAATGTATGTAATGTATGTATGTATGTTATGTATGTTATGTATGTATGTTATGTATGTATGTAATGTATGTATGTAATGTATGTATGTAATGTATGTATGTAATGTATGTATGTAATGTAATGTAATGTAATGTAATGTAATGTAATGTAATGTAATGTAATGTATGTAATGTATGTATGTAATGTATGTATGTAATGTATGTAATGTATGTATGTAATGTATGTAATGTAATGTAATGTAATGTAATGTAATGTAATGTAATGTATGTAATGTATGTATGTAATGTAAGTATGTATGTATGTATGTATGTATGTATGTAATGTATGTATGTATGTAATGTAATGTAATGTAATGTAATGTAATGTAATGTAATGTATGTATGTTATGTTATGTATGTATGTAATGTAATGTAATGTAATGTAATGTAATGTAATGTAATGTAATGTAATGTATGTAATGTATGTATGTAATGTATGTATGTATTAATGTATGTATGTATGTATGTATGTATGTATGTATTGTATGTATGTATGTATGTAATGTAATGTAATGTAATGTAATGTAATGTAATGTAACGTAATGTATGTAATGTAATGTAATGTAATGTAATGTAATGTATGTATGTTATGTATGTATGTAATGTAATGTAACGTAATGTATGTAATGTATGTATGTATGTATAATACGAACCAGCTAAACAAAGAAGAGTAGCCATGAACAGAGAAAGTCAGCATTGGCTGGGCGGTTTGAGCGAGCCAGGGGGCTATTGATCCATTGATCCCCACAGTGCGACCAGCAAAGACGGAGTCTACCCTTCAGTAATCCAAGGTGGCAGTGGACAATTCACCGTTTATCTATCTATATATATATATACACTATATATCTATATTTACATATATATATATAAAATATATACATATATGTTTTCCCCAATCTCACCCCTATTTTTTTTGGGATTTCTAGCCATGTTTGATGTCCCCGAAGCGGCTCGCATTTCCCCGATACCTTGATGATTCATCCAGTTACGGAGGATTCCACTGGGAACTCTCCCATTTATGTAAATGTACCAATCAGAAGTCCAAGATACCATAATCTTTATGTTGTGAAGTATCTATTCACATATATCATATATCTAAGATAATCCCATGAATGTTGGTGTTTACTGAAAATTCTGGCTATCCCCATCCATTCCTCGAGGTGAACGTGCAGGGGAGTACTACGCGCTGGCGGGATTCCTAAGTTTCGTGAACCCAAACTTTTTGGCCAGGACTGGGGGTCCAGTCAATGCGGCCCTAACTTTTTTCGGATATCGTTCGTTGTGGCGCAGAAGCAGAATGGGGGCATGAAAATCACCGGTCTGAATCATCCCGCAGAGGGGTTGTTCCTAAACCAGAAAGTGGGGATGGTTTACTATTGTGGATTCCACAGTATTACATATAATTATACATATACATGTATATATATATATACGGAGAGAAAAGTTGAGCAACACCATGTCAAGTTGGGTAAAACATCATAATCCCATGCGATATCCCATGATGTTGGTAAAACAATGCCATTTGCACCATCCCCCAGGAAGATCAGTTTTTTTTGTTTGGTGGTATAAACTTAGCATTCCCAGGAAAATGAGTGCTTTATAACATTGTTTTACCCACATTACATGCCCAACATTTTGCCAGCTCAAACAAATGCAGGGTATCGAAGATTGGCCCTGGACATGCTCTCTCTCTCTCTCTCTGAATATTAATGTAGATATTTCAAAACACATATATCAATATATCAAACGCTCAATATATCAAAATATCTACATACTATATATATACATGTATAGACAAACTAAGTCATGTAAAGAGATGTATATGTATATATGTATTTATCACATATCAATCAAACATGATTATATACACACACAATATTCAAGTATTATGTATAATACATTGTGATATTGAGCGTGTATATATCAAATATCAAATATGGATTATATATCAGTATCCAATAGTTTCCATATTAACATATATGTGATGTTTTATATATTATACCATAGTGATTACATATTATTGAATATATTTAAACATATATATATATATAAAACCATAGTTAAAGTTGATGTACAGTTATATCAGGAGTATAACTCACACATAATTCATATGACTATACTATGGATTATACTACTTATGATATGTACATACATCATAATTCGATATATATATATGATATACATAATACGGATTATACTATTGATATATCCAACAATATACCTAAATATTCTCAAATTTACTCTTGATATACTCAAATTTACTATTCATCCAAATACTTGGATCAAGTTTACGAGCTATATATAATTGGATATTCATCGGATATTTACCCTCTGGTAAATAAACTTGTTGACCCTGAACATCACCAATTTTTAATGGAAACTAGTCTTCCAACCCCGATGACTGCCAGGGTCTATGTTAACTTACCAGAGGGTACTATTCATCCAAGTTATATATATATATATATATCCTGATTGGTGTTTTTATTTTTATTTTTTATTTTTCCAGTCAGTTGGGAATGTCATCATCCCAACTGACTTTCATATTTTTCAGAGGGGTTGAAACCACCAACCAGTATATACATATATATATATAGAACATCACCATTTTCAATGGGTAAATCCACTATTTCTATGGCCATTTTCAATAGCTATGTAACAAATTGCCAGATGGTATATATATATATACAATGTGAGGCCCCCTAGATAGCTAAGTTGGTTTATAACTCCAATAACTATGGTTTATGGTACTTATAACTATAGCGAATGGGGCTTATAAACCAACTTATTACTGGGGGGCCCCACATTGTATATATATATACACCCAAATGGCCTTAATTCAGGTTAGTGAAATATTATAATTTACCCATTTATATATATATATATATTTGTCAAATATCCAAGGATCAAATAGCTAGCCTTTCAGGATCACGCTGGGCTTGACCACCACGGCAGTGGGTCACACAGCGCCTGTGGTGCCGTGGCGAAATCAAGATGTTTTCAGCAACGAGAAATGGTGGTTTCACCCGTGAAAAATGGTGGTTTAGCCATGGAAAAATAGGGATTGAATGACTTTTGACTATGAGATGTTATGGATTTCAGTGGGATTGAATGGGATCTAAAATGATTCGCTGATCTGGCTGAGTTTCCCGGTGGGAAATCCACTAGAAATGGGGAATCTTTTTGGGGAATTCCTTCAGCAAATCCAGGAAGATGGTGCCATGGATCGTCCCAGAAATCCTGGACCAAAAAATGGTGAAACACCGAGATTTTCCGATGAACCGCTCAGGGTTTTTTTGGTGTTTTTTTTTCTGAAAGAACTCAGTGAAAGGTATTTTTGTTATATCTCAATGTTAGGGTTTAGGGAGTATTTTTATGATCAATACGGCGTGAAGAAACCATATTTACTAGGTGAATAAGCCTGGTAAAACCAAACAGTGTTCAAGGTTAAGAGCTGCTCATAGACGAGTTTCAATCCAACAGAAAGCCTGGGGATTCTTCATCAAAACAACTGGGATCGATTTGCCCTCGATAGCAACGGAGAATCCCTCCAATAGTTCGATATCTTTCCCGAACCTCCATGGCTTCGGGCAGGGATTTCCGATTTTGGCTCAACGTACCCTCACGCAAGATTCAAAACACTGGAATAACTGGCAAATGTATGTTCATCCCCCCATTCCCTAGCAATGTTAGAGGTGTTTTTCATCATCCCTAGCAATGATTCATTGCGGTTGTCAGCAAGGGCTCGACCCCGGAAATGGATCAATGGGATTCGTGGGGCGTCCTGAGATCCTGAGCTTCTTGACGGGCGACAATCCACAATACTACCTGCCCCAAAACTCCATGCAGCTCAGGCGGGGCTGCGTAACATTTGGTACCTCCAAAAAGCGGCAAGATGCAGACACTTATATAAATCTTAGATGGTGTTTGTTCTTCACGATTTTGAGGGATATTTCCAAGATGTCAAACATATTAGTGAAATTGTAATAAAATGTGTATATCCCATATATTTCCACATCATTTTCGCCACAGATTCCGAATCTTCAGCCCGGTCAGGATCACCTTTACCAACAGTTCCATTCTAGCACCAGCCTTCGTCCGGATCGCGGAACCGTGAGGGCGAAATTTTGGTCTGGAGGATGATTGAAGCAACATAAATCAAATTAGTGTGGGATGATATAGGAATAATCAAAGGAAGTATGGAAGCAATCTTCCGAGTTACGGACAAATAGAATTGTGAGACTTGCGGAAGTCCTGACTTTGGGAAGTGGTGACTTAGGGATAATATGGAATAGGGAGGATATAAGAATAATATAGGGATCGCACAGGAATAATATACTGTAGGAATATCATGGAAGCACCAGAGGGTACAACCTATCATTTCATAATATTTCATACATTTCATGGACTTTGCTGGGGATATGATGATATCTCTCATTCACAGTTTTTTATAGAAAAATGGCTCTGTCTATGTTTATCTGAGTTTTAGGGCATATCCCCAACATGGGCTATTTCAATGGGGAAAATCACGATGGAACCTGAGGATAAAAGCCCAGGTGGCTTCAAGCCAAACGTCATATATTGAAAAGGTATCGATGCGTCTACCACATGTTCAAACAAACCCATGTGAGCCATTCGAAATACCCTCTGGTTATTTAACATAGCCATGGAAAATCACCATGCTATTAATAGGTAAACCATTTTTTTCTATGGGCCATCTATACCATGGCTATGTTAGTCATAACCAGATGGTACCCCTCTTGGTCCACAGTTTGAGTACTTTGGTGTGTTAGCCCATCTGGTGACTTTACTATCAACTATTAACCAACCAGTATAATGTGATGGGATGGGGATACCCTCTGGTAAACTAACATAGCTATTGAAAATTGCCATTTATAGTGGATTTTCCCATTAAAAATGGTGATTTTCCATAGCTATGTTAAATTACCAGAGGGTATCATGACTCACTTGGGTTTAACTACCGTATCGCTTTATAACGCTGGGTTTAACCCAGCATTGTGGCCTCATGGGAGACTTCACGAAAGGCTTTTCGACCCCGATCACGTCATGAAATCCCCAGGATCTGTGGGATGATCCTCCAATCATCTTGTAATCCTACTGCGGATGGATGGTTGGCGAAATCCTGCACCACCAAACGGATGGTATTTCAACCCTATAAATAATGGAATGTTTACCTCCGTTTTCAACTGGTGATTCGGATTTCGCTGGCCCACATCCAGTAGTCCATGGTGTTTTTCATGGCTGTTTTTCGTGGCTAAAAAAAGTGTCTGAAGTTCTGCGAAGAGCCCACTGACATAAAATCGCTGTGGATTTTTGCTTTCAAACATCGAGTGTTTTTTTTTCAACAGGATTTGAGACCTGTGTATAATATGTGTAATATATATATATGATAATATGTGTAATATTCAGAATTTCAACAGGGAACATGATATGACATTGCCGCCCATTGCCGCCCCTTATTGGATTTTGATGTCGGTCAGCTCGGTCACCGAGGCCTCTTTTGAGGAGGAGTTAGTGACCAACATGACCTATGCGGATCAGATGCACGAGGCCCGATGAGGAGCTGCGGGCTGCGATGCTTATGAATTTTTTTGCGCCTTTTTGGGGGATATGTCTTGATGGGGATATAGTGTGGGTATGCTGAAGATTCATCTGAAACTTGGAGTTGCCAGTTGGTGTGTACAATTATAGAATAAACCCTGAATCCATGAAAAATTGTGCGCTTAAAGATTTTTTTGGAACCCCGAAACTTAACGGAGATCCAGTACATTTCAGCAGTTTTCTTTTTTTGGGTGTTGATCAATCAATGAAGCCATCAAGGGTACCGGTAATCATGGAGAATTCTGCGATGGTGAACATGATGACATAGGGTTTTTACCCTCTGGCAAACTAACAGTTTGCTATTGAAAATGGACCATGTATAGTTGATTTACCCATTAAAAATGGTGATTTTCCATGGTTATGTTAGGTTACCAGATGGTACATGTTTTTACCACCATGACAAGCCTACTGGAGACTAAGCTTGAAACACCATGATGACATGTTTACCACTCTGGCAACAATGACCATTGGTAATGGTAAATTCACCCTTCATTGTTCTTCAATGACAAGCCACTCTGTTTCAATGAATCTGTAGTTGACATCATTGTATCGAAATCCCTGAACATTACCCTTTGGTTATTTCACGTAGCTTTGGCAAATCAACGTTTTTTTTTTTTTAAACATCATATATCATCTATGTTCATTGGGTATCTATACCATAGGTAAGTTAAATAATCAGAGGGCAACATTAATTGTAGTAACATCAATGTGGTAAACCCAATAGGGAACATGAATTATAATAACATCAATGTGTTAAACTCAATAATCAACAATCCCCAAAATCACATTTTTTATGCTAATCCAACTAGTTGTTTATGGCAGCCAGGGTTTCCCACATTAATCGTTATCAATGCATATTTACCATGATTAACCCATCATTAATCGCTATTAACCATTGTTACCCATACATCTTCCTCCATTAGGCACTATATTCTGGCTTAATACCTTACCACTTTCATCAAGATCAAGCCCGATTTCCTGGTGGAGCAGTTGGTTTTGCATCGGCAGAATGATATCTTTCTCTACGCACAGAATATCAAATATGTATAATAGTACTTGATGGTGGTTAATGTATAGTTGAGTGGACAGTGCTTAGTATTGGGATATAACAGTTATAATGGTTAATAGCTGGTTAATGTTAAGAATAATGATGATAATGGTTGATCGATGATATTCCATCATATTCCATCAATGATGGATAAACATTGACATTACAAGTATGTATAATGAACAATATATAGATTATGGTTAAACTTGTACATCATGGATAATACTATACAACAACAATGGATAATTCCCGATGAATTTGATCATGACCCCATGTCTTAACATCATGGCAATGATGGAAAGTGTCATGGAAACCATCCCCATCACTAGCCGCATGATAGCGATTTTCAGGTTAGTGAATCACTATAATTCAGCCAGAATCTTTACGTGGTTTATGGAGGTTTCCTAAAATAGGGGTACCCCAAATCATGCATTTTAGACTGGGATTTCCCATGAAATAAACAATCCAGCGAGCTTGGGGTATCCCCACCTGCTGAATCAATCAGCAGTTCATCTCTTTTTCTGGACGACCTCACGATTTTAGGGATCAAGACCTGGGGGTTACCCTCTGGTTATGACTCACATAGCCATGGAAAATCACCATTTTCAATGGGAAAACTCACTATCAATGGACCATTTTCCATAGCTATGTTACCAGAGGGTAACAGAAGGGCAAGTTTGGACGACCGACTTTGTGCAAACATGATCCAAGAAAATTTTGAGACATTCAAAATCATGAAAAACTACACATTTTTGCTAATCAATGAATTAACCCTACATGATTTTTAAATACTATCAACATTTTGCATGATTTAATATGATTTAATCATAAATGATATATCTTAACCACCATTTTCAAAAGGGAATTGCTGGGTGACCACCGTTGAACCTCTTGAGGCCTCCCAGTCGGTCTGTGGCCGTCTCTTTTTGGAGCTTTACACGGACTTAGAGCGACTTGGAGCGTTGCTGCGTGATGGGTTTCACTGAATCACTGGTTAATGCTGGGTCGGTAAATTGTCCCGATTCCTAGGCTTCTCCTATAGATGTATATGTATATACATATATATCTGGTTGGTGGTTTGGATCGTTTTTTTTTACTTTCCATAACATATGGGATAATCCTTCCCATTGACTTTCATATTTTTCAAGATGGTTTGGAACATTTTTTATTTTCCCCAATAGTTGGGATGAATAATCCCATTTGACTAATATCTTTCATAGGGGTTGAAGCCACCAACCACTATATGTATACATATATATATATACACAATGTGAGGCCCCCTAGATAGCTAAGTTGGTTTATAACTCCAATAACTATGGTTTATGGTACTTATAACGATAGTTAGTGGGGCTTATAAACCAACTTATTACTGGGGGGGCCCACATATATAAAAGTGGGCGGTGATCTGTGGGATGATCCTCCGTATCACTGATGTGTGTTACCGATATCGCCCCAACTGCAGCCCCATCCGGTGAATGGAGGGAGTGTATGGTGAATGGAGGGGAACACCCGATCATCCTGGATCATCATGATTTTTCCCACGGCAAAATGGCATTTTTTGGGGTGTACTCCATTTTCAGACAAGGAAGAAGCTAGGGAGAAGCTACAGAACTGGCATATGACCCAAGAACTGTTGTTTTAACAGGCTTTGAAGTGGCACGGACAAGTTATTATATATGACCTCAGGACGTGATGTCACTGTTGTAATTCGGCCAGACAATGCTGATACCGAGAATAGTACTTAAGGACAACAGTTGGCAAGATGATCATCATGATCAGTTCAATCATTTGCTGGTTGGTGGTCTGGAACACGGCTTTTATTTTTCCATTCAGTTGGGAATTTCATCATCCCAACTGGTCCGAAGTCATGTTTTTCAGAGGGGTGGGTCAACCACCAAGCAGTTTGGATATGACAGCCATGACAGCCCCCAGCCGATGGATAGAAGTCGAGGGATTCATTTTCGAAATGGTGATTCAACAGCCGAAAGTGGGTGTCACCGTAGAAATCTTGGCGGAACAATTTTTGGGTTGCTCGGAGTTTGGGTGAACACATTGCAAAATAGATGTTTCATGGGATATCATCCAGGGATATTTAGTTCGGTTATATTAATTAATCATAATGGATATCATAATAGATATCATAATAGATACTGTGGATGGAAGAAATCCTGCACCAGTTGATAGATGGTTTATCCCACTATTTATAGGGTTTCAACCATCCGTTTGGTGGTGCAGGATTTCTTCCATCCACAGTATCTCCAGTAGTCCATAATAGATATCATAATAGATATCATACACAAATTCCCCTGGGTTCTTCTGCTGTTTAGTTCGCTTTGGAAAAGGTGTGGTGGTGGTGCATCTGAGGTAAAGATTTCTCTGTGGGATTGGTAGAAGGTGGGCCTCTGGTTACACCAGCATAGCTATGGAAAATCCCAATGTTTAATAGGAAAATCAACTAAAAATAGACAGTGGGGGTCTGAAAAACATCGAACGCCGCGCCGCACACGCGTGGAACCGCCGTCACTAGGTCCAGAGTCTTTTGCAAAAAGTAAAGTGAACGAAAGAAATGACACGAATCATGTTATCATAGTACTGTAATATATTATAACATTGTGATAATAAAAAATACATGTTATTATGTTATTAAGATCTAACACATTATATTGACACATCATGTTATCATATTCAACACGTGTTTCCCAGGGCAACGTGGCGTGGTGCTAAGGATGGGATTTCCCGTTCCCGTCGGTTGCTACGCTCGGACGCCTAGGGATTGTAAGCGGTTGAGATCTCATAATATGTGTATGTATATATATATATATGTATATAGATAGTATGTAGATACAACCCATGAATCTATCTGGATTAATATCACGTGGCTATGGACCAATATCTATAGATACAATTTTTAGTGGCATAAACATCATGTAACATCCATAAATAAAAAAAATCCGAGATTATTTGATGATGGGAATTCCATGGGTTGTGACGAAGATTCCATGGTTTTTTGGATTGACCAAGACACAGGGTTTTCGGCATAAGGGCCTCACCTTGCACCAATTTCTCGCAATATATCTGCCATTTTTACATCGATAAACTATAAACCATAGTTTCAACTAATTAGTATATTATCGTTTATCGATGTAAACATGGTTTATAGTTTATAGTTAAACCATAATGGTTAAGCTAATTAGTTCATGATTTGCACCAACTTAGCTATGGTGAACTCACTCAGCGGTGGTTTTCGAGGTGGACACCAACCGCTACGGTTCGGAGGGACGCGTCATCGCCATCTACGTCCTCTTTGAGGTGGGGAGATCATTGGGAGACAAAGCACTTTATCTATGGTTACATATGGGAATATATATATATAGATAGATATGCTTATATATATACATGTATTATACATTTATATAATTATATATATATATATTCCTCTATCTTTGCAAATAATTGGGAAATAATTGGGAATAGCCTCTGGTAAACTAAGATATCTATGGACGCCATGGCCATTTAGTGCGATGTGTTATTGGTCGTGATTTTCAATAGCTATATTAAATTACCAGAGGTTAATTGGGAATCATTACTATGGTTATACTATGGTTACACAACATGATGGTTATATATGGGATTTTTTTTATTGGTTAACCATAGTTTTTATGTTATAACAATGGTATATATAATGATTTACTATTCATATTCCATCGGATATCATTGGGAATCATGTGGAATCAATACTATGGTTAATCTGGATTAATATGGTTTATACTATTCCAATACTCATATTATACTAATGGTTAATATCATACAAATCTATGGTTATACTTTTTTTTTTGAATGTGGGCCTGTATATATATATATATATACATATATATATATGGGTAATAATGGGTTAATGGTGATAATGGGTTAAGAATGGGTTAATAGTGATTAAGAATGTGTGATTCACCCTGGCCATAGACAACATCAGCATGTCTGGGGATGAAGTTATTTTCCCACCTTAAAGTGGAGATACCAGGGGATTATCACAGATTTTCTGGGAAATTATCTGGTAATTGATGGGAGATCCGGGAAATTACCAGGAGTTTGAAACACTGCTTGGTTCCTGGGTTCTTGGGTGAACATCTCAATCATTTATGTGGGATGAAGAAGCCTTGGTTGATTCCAATTGATATTTTTTGGATGGGCTGACACCACCCACCATATATATATATATACACATGTATATATATATACAGATACATGTAGTTATACACGGGTTATTATGCATGAACGTTGTTGTCTACGTGACTAGGAACTAACCCAGGATTTGAGATCCGATTTCATGCAAAGTTGCAATACATTTCACCATATATTTTGGTTACTCTCCAGCAAACTCACAGTTTGCTATGGAAAATGGGCCATGTATACTGGATTTACCTATTAATCATGGTGATTTTCCATAGCAAACTGTTATTTTACGAGAGGCCATCGTTTTCTTTTTTTCACCTGAAAGGAATCATTAAATTGCAGAGTCATGGTAAGAAACCAATGATGAGGGTTGAGCAAATTACAAGTCATTGCAGGCGACGTAGATACTTTACGAGTCATTGTGAGTAAACGCCTGGGTGTGTCTCAATATGGTCAACCACCCAAAATCCAACGGTAATTTTCTCAAAAATGATCAGATTATCACCTCACTTTCTTGGCCATAGCTGGCGGGATTTTATCCATCAGTGCCCCAGGCCATTGTTCCCACCCCAAACTTTCAAGGTTTGGTCCAACCCGCAGCAACGCCTCCGCAGGCGCTCAATGGGCTGAAATCGCAAACGTCCTATACCATCGTGCGGAGCGCAGACTTTTTTCGCAGATTGCCGGGTCAATTCTTTGAAAGCCCGATGATTTGGGGATTTTTTTTCGGATTTTCCTAAAATGGGGATTTTCCAAATCATGCAAACTTGCTTATCAATGGGAAAACCTATGGTTGGGGTAGCCAAAAAAAATTAGGACACCTCCATTTGGGGTTGGATCAAAACTTCTTTAGCCCTGTGAATGGCTGGTTTTTTTCGACCCATCGAAGTGGCGAAGTCGCGAAAAAAAAGGGGTCGCCCATTGCGACTCACACCACTTCAAGTGAAAGGGTATGAATGGGTTGCCCTCTGGTAATTTGTTACATAGCTATTGAAAACACCCCATGAAGGTTCGTAGATTTACATATTCAAAATGGTGATTCTTAATAGCCAACTGTTAGTTTACCAGAGGGTATGCTATCTTTTTTTTTTCCGCTCATTCAACTGATTCAACTTACATAAACATTGCGCATCCCCCGTGTGGGCCAGTTTTTTCAGAGTCGTCCAAGTGGCCACTCCCCATATTTCCCCATCATGGCCATAAATGATGGATTTATACCACAAATATATAAGGGGGAACATAGGGGATATACTGATATATACTGTACAGCCTCTTTTATATCATGAATGGATATGAATGGCCATGGTCATAGGGAAAGTTATGATAAAAGCTCTGTTTTCTGTTTTGCTTCCCCTATGTTCAGACAAATCCACGTCAAGGGTAGCGAACACTGCGCCAAGAAACATAGCCGAATGATGACATGGCTATGTTGCCAAAAAATCTGAAGCAGAAAAGATCGATATTCTTCAGTAAGACGATGTTTAGAAAAGTCATTTTATGACTCAAAGGCTTTACCCTCTGGTAATTTCACATAGCGAACTGGAAGTTGTCCCCATGGTAATTCATCCAAAAGATTGGTTCATCTATTCCATAGCTATATAACAAATTACCAGAGGGTACCCCTGTTTTTGGTAGTCTACATCCTAGGACTGGTTTGTTTCTGATCCTTGCACACCATCCCGTTATGTTCGCGGTTGGTAAGGGGTCCTGTTAGTCCATGAAGAGTGGGATATGATGGGCTGACATACTCCACCAGCAACTCGTCATGGAGACCATGGAACGTGCAACTTACAGACCCGGTCGTTATAAGGATGGGGGGGTTGTTGTTAATTGGGCGGGGTTGTTGTTAATTAGGGGGGTTCTTGTCACCATTTTTATTTTGCGGGGTCATCTTTGTTGCTGCCAAAAAAAGTTCCCAAGAAATCGATCATTGATGGCTTTGCATTCCCATATATGTCCACTAGAATGCAGCTTTCTTAAAATGGGGAAAAACCCCAATAGCTGGATGGTTTATGCTGAAAAAAATCCGATCTCCGAAACAATCGGGGAACCCCAAGTCACCATAGGTTTCAATACTCAAATGGCCTAATTTGGTTGTCCCTTTTGGGACACCTCGAAGCTTCGTGGCAGCGCTGAGGTGATGAACGCCAAGCTGCAGGTTCCCATGTCGCTGGAGGACTACGCTGCACTGGAGGAACACTTGCTTGAAGTGGTGACGCTACTCGGACGCCAAGAAAGGGTGGGGCTGGGATACTGGGAGCACTGGTGAGGAATTGGGACATAGTATATAGTTTATTTACAGTTACATACTATGTATATATATATATATAAATACATATATATATATATACATATATATATACATATATATATAAATACATATATACATATACATATAAACATATATACATATATAAATATATACATATATACATATATACACATATACATATTGCATATACATATAAACATACGTATACATAGACATAGACATAGAAATATATATATATATCGCATACAGTATCCAAGGTGCATATGGGGGTCGTTGGATTTCACCCTTTGCCCGAGGTTGGATGACATCAAGTTGAAGCCTGAGGTGCTGGAGGGTTATATGGTGGGGTATATGCCAAAATATCCTACTAATATGATCCAATAGAAGAGGTTGAGTTGATATCCATCTTTCTAATATAGTCCAAGCAAATTTTAATCTTATCTTATCTTACCTAGTCTAAAGCAAATCTAATCTAATCTAATCTAAATCTAATTTAACCTAATCTAATCTGATGTAGTTTATTGCAATCTAATCTAGTCAAATCTAATCTTAATCTCAATCTCAATCCAACATACATCTAAACCTAATCCAAGTCCATCCATCCTTCTATTTTGATCAAACATACACATTTGTATATGGGGATGTCTCAAAACCTTTTGTACATATATATATATATATATTAAATATATACACTATATTTGGGGTTGAACATCCATACCAGGGTTCTGACCCCTACCCATATGTATATGTATATATATATAATCATGAATACACATACATATTCACATACAGTTTCACATATATATATATATATACACATTCATTCATTCCTTTCATTCGTTTCATTCGTTTCATTCCTTTCATTCCTTTCATTCCTTTCATTCCTTTCATTCCTTTCATTCCTTTCATTCCTTTCATTCCTTTCATTCCTTTCATTCCTTTCATTCCTTTCATTCCTTTCATTCCATTCATGCATTCATGCATGCATGCATACATACACACATACATACATACATACATACATGCATGCATGCATGCATGCATGCATGCATCCACACATACATACATACATACATACATACATACATACATACATAGATACATACATACATACATACATACATACATAGATACATACATACATACATACATACATACATACATACATACATACATACATACATACATACATACATACATACATACACACATACATACATACATACATACATACATACATACATACATACATACATACATACACACACACATACATTCATATATACATACATCCATACATCCATCCATCCATCCATACATACATACATAGTTACATAGTTACATAGTTACATAGTACATAGTTGCATAGTTGCATAGTTACATAGTTACATAGTTACATAGTTACATAGTTACATAGTTACATAGTTACATAGTTACATAGTTACATAGTTACATAGTTACATACATACATACAGACAGACAGACAGACAGGCAGACAGACAGACAGACATACAGACATACAGACATACAGACATACAGACATACAGACATACAGACATACATACATACATACAGACATACATACATTAATACATTATATATATATATCTAGATATATACACATAACTTGTATATACAAGCTATGTACATATTTGTATACATCAGTAGCTGCTGACCAGTTTCGAACAGGTATGCTGATTGTCATATCGTTGCTTTTTACCGACCTTTCTGCTTGGATGATACCAGAAGTTGATCCATGTCCAGTAATCCCGTGAGATCTCCAAACACCCATGGACCGTAGCACTACAAAGCATGGACCAACTCAAGTTGCCACCATGATCAACCATTTTTATAGCAACTCCCAAAAAGGTAGACAAGTGAATTATTCTGAATTATCACTATTTTTGTGGGATTTCATTTTACTTTCCTACCCTTCTGGGGGTTGCTATAGCCAAGACTTGGTTGCTATGTCTCATCTTTCTCAAGGTTGATTATAGGTATACTACCGATTTTCCCGCCAAACGTATCTGGAGTGTTGGGAGTAAGCCTAACAATTGGTAGCAACTGTCTTTGGTTGAATCACAGTTCTTTTGGTTCATATCCCTTAGTGTGGATGATTCTGATTTATCCCGAATCAGTGTTAACCATCAACTTCAGTTTTTTGAAGGCTTCATACACCAATAAAACAAGAGACATAACCTTCACATACCTGAACTCTGATCTTAAAAAAAATCCTCTTCCAGGCAGCCATGTCTCACCACCTTGCGCTGTTGCCCCAGGGAGTGGTGGATGTCGGCTATGTGAATCCAGACAAGCCCATGCAACGATCGGCAGATCGTACTGTCAGGGGCCCCAGTCGCAATGCTGGATATCCATGGATATCCCTGGTGGTTCATGGTAGAATCGGATTATATGGGATATTTTTTCGAGAAATTCATGGGATATGGATATAGGAACTGGTAAAGCGAATGGAAGGTGAAGTACAACTCTGTTGGCGTTTTTTAAATGGGTTGGTCTGAAGATGTGGTATACCCTCTGGTAATTCAACATAGCTATTGAACATGGCCCAGTGGAAATAGTGAGTTTTCCCATGAAAAATGGTGATTTTCCACCAAATGGCCATTTGATAAGGAACGATGGTGAGAAACCACCAATGCTGGTGTCTGGCTGAATCACACATGCTAAAGTTCGCACATACAAAAGGGTCCAAAAGTCCGGGGCTTAGCCTCGAAACATACAAAACACTATAGACAATCACCATTTTTAATAGGTAAATCATGGTAAATCAACGAACTAAATGGGCTATTTTCACTTGCTATGTCAGTTTACCTGAGGGTATGATTTACTAAACTTGCGAGAATTTGGAGTGCACCCGGGCTTTTTGACCCAGTTCTGGAGGCTTGCTGGAATGCAACCAGCAACACGGTTAGACTTCTGTAAACGGTTTAGTTTACACTATATATATATACATACACATTCTTGGTTGATGGTGATGTCTAGGGTTCTAAGTCAAATATGGGAATTTGAAGTAGCCAAACAATGTGGGCATTCACCTGCGGATAGTAACAAAACAACCGAAGCTCGGTTTTTGCCGGGGATTCGCTCCATGACTTCGCGTTTGTTTGAGATCGGTTGAGGTTTTCACCCCCAACAGATCTGGTTGGTGGTTTCAAACATGGCTGGATTATTTTCCATTTCATATATGGCTTGTCATCCTGAAGCCATTGACGAACTCCATCATTTTTCAGAGGGGTAGGTATACCACCAATCAGAGATTCTTGTTTTCATTGTCACCTTCCCGCTGGTGACTTTCGGACCATGGCTCAACTAAAAAAAAACACATCCCCCGACTCCTGTGACGGTTTTGTCATCAAACATGGCCGGGAAATCCCCAACAAAATGGCGGGAAATCGTTCGCGGAAATCAGAGAAACTTGGTGGATTTTCCCACCGTGTTTGATTTTTCCGGAGGGGAATCTTTTCCGTCAACGACGTGTTTTTTTGTGTTTTTTTCAAGAGATCCCCTGTCGAGAAAGACGTCGAATTTACCCTCTGGTTATGACTAACATAGCCTGATTTAACATAGCCATGGTATAGATGGCCCATAGAAATAGATGGTTTACCGAACTTAAAAATGGTGATTTTCCATGGCTATGTTAGTCATAACCAGATGGTAACCAGAATCCCACATCAGCCACCATTCCCGAGATGATTGGGGTTGTGAAAAAACCTGGGAGTTTGTCTGAAGAAAAATCGACCCGGATTCCATCCCATGATGTATTCCTATATCTAGAAATGACGATGGATTCTAAGAGTATCCTCTCTTGAAGCCTGGTATATTCCATTATAAATTTGAAGCCTGGTATATTCCATAATAAATCTCCCAAACGAAAAGCTGTTTTTGTATTGGATCTACCCTCTGGTAAACGTTTACATAGCTATGGAAAATCACCATGTCGAATAGGTAAATCAACATAAATCAACATAAATCAAGTATATATATATATGCATGGCAATTTTCAATAGCTATGTTAATGTTAAAATTACCAGAGGCTATTTTGGGATGGGATTGCCAGTAGCCCCTGTGCCAGAACACGAGCACTGACATGCGCTGGTACCAGGGAGGCTCCCGTGGCCACGGCCAAGGGGGAGAGATTTGGCATGGCACCGGCCTTGCAGATTTGTTGCGATATATCAATGGATTGGTTTAAGGGGAAATCTACAGGAAAGCCCCATATTTAATGGGAAAATAACTCTGGTTTCCGGTTAACATTTTCCCTTAAACCAATCCAATCAATATAGCGTTTAAATGAGTAGTGTTTCAAAATTTGTCTGTTGGTTGATATGTAGGGAATTATACATTCTATTGGGGACTACCATAACCCATCACCAATCAGTTTCTTAGAATGATGGTGTAGAACTGGGTTACAACCGAGGTATGGTTCTTGGGGACCCAATCTTTTTTATTCTTTAATGACTCGATTGGGATTTGCATGGTCAATAAAGGATGCTACTCGTTCAGGGCACATTCCCAAGATAGTTCCTGTCACAAATTGCGGGTGAGGTTGGACCATGATTCGCATTGATCAGTGGCTTGAAAGCACGGTCGCTGGTTGCCAACTGGTCACCCTTACTGGTCACGCGAAAATGGTCATGGCTTGTCTTTGGATGGATTGTAGCCGCGCCATAGACAAACAGTCTCTTTTTAGTGTTTTTGGAATGGCTTACAAGGTGAGACCCCGAGTTTTGAGTCAGTGGATATTTCGAAAACCCCCCAAAAAACATCGTAGAACATCCTGAAACTACAAGTTGATATTTATAACCCCCAAGAAAAACATCCTGAAACTAGTGATATTCCCCCACAAAGCCACCAGCAACGGCCAGGCTATGGCGGCATCTACCTACAGAACTTCGCGGTGAACGACATTTTGGATGCGCCCAAGCCGCCCCTTGGCCCAGTGTGGCGTTATGCCCCGTGGTTCGCAGGGCAGTGGCTGGAGTCCCATGAATAAACTGCAGGGCTGGATATCTATATAATATTATTGTACAATTGTGGGAAAGCATATATATATATATATATGTATATATATATGGGTAATAATGGTTAAGTAGTGATTAATAATGGGTTAATGATGATGAGCAATGTGGGATTGACCCTGGCTGCCATAAACAACTAGCATGACTGGGGATTGTTTATGAAAAAGCACCCATCAAGATGGTGATGACTTGGGGATGGTTTATGAAATTGGGTTGACCACATACTTTGAACTTTGATGATGTTCTATTTTCATGGGGATATATATATATATATATATGTATCGAAGCATTACCAGTCAAAAACACGGTAGATCTCCGGGTGGTTGGTGATCAAATCTCATGATATGGGATCCATGAGACGATACCCTGAAATATGGGATCTGGATTTGGGATGATTTGGTGAGCCAACCGGGGCCAATCACTGGATGGCAGAAGTTCAATAGCCAAAGTTGGAGCAAATAATTCCAATTTCACTAGGCTTTATGGTAATGAAATAAGTATAGTTATACTTGGGATTTATAAACCAAGAAACACAACCGGGCCTCACCTTGTATATACTGTGATCTTTTTCAATGGGGATTTATTGACATAACCAGGTGAAAACAAGTATTTTTGGGAGGGTATCTCAGGTTGGGCATGGGTAGACTGGATTAATTTTAGCAATGAATGATTCTAAGACACAATGCATCAGATTTTCATTGGAAATTGCCATTGAAACAGGATAGACCATGATAGGCCTGCTGGTTGAGATTCACAAAAAAAGTAGACCCCCCATACTCACCCATTTGTTTCTGGAATGAGTGCTATACATTTTTCAACCGGCACAATTTTCCGGGGCATCAGCTGGGTCCGAAAACAAAGACGTTCCACTTCCCAGGAGAGCAACGTGACTCACAAATTACCCAAGTTGATGATTCATCCTAAAATCGACAATATAATGACTTAATTTGGTGACATTATAGTTCCCAATGTTATTACAATAGATAAAGAATAACATTGGGAAGTTCCCAATGTTATTCTTTTTTCAATCCATAATAATATATTCCCATTTTTCATTGTTGCGTGGGAATATGAAAAAGACCCTTGCCAGTTCATTTTCATGGTTGAGTAGCAATTTCATAACTTATCACTATTTTGGATGTAATTCCCCTTCAGTTAATAGTCAGGGTTTAGAAAATCAGTTGACATTCTGACAATTACTTACTTGTGCTTAGTAGGGAATGAGGGAATGATCCACAATCCCTAGTAATAATCATCCCATTCCCCCATTCCCATCCATTCCCAACTAGGCACAAGTAAGATTATGTTGCACGGCAGACACAAGGCAGACATACTTTGGGGATGGTATTAGTCACATCCACCTAACATTAAACACTCCCTAAATGGTCTCAAATATGTGTTTTTATCCCCTACTAACCATATTTTGTTTCCCCATAGTTTGGGGATGGTTACCCTCTGGTAAACATACAAGAAGCTATTGAACATGGCCCAGTCGAAATAGTTGATTTACCCATGAAAATAGCATGGTGATTTTCCATAGTTTTTTGTATGTTTCCCAGAGGGTAACTATTAACCGTTAACCATAGATTATCCATGTATTAACCATAGATTATCCATATATTAACCATAGATTATCCATATATTAACCATAGATTATCCATAGATTAACCATAGATTATCCATATATTAACCATAGATTATCCATATATTAACCATAGACTAACCATATATTAACCATAGATTAACCATATATTAACCATAGATTATCCATAGATTAACCATAGATTATCCATATATTAACCATAGATTATCCATATATTAACCATAGATTAACCATATATTAACCATAGATTATCCATAGATTAACCATAGATTATCCATATATTAACCATATATTATCCATATATTAACCATAGATTATCCATATATTAACCATAGATTAACCATAGATTAACCATAGATTATCCATAGATTAACCATAGATTATCCATATATTAACCATAGATTAACCATAGATCCATATATTAACCATATATCATAGATTATCCATATATTAACCATATATTAACCATAGATTATCCATATATTAACCATAGATTAACCATATATTAACCATAGATTAACCATAGATTAACCATAGATTATCCATAGATTAACCATAGATTATCCATATATTAACCATAGATTATCCATATATTAACCATAGATTAACCATATATTAACCATAATCCCATAGATTATCCATAGATTAACCATAGATTATCCATATATTAACCATAGATTATCCATATATTAACCATAGATTATCCATATATTAACCATAGATTAACCATAGATTAACCATAGATTATCCATAGATTAACCATAGATTATCCATATATTAACCATAGATTAACCATAGATTAACCATAACCATAGATTAACCATAGATTATCCATAGATTAACCATAGATTATCCATATATTAACCATAGATTTATAACCATATATTAACCATAGATTATCCATATATTAACCATAGATTATCCATATATTAACCATATATTAACCATAGATTATCCATATATTAACCATAGATTATCCATAGATTAACCATAGATTTTCCATATATTAACCATAGATTAACCATAGATTAACCATAGATTATCCATAGATTAACCATAGATTATCCATATATTAACCATAGAATATCCATATATTAACCATAGATTAACCATAGATTAACCATATATTAACCATAGATTATCCATATATTAACCATATATTAACCATATATTAACCATATATTAACCATAGATTATCCATATATTAACCATATATTAACCATATATTAACCATAGATTAACCATATATTAACCATAGATTATCCATAGATTAACCATAGATTATCCATATATTAACCATATATTAACCATAGATTATCCATAGATTAACCATAGATTATCCATATATTAACCATAGATTATCCGTATATAGTATATTAACCATAGATTAACCATAGATTATCCATATATTAACCATAGATTATCCATATATTAACCGTATATAGTATATTAACCATATTAACCATAGATTAACCATATATTAACCATAGATGATCCATATATTAACCATAGATTATCCGTATATAGTATATTAACCATAGATTATCCATATATTAACCATAGATTAACCATAGATTAACCATAGATTAACCATAGATTATCCATAGATTAACCATAGATTATCCATATATTAACCATATATTAACCATATATTAACCATAGATTATCCATATATTAACCATAGATTATCCATATATTAACCATATCTTAACCATATATTAACCATAGATTATCCATATATTAACCATAGATTGACCATAGATTAACCATAGATTATCCATAGATTAACCATAGATTATCCATATATTAACCATATATTAACCATATATTAACCATATATTAACCATAGATTATCCATATATTAACCATATATTAACCATATATTAACCATAGATTAACCATATATTAACCATAGATTATCCATAGATTAACCATAGATTATCCATATATTAACCATATATTAACCATATATTAACCATAGATTAACCATAGATTATCCATATATTAACCATAGATTATCCGTATATAGTATATTAACCATAGATTAACCATAGATTATCCATATATTAACCATAGATTATCCATATATTAACCATAGATTATCCGTATATAGTATATTAACCATAGATTAACCATAGATTATCCATATATTAACCATAGATGATCCATATATTAACCATAGATTATCCGTATATAGTATATTAACCATAGATTAACCATAGATTATCCATAGATTCACCCAGAGGGTAATTTTTTTTGGGTTTCCCAGGGCATGGCCGCGCAAAAACATCAGACGCCGTGAGGGCCACCGAAGACGCGGTGTTGAACGTGCAGGACATGGCTGCGTTGGATGAGCTGGGCGCGGGCACCTGGGTTTTTGCGATGGTCAGAATGGTTTACCCCGTGGTAAATTAACATAGACCCTGAAAATGACCAATTTATAGTGGAAACTAGTAAAAAACCTCTATCTGGCAGGGTCTATGTTAATTTACTGGAGGGTATACTTATTTCCAAGTTAGTTTTTTTTTTTGACTAGGTTTACTATACTTCGATATATGTAAAGCTAGTTATAAACCAACTTAGCTGAGATATAACGGCATGTCATTGGATTCTGAGATGTTCTAAACAATATGGAGGTTTCCATAAATGGGGGTACCCAAATAGCTGGATGGTTTGTAGTGGAAGATCCTATGAAAATGGATGATTTTGGAGATCCCGCATTTTATAAGTAGGTTATAGCCCTAGTTATAAGTGGGATAAGTAGAGTTAATCCATCCACAACTAGGGTGAACTGAGCTACTTACTAAGTGGAATGAGCCACCAAGTATATATATATGATATGTGGGTTTCTATGGCTCCCGAAAATCGGGGAAATCTCAATCTCAATTGGCACTTATATTGTTATGGGGATGAAAACACCAATCGTCGCCAGGTCTCTCCTTCGTGATTCGCGGCGAAGACACCGGACGGATTGTCCAGTCGTCGGGGGCTGAGAGACTTCGCAACGGACAGTCGGGTCGTTTTGTACATTTTTTGTAGTCAAGATCATGGTCGTTTCTGTACACACATTTTGGGATTCATTTTCAGCTATGAGTCAAACAAAGAAGTACCCTCTGGTAATTCAACATAGCTATTGAACATGGCCATAGAAATAGTGAGTTTTCCCATTAAACATGGTGATTTTCCATAGTTATGTTAGTTTACCAGAGGGTATGTATATATATATAACTATATATACACACATTTATATATTTATATATTGTAATATGATTACATGATCCACAATGAGTATAGGGGCTTGACGACTAAGCGGGAATTCATCTGATTGACACAACAGGCACGTGGAGCATGTTGAATGTACCATGGATGCTCCGCTGAATACTTGTTGCGATGAAAACAGACATTTTCTACAATGGCCCCCCAGTGATGTTTGTTGGTTTATAAACCATGAAATAGTCCCCATTAACTAGTTCGTTATATCTACCATAAACCATTGAATTCAGCCACTTATGTTCACCAACTGAACGCTATCGCTCGACTGGGGGCCCCATCCTGTGCCTTCCCTCTGGTTATGACTAACAGTTCGCCATGGAAGCCATCACCATGCTATTTTGTTGGTAAACCATCTATGGACTTCAGTGACTTTAGCCAAAATGGACAGCTGATTCCATTGATTGCATGGGAATCTCACGAAAATTGTGACCCTCGGCCTGGTTGAGAAAACTGGTGCCCTGGGGCTAATGGTTGGTGCTTAGTAAGAGCCCTGAAACCCTGAAACCCTGAAACCCTGAACTTTTTTTGGGGTTTCACCTGGGGTCCCCTATCCCTGGTCATCCCTAGGTCTCTACTGCGAATCTACCTGTGGCCCTTGACCATCTGGGATTTCGACATCCGACAGTCTGGGATCCCCAAATTGATTTCAGGTGAGGGAATCATTATGGTTTATCCAGACTGATATGTACGTGCACACACACATATATATATACATATATACATATATATATATATACATATATACATATATATATATATATGTATACATACATATATATATATATGTATACATATATATATATATATATCGCGTATATTTCACTCTATAAATTCGGAAGTACAGTAGGGGATGATTTGGATTAACCGGGTGTGAGTTGTTGCAATTTGCCCGGATTCTGCCTAGACGGATTTTGGGCAGATACATCTTTGCAATTCATCAGTGTGAATTTGCAAATATACTGTACCCATTGAAAATTAACTTGTTTATGTTTGTCCGTGCTGGACATCGGTGCTTTTGTAAAGGATATCCACACTCTGGCGAACACAACAATTTTTTGAGTGGAACCTACATTTTCCTCCATCACTTCATAATGCTTGTCAAATCCGCATTTTCGATTGATGACAACTGCATCTTCTTGCTTCAAATCTGGCTTTTGGTTTGGTTTTCTCTTTGAAAAACAACTAGCTCTTCTTATTGGCTTGGAGCATTTCCAAAGAATTTGGTGATCAAAACAGGTTCCAAATTAGGTCCAGTTAGGTCACCAAACTTTGCTGGTGAAATCTCCTTTTGGTCTCAAAAAATCCCGCGAAAACTCCATTTTTGGCTCGTGAGCTTCCAATGTTTGACCTGTGAACTCACCATTTCCATGCCATTTCTGGATATTTTTGGCAGAGCTTCGATGAAACCCTCGATGCGTGGGATCTTCGGCCCTTTTTTTCCGATGTTTTTTCCCACGTAAAACCTCCATTTTTGATGGGGATTTTTATTCGATTTACCCTCTGGTAAACTAACATAGCTATGGAAAATCACCATTTTTCATGGGAAAATCCACTATAAATGGCCATTTTCAATAGCTATTTTGACATAACCAGAGGGTATTCGCCGAGCTGACACGGGGAACTCCGAAGCATTTTCCAAGCTGGTCGGCTCAGGCAATGTCAGGCGAACTGCCAGCCGCACTATGCCACCAGTGCAACTTCTACGGCTCCTTGGCTCAGCTTCCACCTGAAGCCATCGCAGAAGTAGCTGATTTATGCTGATTTACCCAGCTCAAAAATGGTGATTGTCCAGCTCGTTATGTAAACGTTTACCAGAGGGTACCTCTGTTGACGGTTTTATCCGAGGTTATACTAAGTGATTCATATCATGGGGATGATAGATATGATGGTCCGTGGGTCCTCATCCGACTAGAAGGCTTGTCAAATGATAAAAACCTTTGAATGCCCTTCTTCGATTTCACAGAGAGAAATGTTCTTGGTTGGCACGTTGGGGGTATATTCCATGGAATGTTCTATGGCAGTTCTGTGGGGGTACTAAGTGGCACAGTCGATGTTATCACTTGTGTGCCTAGACTCAAGAATTATTGAAAGATGGGGATGTCATGGCACATGGTTTCAGCGTTTCAAGGTCCAGTCTTGGTAGATTTGGGATTTTTGGGTTCCCAACTTTGGTCCATGGCCATCAAACAGACGATTGAAGCGAAAAATGCATGGAGCTGGATGATTGACATAGCCGCTATAGCCATGAGGCAGCCAGGATATGGGATTTCCAGTTCATCTCAGATTGGGGTAGATTTTGGTGAATGGTTGGTTCCATGGCTTATCTTTTGCCATTTGGCTATGGATCAATAGCCCATAATTCCAGGTTTTGGGGGATGAAGATTCATAAAATCCCATTGAAAATCACAGCTATTTTGCTATTTCACCAGGGGATTTCATGGTTTTGACTGTGAGGAAACCCAGCACTGCAAGGTACCGCCAAACTCATGCTCGACTATCCCATAATTCCTGGTTGGTTTGTACACCCCATGAATATTTCATAATCCTTGATATCTCTACTTCAAAAATAGACTTCAACAAATCTCCGGAAGAGTTCCCCATTCCCTATTTTTTTGGCCAGAAAGAATTTCGGTCATCAAATCGTCATCCAACGGGGGAACGAATGGACCGAACGAGGTGGATTGCAAGCTGGAATCCGCCATGTCCCTATGTCGCCAAGCTCAGCAAAATGGGAAATCCACGCATCGACGTTCCTGAAGCAAATCAACGAATATAACATCAATGGGAAGTTCAAGATCCAGATCAATGGAGGTACGTAAACGTACCATGTTTTTGGCCATATTTTGTGGGGATATTCCCTGAAATTTAGGCCTAAAGAATAGGCCAAAAATATATGGAATCCGTACCTCCGTCCTCAATCGGTTCCTGAGTCATGGCCAGTGATAACATGGCCAACCTATATGATATGAATTATGCAGTTGTGTAGCCGTTATGGGTAAACAAAAAAAAGTGGAAAACTCATGGTTTCCCTGTTTTTTTTGTGGGAAAATGATCTACACATGGTGTGTTTTCCAGGTATTTTTTGGGTATGTTTACAGAAGACGATGTCAGGAGGTTTGCATGGCAGACCAGTCAGACTTCCGTGGTATCCTGGTGTTTTGGGATCATTGGGATTTGAAAATTTGGAGTTTTTCGGTCAGATGGCAATGGAATAAAAACACAAAATGACGTGGCTTCCCAATTTATAGCCGTTAAAGAATGGGCAAATGATGTTCTAGTGAAAATTAGTGAATGCCATAAAGATGGCATCCTTGTCATCCCATCGGAATGAATAAGTGATGAAGAAATTGTGGATTGGGACAGGACCACATTTCGTTTGTCTTGACATAGGCTACCCAGAAAAAAACCAGCAGTTTATATCATTTGCTTTCCGAAAAAAAACACTGCCTTTTCGCTTGGGTGTAAAGTTTTCAGAAACAGCGACTGCATTCCTGATTTTTCCCGTGCCAGCTTCGATTGGTCTATTTGGGATGGTCAAAACCAGAAAACCATCTGCAAGATGTGTTTTTTTCCAATGCAAATCATCCATTTTTCCATAGAAATCAATGGAATCCAGAACTCTGCATAGTATCTTAGACTAATATGTCCCATAACTGTCCATGAATATCAACTTGCTGTTAGATACCTTGGAGCTCGCGGTATATTGTCTACGTACTGTATCGAATATATATATATATATATAGAGTTCTTTCCCAGCATATACGCAATATACACGCATGTATACATGTAGAATTTATCCTGAAGTAGACAGACTATGGAATTATAGAATTTTCATTCCCATATTCCCAAATCTTCGTGGTGATGTTTGTAATTTTTACATATTCTATCTACTCCATGAATAGAACTACAGTATGTATATATGTATATATATACACACTTAATATATATATATGCATATATGTACTAATAGATATTTATAGTTGATTTACCCATGAAGAATGGTGATTTTCCATCTCAGGTGAAGACTTTGTGCCGCCACTGCAGCAACAGTGGGCCAGAAGCCTTGGTGAAATCCAATTGGCCGCTGTTTTTGGAGAGATCCTTTCCCCATTGGAACATGCTGGGGAAATATGATGGGACTCCTTAGTCGGAGTCGGGTTGGATGGGGCAACTTGAGGCTCCAGGGACTTGGGGTGTGCCCTTTGGGAATCATATGATGGGAAATATGATGGGAACATATGGTGGATGGGAAATATGATGGAAAATATTGTGATGGGAAATAGTATAATGTTCCCTTTGGGTCCCCTTTCATAATGGGAGAACTGGATTTGTCTGAAAAAGGAGAGTTTCTCATGGCCATGTAATAGTAAACATATGGGAAAATGATGAATAAACAATGGGTTTAGACGTACCCTATTTTCAGACGAACCCAAATATTATGGGAATATAATCAATGGGAAGTTCAGGATCCAGATCAATGGAGGTACGTAAACGTACCATGTTTTTGGCCATATTTTGTGGGGATATTCCCTGAAATTTAGGCCTAAAGAATAGGCCTTATATATGGTAGGTACCTCCAATTTAGGTTCCTGAAATGGCCATTGATTGGTTGGTTGATTAATAGAGGGGTTTGTTTACCCCTTAAACAAGAGGTACATGATGATAGATGGTATACCAAAGCGGCCCTCTACTTTTACCAAAAGGACATTATTGTTGACATAAATGACATATCAATGGCATGGTTTTTCAGGGAACATCTTAACATATCTTAACCGGAAACCATACGATTTTTCCCATCAAATATATGGGGTTTTCTTGCTAATATCGATTTTCCCAAAAAAAATCAATCCAATGAACTTTAACATTGGTTACCCTCTGGTAAACTAACATAGCTATTGAAAATGGCCATAGAAATATTTACCCATCAAAAATGGTGATTTTCCATGGCTATGTTAGTTTACCAGAGGGTATATCAAGAGTAAACAATAGACTTATTCATCCTGAAATATCAAATGATTGGACAAGGATTGTGAGGTTATTAAGCAGATTTAAGCAGCCATCAACTGTGGATAAACCTCGATTTGGTTCATGTCTGGTAGTCTAACAGTTAGCACCACTTAAGGCAACATCATCGGTGGGATTTTTGGTTCATTTTGAGAGTTTGAGGGGAGAACATCAGATTCCACTATGTTTGTTTTCCTTCTTCTTGCAGTAAGTCTATCTGATAGCAACGCTAAAGGTTTTGGGGGATCAATTCAAGATTTTTCACTGGGTCGATGTACCACCCGAAATTGCCATCTTCGAATTGGACAATTTCCCACATTTTCCCACTATTTTACCGCCATTTTAGCACCATAAGTCATTGATTTCCAGCGTTCCCCAAGATTTTGCCGAGGTGGACACCCGCGGGCGCGACTGCACCTGGTACGCGCAGCCCGGGCTTTGTAACACGGATGGGGAGTTCTACACACCCAGTGCCTTGACGCCAGCGGCCACGGTGGGGTGGCGGTTCGGTGGTTTGTTTCGCTGGGACCATACTGATTTTCATGGATTCAATGGATGTTTTTTGTCTGTTCACCTTGATTTATAGGGGATTTAGCTATCATGTTTGATTGGTGCTAGGAAAAACCATCATGAGAAAATCCATTCTTTTTGGCCAAGACTTTTGAAGCATTTTTGGATTGAGGCAGGATACCAAATTCGGGCAACCTCAAACGACGACGCCTGCATTTCTTTTGTATGTATGTATATGTATATATATATGTATGTATAGACACACACACAAATAACACATATTACATCATATATTATATATATATTACACACACATATACAGTGTATATATATATATACACATTAACGTATGTGTATATTTACATACACACATCGCACACACACACACACACGCACACGCACACGCACACGCACACACACACACACACGCAGAGATACACATAGCTGTCAAATGGGTTTTCCCCATTCCAACATGGCTTGCCCAGCAATTCATGGCTACCAAGGTCTTGCAAAATTGTTTGGCACCTCCAAAATGTTGGACACAGCCCTGTCAAAACTCAACAGAGCTTTTGGTTTTAGGATGTGTTGATCTCCTAGAGTCAAAGACCTCAAAGATGGTCCACATCCCTCGTTCATTCTTCTGTGATTTTAACATATTTTAACTTGTTATCATGGTTAATATACGTTAATATGTTGTCATCATATGGGTTTTCATGGTTAATATGGTTAAGTATGGTTAATATTCTGTGATTTTCACTGGTTTTTGTTTGTTACTGACTGTATCTAGATGTCAGATCTTTAATCCTACGGTCATGCTTTCAGTAGTTTCAGTAGGTGTTCAACTCATTAGGTCGCTCTTTGTTGGGATGCTAACGACAAGTGACAATGAGAAGCTTGTCATTCTTTGGGACTTACCCGGCCTGGTAAACGTTTACATAACGAACTGGAAAATCACTATGTTTCATGGGAAAAGTCACTATTTCTATGGTGATTAACTATGGAACATCACCATTTTTCATGGGAAAATTCACTATAAATGGATATAAATGGTGATTTTCCAGTTCGTGATGTTAAAAATTACCAGAGGGTAAATTGGAACTATAGCAGGATGGGGTCGGTTCGTTTCGTGTCGTTTTCGTTTTCCAGGAACTGGCTGGATGTTTGGCGTTTCGTTTCGTGGGAGCCTATGGTTCGGTTCGTTTCGCAGAGATGGTCGGTTCGTTTCGTTTCGTTTTCGTTTCACAGACGGTTTGTGACTTCAGTGAGTTCGCTTGAGGCAAAAAACACTATATGTTGGAGACGAGCTTGCGGTTCAGGAGGATTGGAAAGGATAGTAGATTTGAGAGTTTGTAAGAGCAATGTCGAAAATGCTGCCTAAACATCTTGCTCCCCCGGCGTTGGCGGCAAACCCCATTGATGTTTTTGCTTTCTTAACGGCTCTTTAAAAGCAAATCCCCGTGTAGGCGGATTTGCTTTTTTCAGGGCGTATTTGCTTTTTCCAGGGTGTGGAAAAAGCAAACGGTGTTCTCTGGGGGTGTGCAGTTTGCCAAGCTGCTCATGAACCTTAAAGTTCGGAGGCCCGGACATGGAAACAATTCCATGCCTTGATTTTGGAGCCTAAGCCTAAAATATCTAGACTCTGGACCGTTACTCTTTCCTGTCTCTCTCCTCTGTCCGTTTTCCCCTCTTTTCTCTTCAGCAGCCAAATTGATTTTTGCACATGCAAATGTGGCAGGGAAATGCAAGGAACATCACCGGACGAACTCGGGCAAAGAAGCCCGTGGAAGAGTGGAAAATAGGCAGATGCCTGCGGTTCTCAACACTCCAAACGGCTCGGTTTCCCACCGGTTCGGTTCGGTTCGGTTCGTGAATATGAACGGTTCCGGTTCGGTTCCTATGTTTCCGGTTCGTTTCGCAGTTCGCGGTTCGGTTCCAGAACCACACTGCTATAGCTTGACGATTGGGGCTATCCTGGCGGCTATCCTCATCCCATACACTTGGACAATGGACAAATCAGCAGAGTTTCTTTTGCATCGGCCACAAAAATAAGACCATTCCTTGATTTCGTTCCTGGAAATTACGGTTTCGGGATGTCACAATTTTTCTGGCACCATATTTTGAGGGATGAACACCTTTTTACCAGCTGTGTCTTTTTTTTTTTAAGTGGTATATCTGGGTAAATTATAACGACCTCACTGCGACCTCACTATAATCATAGTTAGTGGGGGAAATGATCCCCAAATGGCCGCAAGATTCAGGTTAGTGAAATATTATAATTTACCCAGATATTATTAATATACCACCAACCAGATATCATATGTATATTATAATCCCATCATATAACCATATATAACCATATATAACCATATAACCAACTAGAGGGTACATCTATTTGATATATTCATAGTATCTATAAAGCAAATGTGGGGCCCTCCAGTTATAAGTACCATAAACCATAGTGAAATATTATAATTTACCCAGCTATATGGTTTAACGAGACATGGCCGGCCCGGGCCGGCCCTCCTGGCACCCAAGAGGTCACGGCTATTCTGCCCTCTACTCCTGCTGCGTTTGCGTCAGAAGCTCAGCGGAAATCCGTTTTTTTTCCGTGACCGTGACGTAAGTCACGTGGTGTTTCGATACAGGGGGGGTACCCAAAAAGGGGAACCGGGGAAACAACATTTAGTTCGATGATTTAGCTGTTAATGGCAATTTTCCATTGTTATGTAAACGTTTACCAAAATGGGGATACCGGGGATAAATGGGGATTTCCTAAAATGGGGGGTACCCCCCAAATCATCCATTTTAAAAGGATGTTCCCTAACAAAAACCATCGATGTTGGGGTATCCCCATTTATGGAAACCATGGTGTTTCTCCCCAAAATGGTGGCTTCACCTACTTATAGCTCCTTGAACCCATGGAATTCAGTTTCAACATCAGCTGGTTTTGTTTGAACCATACTGGCTACGGTGTTCATACGTGGCCAGAAATCCGGGTGTGAAATGGCAGGATGAGTTTCCATTTAAAAGTTGGAACACGCAGTTTTTCAGGTTCTGGATGGTTTCTGCCAATGCTCAAATGTCCCTCTTTGAGACATAGTCAACGGCATAGTGGCAACGGGGATCTCATATACAAAGACTACAAGTTAAGTTACATACTAATTATTTTCAATGCATCATGCAGGTTATTGCAGTATATGCGAAATGGGTATACAAAGCAGAGCATAGTTGGCCAAATCCGCGAAAATCATCCGGTTGAAACCACGGCCAAATTCCAGATGTTTCTTGCTTAGATTAATTTGGTAAAGCCTAAATTTCACAAACCATCCTTAAATCATCATCCTTAAATCATCATCCTTAAATCATCATCCTTAAATCATCATCCTTAAATCATCATCCTTAAATCATCATCCTTAAATCATCATCCTTAAATCATCACCATTTCTATGGGTCACATAAACCATCCCGAGTCATGGTACTTGTTGCAGCCTGGCCAGGAGGGAGGCGTCCGCTCCAACGCCAACGTGGTGCGGCTACGGCTACCCAACAGGAGACCCGGGCAGGGCCTCTCTCATGCTTCAAGACATGTTGGATCATCGATCATTGTTCGTCATATTTCCATGGTTTTCAATTTTCAAACGCTTCAGCATGAAGATTGGGGTCTCAAGATTGAGCAAATGTCGGATTTGAGTACAACTTCAATGTGTCCAAATAGCTGCAATAGCTTTGTCTGACCATCGGCTCTCCGGGCTCTATCCGTCACACACTTCGTTTTAGAACCTCACCATTTTACCCACGACATGGCCATTGGTGATGCAGCCATCGGACTGGCCCCGTCAGGATGGATCCGGCCTTCACTTCTGAAGTGATGCACACCATCCGCTTCTACCAGGTGCGTTTTTTTCGACGAAAGCCCCTTATCTTAGATGATCCCCCGCAGGGGATGAATTGCTGAAGTTGGGGTCAACAGTTTTTCTGCGACCATAGATGGAGATTTTTCCGAATACCTCGATTAGATGGAGATTTTCTTGGGGGGAATCTATTGGAAGCATTTTTTGGGGGAGGATCCTGAAAGAAATCCATGGCAACCACAAATTCAGCCCCTTTTCAAGCCCCTTTTCGGAGGAAACGCGGAGTGGTTTCAACACTTTCCAAACTTCCATCTCTACTCCGGATTACCGTTCCTAAATTACACAGTTTAAAGATGTTTAAAGCATCAGCCAGCAGATTTTTTTTCATTACTTTGCTTTTGTTGCCACAGCACAGGGAACAAACAGAGTCTTTTGCGAAGACTGTTCGGACTTGCAGTTCATGTGGGTATATAAGAAAACAAGGAATACCCCAAACACATAACATGACACCGTTGACTTTCCGGGGTGGACAATTGTTGATACACCCACATCCATCCAATTTCTTTGTTGCCCAAGTTTTCTGTCCTCACTTCCTAGCCTCATGGCGAGTATACCATAGTAACTTATAAGTCACATCCAACTGTTGGTGACATCCAAGCTGTTAGTACCATCTTTTTCCTCATCAAAAACACCAACTCTGCCCATGTCCTACGCCCATGTCCTTGAGCTCGGGAGGCGAGACCGTTGCCCAAGAGAGGCTTCTTTCCGATGCGCATGGGAGCGCAGATCTCAACGCCCAACGACGGCTATCCCGACTACACCACCGTGTGGGGGAACGGTGGGATGGCGTTCACTGGAGCTGCATCCCAAAAAATCAGATGGGATCTTAGGGCGTTCATTTTTTTCATGTTTTTTTTTCATGGTTTTGATGCACAAATATACATGTATATATATATATATGTATATATATATATATATATGTTTTTTTCAATGTGTTTCAATATTTTTCCATGGCTTTCATGCATTCTCCTCTAGGCACAGTGGTCCTTGATGCATGATCCTAGTTGCGGGGTAATTTCCCTTGCAACATAAGCATCCTGTCAGGCCGGCTTGGGGTTCGTTCATTGGTTTCTTGGAGGGTCAGCCCACTTAACAAGTGCTTGATAGAATAGTTATAACCACTGGTTGGTGGTTTGGAACATGGCTTTTATGACTTTCCATTCAGTTGGGAATAACAATCCCAACTGACTTTCATATTTTTCAGAGGGGTTGAAACCACCAACCAGATTTAATAACCCATTTATAGATGAGACAACCCACTTCGGGTACTTGCGTTCACCAGGATTACTAACCAGTTGCCAAGCGGGATCATTCTCCAAGTTCCATGTAGGTTTGAAATTCGAGGTCCATGCAGAAGGGTTTGGGTTTCAGCTGTTTTCGAAAAGAATGCCATCCAGGAACAAGTTTGGAAGGGGGGTGCAGCTTTAGGGGGGAACCACACAGAAGCGTTGATGCGGCCTCAGTAGGAAAGTAGGTCCCTCGGCGAAATATTTTTCGGGCGTATAAAATCTGGTTGGTGGTTTGGAACATTTTGTTTTTCCATACTATATGGGATAATCCTTCCCATTGACTAATATTTTTCAAGATTGTTAAAACCACCAACCAGAAATTATAAACACCTTTTGGATGAAAAACAATGAACAACTACACACCTATAGGTACCCCGCCGATGAGTTGGCCCTAAGTTCCGTCAGCCCTTTTCCAGCGCAAGTAGTTTTTAAACACATGAACCCATGCGCATCACTAACAACGCATTTATCACCTGACATAGAAGTTGGGAAGAGCCAAGGAGGAGACTGAAAATCGCGGATGCCCCATGATTCCATTAAAAAATAGGTAAAATGGTGGGATAACTCGATAACTCGATAAGTCATGGAGGGTTTTGGGTTACCCTGTTTTTGGACCCTATATAAATCACATCAACATGTGAGGCCCCCAAGTGAAACAGACACACTTTATCCCTGGAAGGCAGTATGAGTAGCCACTTGTTTAGTGGCAGCCTAAGTAGGACTGTAGGGCTCATTTCCTATTTCTTACGCAGCATTGTTTCGGACGGCTTATAGAAACCTGCCGACCTCCCGTACTAATGAACAGAGTGTGGTCGATGGGAAGCCATCAAATCGACGTTGATGATACTCTCTATAATACACACACATGTATATATATGACATATATATGACATATATATATTACATATGCACATACATAGACAGAAACAGAAGTCTTACCAAGATTTTGTCCATGTTTCTCCAGACACCAATCCACTTTGTCCAAAAAAACATTCAGCTCCCATCAGCTTCGGAAGTGAGGATCCTCTCATGGCAGTTTTTGTAGCCTCCGAGAATTTCAGAGTTTGCTGTGGAGACTGGCTGATGAAAATACATACATGATCTAGCTTTTTTGAACATGGTGATTTTCCACCCTTGAACTCTAGCAGAGGCACCCAGAGGCTAGATTTCTTGAGGAGATCGTTCCATTCTTCCTATGGCAAAGCCATAGCAATCCCATGATTTTCGACGAAAAAAAAAATCCTATTCCTACAATGTGAGGCCCCCAAGATAGCTAAGTTGGTGCAAATAACTCCAATAACTATGGTTTATGGTACGCAAATAACTATAGTTACTGGGGCTTTTGTTAACCAACTAACATCACTGGGGGGCCTCACATTGTACACAGCTTCCCTCGTCCTGGTCGGGGAATCTCGAACAGTGTTTCCCCGAAAAAGATGATCCTCATTGAGGAGGTTTCCAAACATGGCTTGCTGGAAAATCCACCATTAAAAAATTCGATGTTTTTTCCAGCTATGGATTCCATGGATGTTTCCTAAAATATTAGGGTACCCCAAGTCAACATGGCTTTGAATGCCAAAGTAGTCTGATTTTGGATGGGGGTAGCCCTATGACTTAGGAAACCTCCAGAGAAACCTCCATCGGCTGATTCGCCCTGATTCCCATTCGCCACCTTGGTGGCCAGGGCCGGGCGCATGGTGCAGTTTCTGCCTCCTCAAGCGAGTTATGCCTCAGTTGTGTGCGGAGCTTCAGTGGGTGGGTTTCTGGATCCGGATGTGGGATGGAATGGTTGTCCGATCAGACCACATCTCACAATTTTTGTGACCTGTTGAGCTATCACTTAATGAGGTTAGGGAAAAATCACCTGAAGTGTTTTAGCTGTTTTCATGTTTGATTCTTCAGATACCCTCTGGTAAACTAACGTAGCGAACTGGAAAATCACCATTTTTTAATGGGTAAATCAACTATAAATGGTAATTTTCAATAGCAAACTGTTAAATTACCGGAGGGTAATCCACTGGAGTTGGGGCTGCCACTATTGGAGCGAAGCTGATCTACAGGAGATGGCAAAGTAACGAGGAGAGTAAGCATGTTCATTACCCTCTGGTAATTCTCTGGTAATTTAACAGTTTGCTATTGAACATGGCCATAGAAATAGTGAGTTTTCCCATCTACAGTTATCAGCCATTTTCCAGTTTATGTTAGTTTACTATGCCATGACCCAGGAGGTCCTACTCAGCCCCTCGCCCAGGGGCTCCTTAGTCGGCGTCGAAGGATGGGGCAACTTGAGGCTCCAGGGACTTCGGGTGTGCCCTTTGGGAATCATATGATGGGAAATATGATGGGAACATATGGTGGGAAATAGTGGGGAAATATGATGGGAAATATTGTGATGGGAAGTATGATGGGACATATTATGATGGGAAATCGTATAATGTTCCCTTTGGGTCCCCTTTCATAATGGGAGAAATGGACTTGTCTGAAAAAGGGGAGTTTCTCATGGCCCCTGTAATAATGAACATATGGGAAAATGAGGAATAAACAATGGATTCAGAGTACCCTATTTTCAGACGAACCCAAATATTATGGGAATATAGTCAATGGGAAGTTCAGGATCCTAAAATAGAGGTACTGTACCATATAAAGCCATATTTTAGAGGCATATCCCTTACAGAGCCCTTACGTAGGCATAGGCCTCATATATGGTAGGTACCTCCAATTTAGGTTCCTGAAATGTACATTGATACGGGATATTAAGAATTAGAGTATTGGATATAATGGGACAATGGTTGGGAGAATAATTGGGATATACCCGATGTCATCCACCGTGGCTGGAAGATCCCTTGTATATCAACAGAGGTTTTCATGAAACAAGCGCCATTGATTGGGAGATTTTCCATTGCCATGTTTGATTTCCGGACATTGTCATCTTGCGCACTGGGTTCGGATGGATCAGAGAACCACAAAAATGCACTCCGACAATGCGACTCCGAATCCGGTTGTTTCTGATCCATTCCGTCATACTTTCGCTATAACTGGACCAAGCTACTTTCCCTACTTCTAATTGGGCTTATAACATGTTATAACATGTTAAAAGCCACTAAGTGGGATGAGCCACCAAGTATTCCATTGATCAGCCACAACTGTGGCGAAAGGTGGGTTCCACTCACCAATCAGTGGCCAAAGATCACGTTTTTGGGGTTGTAGCCATCAGCTCACTGACTAGGAGCCCAGATGATGATTGTTCTTGTGGAGAGGATTTGTATATAGTATACTATATAATATAGATAATTAAAACTATATGTATTTACATATTTACATATTTACATATATACATATATACATATATACATATATACATATATATATATATACATATATATATATATACATATATACATATATACATATATACATATATACATATATACATATATACATATATACATACATATATACATATATATATACACATATGTATATATATATACATACATATGGGGTTTCCTAAAATGGGGTACCCCCAACGCATCCCAAATCAGACTATTTTGGATTTTTTAGTATTGAAAGCCATGGTTTTGGGATACCCCCATTTTAGGAAACCTATAGACACAGCCAGCAGGATTGATTGGCAGGGTTTCCGTTGTTTCTCATTGAGGGAAATGCTTCAAACCATTCCCTTTTCAGTAAGTCCAGCAACGACCCCCAGAACTTTCAGGTCTCTGAGGTTTTTGAAACCTTTTTTTTTGGCAGGGCTTTTGAGGAATCCAAGCTAAGTGGGATGGTTTCAAGTGACCAGGAATTGGTTTGTCCCGCTACCCCATTTCAAAACCCAAACTCCCGCAATTTTTTCATAAACACCCGATTCTCCCCCAGTGAAATGGGTCCCGTTCCTTGGAAAATCTCGAAAAAAACCACGGACGTTCCACGGTTCCACGGCCCACGAGCTTCTCTCGAGCGTTCCAGGCAGTTCAACTCCGACCCTGTGTGGAACAACATGTGCCAAGGGGATTTTGGAAAGATGGCGGGATCTGGCTGGGGCCCCCCTTGCAAGCAACGCAGACTTCATCATGAATGGCATATAAATCATGGTTTTTCGGGGAATCATGGAAGAATATGGCAACCGTTTCAGGTGTAGGCCTGTAGGCATCATAGCCTTGGCTATTTGCCCGGATGTGGATTGTCTCAAAATTTGGAAGCACATCAGATCCATGGAACATTAGCATCAGTTGAACTACTTCTTAAATTTTCAGTCAAACCCATGTCCAAAAAATAAGCGATACCGCATTGGATACCCAGTCTATTCGATTTTGGACAAGGCAAACTATGATCGATATTTTGATATATTTTGGGGTACCCTATGTTCATACAAACCTAATTCAACCTGGGCTTATTTTTTTTTTCCATTTTGGGGTCCCATGCAACACGGGTTTGCCATTGGGACGAATGCCGCAGACTGGCACGATGCAATCCCTGAAATTGGAAGCTTGGATACCACCCACGAGCAGCTTATAGTGTAAAAAGATGAGACCCCATGTCCGAGTCATGGCCATATTTTACCAACAAGATATGATATATATATATATATACATATATATATATACACATATATATATATATTTGGTGACATGAAACAAAAAAAATGTTGGGGGAGCCATTTGACCCTGGTTGGTTCTGCGCAGCTGCGCAGGTACATTCGGCTCCAGATGCCTTTGACTCTTCGCGGGGTTGAAGGCCGGCACTGCTTTGGGAGTCCCCTGGCGACGGCGAAAAACCTCCGCTCCGGCCGTGGCCCCTGTTGGCAGGTGATGATCTCCACTCCCTGTGGAGAAGCACCGGGAGTTTTGAGGTGGTTCTGCCTCCAGGCAATGGACTTTTGGTCAAGACTTTTCCCCAAAATTGGGACATCTCTGGAAAATACTGAGATGAAAATACAATGGAATGATTTCACTGGAGATTGTGAGGATTTTTGGGATGATTCCATTGGGTATGGATGTTGGGTATGGATGTGCTCGAAACTGCGGGAGAATTTTTCCTTCACTTTTCATGGGGTTGTGATGACAAGCCACGGGATTTTGGATGGAAAACTTGGGGTGCCGACTATTTTCAAAGAGATCCCAAAGAGCAAAATCGGGATTGAACACATGATGTTTCACACATCATGGTGCAATAACCATGGTTAATAGTGATTAATAGTGGTTAATAGTGGTTATTAGTGATTAATACCTGATCTAATGAATAATATATCTGGTTGGTGGTTTCAAACATGGCTGGATTATTTTCCATTTCATATATGGGTTGTCATCCTTCCCAGTGACGAACTCATATTTTTCAAGATGGTTAAAACCACCAACCAGTAAACATCGCGAGTCCGCCCACAACAAATTGAGATTGGAGCAACAACCATGGGTAACCATGGTTAACACGTGGACGTGTTCAGTGGATGTGTTCAGTCCATTAACAGATGACACTCTGGCAATTTAATATAGCTATGGAAAATCACCATTCCTTAGAGGGAACTCATCTAGGGAACTCATCTTTACATGAACCATGTTCCAGTTCGCAAACTCTTAAATTACCGGAGGGCTGAAGGGTTTACCCCAGCCACACGTGATGCCATAGAGGTTTAGTTAGTTCAGTTGGCGAAGATCATCGAAGAAAATGGAGAGTTTTCCAGCAAACCATGTTTGATGACACCGAAGGGTACTTTCAACGATATTGACAGATCATGAAAAACTGCCATGATGCTGATTTTTTTTCGACGACCATAGCTTTGGGCTTAGAATCACCAAGCAGATACTGTGTTTTCCATGCGAAATCACCCCGAAATAGGCTCAGATTACCCTCTGGTAAACTAACATAGCTATTGAAAATTGCCATTTATAGTGGATTTACCCATTAACAATGGTGATTTTCCATAGTTATTTTTTTGTTTACCAGAGGGTACACTTTTTTTGGAAGTCCTGGGAATTTTGCAGAACGCCAAATGCACGTGGATAGGGGGTCAAAGTTACAGGCCCGCTTGCGAATGTGAGGTTTTCCATGCAACAGCACGGTCCGCACATTTCGCAGGTCCAACGCTACCCGTAAATATCCCCATGATCATTCTATAAATATCCCCATGATCATCCATCTTTACATGATCATTCCATATTTTCCATACTTTTTCCATATGGGTTTGTCTGAAACTAGACACCCCAATCCATTGGATGATCGTTGGCCTCTCGGGTGGCGATGCCGCCATCGGAGCCTGCAATTCGTGGGGCCCCCGTTTTACGAAATCGCGAAGTTGGTGAACATAACTCCAATTTCACTATGGTTTATGGTAGATATAACATGATATAACATGATAGAACTATACGTAGTTTTCATGGAATTTATAAACCAATTTATAACTAGAGCACTAGGGGGCACCACATTGTACCATAAACCATTGGTTAACATTAAGCATTTGCTTCTACGATAAACCTTATTAACATCCAGTAATTAACATCCAGTAACATCTATTAATTTTGGGGCGCCACATTGCAGGCTACAAGTGTCTGCATGCGGAACGTGCCGTCGGCCCCATGGATGGCGACAACGAGGCGGTCTGTGGATGACAACGCTGTGTGCCAGCTGGAAGTGGTTAGCTAAAAGGCCCATTTTTCTATCGCCTGGCCCACTTATATATATATATACATAATATACATACATATATGTATATATTTATATACATATATATATTTATACATATATATATTTATACATATATATATATATTTATACATATATATATATTTATACATATATATATACATACATACATATATATATATATGTATGATCCAGTATATATATATACATAATGATATATTGTAGATGTATCCTTCCACGATATATACATATCTGTATATTAGTAATCATATGTATAGATACATGATTATCCAATGAATGATGCACATATGTATAAGTATTTCTTTTTGGCAAATTGGATAAGACATATTTGGAATTAACTCATGTATCATATTGACTTAGATAATTTATGATTTGATAATATATTGTCCAATTGATGTATGATATTCTAAATAAAGGGCCACAATTCATAAACTATGTTCATATCGAATGGGAAAAGCTATGGCTTCCGGTGAAGATTTTCCCTTAAACCAATCCATATATATATATATATATAAATATGTATTGATCAATCTCTCCATTCTATTTTGATTATGGATATTTATCTATTTTTTTGATCACTATTGGGCTAGATATATTATCCAATTGATATCTGATCTTCCAAATAAAGGGCCGCAATTCATAAATTATGATCATAAATTGGAAATAGATATTAGAAAGAATCCATGTTCCTTAGAATTTCATGGTTTCCTGTATCATAGAATTGGATGATGGGAAGATTTTAACCGGAAAACCCCAACAATTTGATGGTAAAAACCATGGTTTCCTGTAGCTTTTCGAAGCCATGGAGGGCCGTCCCGGCCGGACCCGGCCGGATCCGTCTCCAGGTGCGGATGCCGTGGCTGTCTGGACCTCGATGACCTGGATGAAATGGGCCATCGAAAAACCCATGGCGAACTGTGAATGTCATAACCAGAGGGTAAACCCCATGAAAACTATAGCCCCCATGGTTGGTTTTTCTATGGATATAGTTCCCATTAACCAATAGATATGGATATATCTACCATAGACCAAGGAAATTTCATGGAAATATAATGGTGATTTCTATGGGACAATTGGTATAATGATGGTAATGGTATGATCACCAAACAATATGGGGATACATAGGAATACGAATCCCTGGGAATACTATGAATGGTGTTTTAATGGGATTTAACCACTATAAATGCTGATTTGATGGTGATTTACCCTCTTTTAAACTAACATAGCTATTGAACATGGCCATAGAAGTAGCTGATTTACCCAGCCATAAAATGGTGCTTTTCCATAGTTATGTAAACGTTTACCAGAGGGTACTGTATATTGTTAGTAACATTTAGTAATTGTTAGATATTGTTAAATATTGTTGGATATTGTCAGTTAGATATTGTGAGCAACTATATTTGTTTTTTCTTTAATCACTGGAGTTATTTTTTAACCGAAACACGTTTTGTCAGTTCGTTTTGTAGCATGGTTGCTTTTGCAGTTATGCTAGAACCAATATTCTTCACGGAGTTGGAGGTAACACATAACTTGTAGCTCAACTGTGTTCATTAGGGCGAAGGAAAAAAACAAAGAAAGTAACCAAGAAACTAAGGCTTTGAAGGTTCTCTGTCTCAGTCTTGGATCGAAAGTTAACCCCCCCTTTGCCATCAACTAAGTGGCGAAGCCAAAGAAATGAACACCTGGAGTTTTTAAGTCTAGAAATTGGTAGAAATTCACATCCCAAAAAGAATCTACCTCCAATTATTTGTCTTTGGGACGTGACTCAAAAGGGAACCAGGGCGTAGACATCGTTTTCCGACTGATTGGTTGGTTAGTAGACAATTCCCTCTATTTAGCAACCAACAGGTTGATTGTAGTTGCAGAATTTGATAAAATCTACCAAACGCAATGAAAAGGTCGTTGCAACTTCGAAACGAGAAGTTGGTAAAATTTGCCAAATCCATTGTAGGTTTCCACCATCACAGGCCTAACGTTTCCACAATTTGGTAAAATTTACAAACCCCAGCCACTTCGACCTTCGAACTGAAGGTCCATTTGAGCAGTGGCTGCAAAACCCCCTGTTGGTTGATGATTAGTTCGGGGAATATACAACCCTTCATATATACATATATACATATTATACATATATACATATATACATATATACATATATACAGTACATATACACATATACACATACACACACACATATATATATATATATATTGAGGATTGTACTATCCAATATGTTGGGGATGATAGTCCAAGAACGGAGATTCCCGTTCTTAACCAACCAGGATTAAATGGAATGACATTTCGGGAGGATGGGGCAGCCGTTCGAGCTCGCGTTCAGTTCCCTTATAAGTGGCTGAATTCTATGGTTCATGGTAGATATAACACACTAGTTAATGGTGTTTATAAACCAATTCTAATAGTAAACCATCCCCCAGTCATCACCAATTTTATGGGTGGTATGGTTACCATTCCCAGTCATGGCTGGTAAAAATGGCATTGTTTTACCCACACAAACCCGGTCCTGTTTGACCATTTCCATAGTCCTCATTTGTCGGATTTCGTGCCATTTCGTGGTCAGCGGCTGGAGAAATCCTCACTGAATCCAAGCTCATGACCCTCTGGAAAACTAACATAACAATGGAAAATCACCATGTTTAATGGCATTAAATGGGACAAACCACTATAAATGGGCCATTTTCACCCTTTGATCACTGAGGATTTTCTTATCCAAACCAGGGCTTTTCCACTGGATTTCTCCCATGGGGATTCCAGCTAGGCCGATCGTCTCTCCGCAGGCCGTGAATTTTCAGTGGATTGGAGCTAGGGTGAAGTAAGTTACTGGAATGAACCAGCAAGTTAATGTATGATGGTATCCATTCATAGTGCTTCATAAATGCTTAATAAATGCTTAATATCTACTAATTCCATCTAATTCCATCTAATATCTGGTTGGTGGTTTCAACCCTACCCCTCTGAAAAATGATGGAGTTAGGACCAGTTGGGATGATGACATTCCCAATATGATGGGAAAGTCATAAAAGCCATGTTCCAGTCACCACCAAGCAGAATTCATTTCTGTGGATGGTAAATCCTGAACCAGGCAGGGTTTTTTATTGGTAACATCATGAAACACTGTAAATACCATCTGGTTATGACTAACATAGCCATGGAAGCCATGGCCCATAGAAATAGATGGTTTACCGAACTTAAACATAGTGGATCTTTCCATGGCTATGTGAGTCATAACCAGATGGTAATTGGATTATCATGTCATAAAGCATCTACCAACTGGTGAACCGGCTTTCTTTGATCCACAGTACCTAGGTTCGGTGGTGACAAAAAGTGAGCTAAATTGCTAAGTTGGTTTATCTACAACTCCAACGTCACCAGGATTTTTGATACATATATCGAACTAGTTTTCATGGGGGTCATAAACCGGGCATTACATCCCTAGAAACCGCGAAAGCCTCAAAATGGGATTGTGGCAGATGATCTTCCTCTGACAACTTTTGTGTTCCACATCAAACCAACCCCCTGTATTGTTGGTAAACACACCCATTTTCTTCAGGAAGGTCCCACTTTTGTATAATTGAATCTGCATTTTCAGTAAACATTCTCACTGTCGACTGAATACCTTACATGCTCCTTACTACGAATATCCTTTTTTCACACACTACACATCCATTTTTTCGATTGAACCATCATTTTCCCTGGAAACCATTGCAGGGGAAGGGCCTTCTGCCGGGCGCGAACGTCCGTGAGGGCGGCAATACGAGACTTGATGAAGATATGAGTTTTGGATGTGGGTCATATAATGAGTACTGAAACTGGTGGATGGAAAGTGGATAGTATATAAGTGGATTGTAAGTGGATAGAAAGTGTATAATTGACAATTGATGATAATTGGATCTAATTAATAGATATGGTCAATAATCGAATAGAATTAATATACTACTACGGTGGACAGTGGACACTTCTGGATGAATTTGATCGTGACCTGACGTCGTTTTCATTCGCTTCCGGTCACAGGTCACTGCAACGATGGGATTTTAAAGGGACATCATCCTTAAATCGCCTTATTTCAGCTATTTTCAAGTGAGTGAATTATGATATTTCAGTGCCCAGCAAAAAACAAAGGATTTGGACATCCCGTTTGTGGCATCTATTCATGAGAAAGATTCAAAGATCGAAGATGTTTTTGGAAACATTCCATCAATGCTTCAAACATGAACATGTCAAAACCTCATTTTTCGGTGACCTCCGGTGACCAAATTTCGGATGATGATGATCAAAGATCCATATGATTTCCACTTTTTGTTTCCACATCGTTTCCTGGTTGGTGGTGACTGGAGCATGTTTTATGACTTTCCACATCTTGGGAATGTCATTATCCCAAGTGACGAGTTGTCCATCATTTTTCAGAGGGGTAGGGCGAAAAACCATCAACCAGATTGTATTCTTAGATAATCTTACTATACCCTCTGGTAATTTAACATAACTATGGAAAGATCCACCATGCTATTAATGGGAAAATCCACTATGTCTATGGCCATTTTCAATAGCTTTTTGTATGTTTACCAGGCCGGGTAAATGGTGATATTTCTATGGGATAATGAAGGTATAATGATGGTACTTCATGGTCTATTTCCTAAGTTTCCTCAATGGGAATTTCAGGATCCTAAAATGGAGGTACGTTAGTAACAAATTTTGGGCCATATTTTTAGGGAATATTCCCTTACATAGGTCTGAAAAATAGGCCAAAAATATATGGAATCGGTACCTCCAATGGTTGGGAAAGCCCATCCAGCAGCATCCCGGGTGCCAGGGGCTTGGGGGCTTGGTCCTGTCACTGGCGCAAAGGGTCAGAAATCCGTTTCGGAGAAATAGCAGGGGTTGGTAAATGTCACGAATTTTCACATGACATGTATATATATATTATATACATACATAATAATATGCAATTGTACATAATAATTACATAGGAAATAATATACGTAACTCCCCGGATGTGCATGAACTGTGGTTTTTAGAACCTCGTAGTATGAAGTCATAGACCTTAGACCTACCAGACCTACCAGTAATTTAAAGTAGATTTAGGTGTGGAAACCCCCACCATGAATGTGGATGAGTTTCCAAGTGGGACACCCTTGTGGGTTTTTCATACAGCATCACAATATCTATGTTAAATTCATGGAGAGTTATTCCATATCTATGTTAAACCTCATTATATTCCGGTCAAACATCTAGATCCAATATGAATAATCTAGACCATTTTACGCAATAAAATCCATATCTATAGCGAATTATCCATATCTTATAACGTAGAGTTACCCTCTGGTAAACTAACATAGCTATTGACAATGGTGATATATAGTGGATTTACCCATTAACAATGGTGATTTTCCATAGTTATGTTAGTTTACCAGAGGGTATTTTACGTTAAAATCCATGGTTTTGATTGGTCAAAGCACCTGGCCATCTACTGAGGAGTGCCCCGGGGGTGATTTGGCCCACGGGCGATTGGGAGTTTGAGGACAACAAGTGCCTGGGGCAAGACGTTCGGTGGTGCCCCAGTTCGGAATGGCTAAGTTGGTTTATCGATAGCTCCAATAACTAGGGTTTATGATACATATAGATACATATGTCATCATATGTCTATAGTATGATACATGTATCTATATTGATACATAAATCTATACTAATACATATACCATCTGGTTATTTAACATAGCCATGGAAAATCACCATTTTTAATAGGTAAACCATCTATTTCTATGGGCCATTTTCCATGGCTATGTTAAATAACCAGAGGGTAATTATCTATACTGTAGTTACCCGGATTTGCTGCGTCGATGATGATAAAAAAAATGCTTATTTTCCCAAAGGGAAATCCAATAGACATGGGGAATTCATAGTTTGTTTTCCCCCAATCTACCCTCTGGTAAATTAACATAGACCCTGAAAATAGCACAGTTTCAATGGAAACTAATCTTCCAACCTCTATCTGCCAGGGTCTATGTTAATTTACCAGAAGGTACATGGTTTTGTCTGAAAATGGGGTATACAGTCTACCCGCTACCCTTCAAACGGCAATCTTGTGGTCGGGAAATTTTAATGATTGACCAATGAGGATTTGGAGGCACTCTATTTTCAGACACACCAATATCGGATATGTTCTTCACTGATATATATATATATGAATGGGATATTGGGAGATACTATGATCATCATATACTCTATATTCAGAGATTGCTTGGGGATGATGATTCGATCTAATCTCAGAAGCCAAAAAATTGACCCCATCGGCAGGCTGATCAAAATCGCCCAAAAATTGACCAAGATTCCAGTGTAGATCTATAACCATTTCCATACAAGTAGGAACATTGGGAAACATGGTTAACAATTGAATAGATTTCCAGAAGAGCTTTTCAATCCATCTGAATGAGGATATCCATTGGGGAGGTCCACATTTCTCTCGCTGGATCCTACAAGAATCCTCTACAATCAGTCCTTATCTCAGGGTAACCTCACTGATATAGTCGGTCAAGTTGCTAAAGTGCTGGTAACTGCGGCTTATCCCATATTTCAATGGATTGGTTTAAGGGAAAATTTACAGGAAACCATGGTTTTTACCATTAAATATGGGGTTTTCCGGTTAAAAAATTCCCCTAAACCAATCCATTGAATATTTGCTCCACTTTGTGTGAACGGATTTATTCTACAAAAAATCTTTCCCAGACTTGGTTGAAGTTTCCGTAAAAATCACTGGGAAGTTATCACCGGCCGGAGAGATTTTGGAGTCATGGCCATGGGGAGCACCGGAGGGAGCAGCCCGGTTGGATTCCCTCTCATCATCACCAGGTGCATCTTCTATCTGACACCCGACATGACACTCTACGATCGCCAGCGTTTGGGGACCTGGGGACGTCTGGGGACCCCGACAATGGCACTGGGTAGACCAGGTAGATCGTCGTGATGCACGGAGCTGCTTGATTCTCAACTGGAATCTGTCGTACGAGTTCATATCATATCCGGCTATGGATCAATACCTATACATACCATTTTTAGGGGGATGAACATCCATTTACCAGCTATTTTGATGTTCACAAGGGGGATAGGGTTTTGACCCATCCCCATCCCACAAAACTTTTTTTTTTTGCAGGGCATCTTTAATCTTACGCGTAGAACACACCATCATCAGGGATTCAACGCGGTTACTGTACACACGTCATCCAGAAACGGGACAGCCGTTGAGCGGGGGACGTCAGGATGCAACTTAAATGGGTGTGTCTGAAAATGGGGTATATGGTATACCACTAAAATGGCTATTTCAATGGCAAAATGATGATGACTCACTGAATTCTGGGGTACCATATTTTCAGACAAAAGCCATACCATCTGGTAAACGTTTACATAGCGAACTGGAAAGATCCACCATCTTTTATAGCTGGGTAAATACCCACTATTTCGACTGGGACATTTACCATAGCTTTTTGTATGTTTACCAGAGGGTAACATTTGAGATTTTCGCGGATGTTCCGAGCAGCGCGATGCGCCGGTCATGGTGTCATGGTCATTTTGCCACCTAAGCCCCAAGAAGGGATGGTTCTTTATTGGGCTTATATCTGGTTGGTGGTTCAATGTGCCCATGGCTTTTATAGTGATGAATAGTGGTTAATAGTGGTTACTAGTGATTACTACCTGATCTAATGAATAATATATCTGCTTGGTGGTTTCAAACATGGCTGGATTATTTTCCATTTCATAATTATATGGGTTGTCATCCTTCCCATTGACGAACTCATATTTTTCAGAGGGGTAGGTATACCACCAATAACCAGTGAATGATTTTCCAGAAACAAGAACTGGGATTGCCTACTTGAAAGCACAAGAAACCTTGAGGGTTTGCTGGCACCACAGGTCAAGATCATGCCAAGATTACATGACCCAACACTTCCCGCGTTTTCTGGCTGAACATATTATGGCTACGGGCCAAACCATGTCAAAACTTGAGTTAAAACCCTTGCTGGTGAACATCAAAATATGAAATGACTGATGGTAGAACGGGTCTTGAGCAATATGGGGGCTTCCTAAAAATGGGGGGGGGCAGCCCCAAATCATCCAAAATTAGACCATTTTAGTCTTGCAACCAATGGTATTTGGGGATTTTTTATTTTAAGAAACCACCATATGCCAAAGTTCACATGGGATCACTCAGATGGTTCAATTCATCAGAAATCAGTTTGTCTGGAGGATACCCAGGAGCTGCACAATTTGCTGATTACCAGTTTTCCAACTGGCTAGTTTAGGGGTAGTATACAACCCATGGTCAAACACAGCAAACACTACTATTATTGGCTGGTTGGTGGTTTGGAACATTTTTTATTTTCCATTATATATATGGGTTGTCATCCTTCCCATTGACTAATATTTTTCAAGATGGTTAAAACCACCAACCAGCTACTATTATTGGTTTATTGGTTTATATCAGTACATCCCCAGAATATTGCGATGATATCCCCATAGTTTGCTGGTTCCAGGCTTGGAAAGAACGAAAACGAACAGATCATGACCGCAGAAACTCTGCTGTAGAATAAAATCCCAAAGCCAAAATGAGACAATCCCAAATACCTTCCATATATTTTCCGTGTTCAAGCATCATCCATTTTCCCCATTCGCAGGGCCATAGTGTGGCCTCGCCTTTTACGGCACGGCAGTCGCAGCTGTTGGCGGAAGGCCTGTACCTCTACATCTGGGCCTTAAATCCCACGCGACCCATGCCGCGCGACGACCCTGAGAACGTCTGGCAGGCGCAAGCGACGTTGAGCTATTGATGATGACGTTGAGCTGTTGCGCTTGAATTTCGTGGGGGGTTCCATACACGGGGGATCTCCAAAATGGATGATATAGAATAATGGAAACTCCTATGAAAATATGGATGATGGGTGAACTGAGCGATTACAATCTGTTAAAATTACCATGGTTGACTTGTTATGAAATAGGGAATCATACTAAATGGTTTTTGTGCTGGGGATTATCATGACACCCAATAGTAGGGAAACCGTTTTCAACCAACTAGTATTTCATGAGATGGGATAGGGGTATTTTTTATGTCTCAAATGGATCAGCAATAGTGAAACTAGCAAACATTTGATGATATGTGCTTGCATTATATGTGTATGCGTATCTATACATCTATATTACATCTATATAGGTGATTATCTTCAAGAATGGTTTCGGATCTAGGACGAGATCATCCAGATACCCTCTGGTAATTTAACATAGCTATTGAAAATGACCATTAATAGTGAGTTTTCCCATTAAAAATGGTGATTTTCCATAGCTATGTTAGTTTACCAGAGGGTAGTTGATCAGTGCTTCGTTCCTAGACTCAGCGGGTGAATCCTTCGCCAGATCAACTTTCGCTCGGCGGGTGACTGGGGCATTCCAGATCCTTTGCGTCGGGAATCACCCTGAAAAATGGGGGGGGCAAAGGCTGAGTGAAATGTGGCCCAAACAACAGGTTGATCCATCCAAATGATTTTGAGTATTGAACCTATTGAGACTTTGTTTTTAAAGACCTTGTTGTTGTGCCCTTTTATTCTTACTTACAGGTACATGTTCTTTGCTCAACATCTGTAGTAGCTGAAAGCTGTGCCATCTTGTTTCATGCTGGTTCCCTGAACATTGATTTCATTTAAGACTTAAACCATCTTCGCTCCAACCGGGACGTTAGCCCACCACTTATCTTCATACAGGATCAAATCCGCCACCCCCTCTGAACAATATATTGAATGGGCATATATATATATATAAATTTTTAATAGAGATAATATAATATTATGTAATATAATATAATACATTATAATATAATATAATACATTATAATATACTATAATATACTATCCTATAATATAATGTAATATAATACAATATACTATAATATAATATAATACACTACGATATAATATACTATAATATAACATACTACAATATACTATACTATACTACAATATAATATAATATAATATGATATAATATAATATGATGTGATATAATATAATATAATATGATATACTATAATATAATACAATATAGTAAAATATAATATAATATAATCTGATATACTATACTACAATATAATATAATATAATTTAATATAATATATGTATATGTAACATTATAATATATATATATACATAATACTATATAAATCACACACACACAAATATATATAATATAACATAACATAACATAACACAATATGATATGATATAATATAATATAATGTCATATAATATAATATAATATCATATAAATAATATAATATAATATAATATAATATAATGTAATATAATACACATATGTACAACCATTCCACAATTCCGCAACTTGAGGGCGGGCAAATGTCAGGGTTGCAGCGAACATCTTAGCTAAGTCCAATAGGTCGTGGACATCTGCTGGTCAGCTAGGCATGAGGAAAGCATCCAAGCTGATACCCATTGAGCCTAGATGTGTTGGCAGTGGCTCAACATATTCTCAAAATGGCTTGCCCAAGGATGAACAGGTTTGTTAGTGGGTAAAACAATTTCAAAAACCATCAGAGGTGGTGTGGTTAGCATTCCCAGTGCTGGTTTATGGCATGGTTTTACTCACAGAGCATCCTATTTTGGGGTCATCATTTGGAGCACTAGCTCCAATTCAGGGTGTCAAACTAGCTCGAAGCCAAGGACAACCACAAGATGCCCTGTCAGCCGTATCTCCCTCCCTTCTGCAATGACACGGGAGAGTTGTACTGGGCACTGGTCTCAGATAGGGAGGATTGGTTGTCGGCCACATTGAGAGGTCTGGGCGTGTTTTTCTTCCCAACTGCTGCATCAATTTGGAGGTTTCCTAAGTCATCGGGGTACCCCAAATCATCAATTTTCATCAGATTTTCCCTAACAAAAACCATCCAGCTATTGGGGTACCCCCATTTATGGAAACTCCCATTTATGTGAGGAAATCCTTCATCCGCAGGGTTGGGCTACGAAGTGAAGTGCCCAGAAAATCGGGCTGTGTCAATTTTCTGTCGTTTCAACACCTAGGAAGATGAACAGTAAACTGACCAGTAAAGCGAGAAATTTCACCCAAATGGTACCCAAAGTCATAAGTCTGGTATAGCTGGATGGTGTTTCCCCCCCAGTCATATGATAGTTTCATAGGTAACAAACGACCCATCCCCGTACACTCCTAGGATTCGAGAAACAATGTGGGGCCCCCGTTCGAGCTCGCGTTTAGTTGAGATATGGCTGTGGCTGAATTCTATGGTTTATGGTAGATACAACGAACTAGTTAATAGGGTTTATAAACCAACAAACATCACTGGGGGGCCCCACATTGTAATAATATGTAATAATCATGGAACATCCTATTATGTATATATATATATTGTTAATATGGGGGTTAATAAATAAATAAGTATATATATATATAAATACTGTATATATATATACTGTGTATATACATATATATATACTGTGTATATATATATATGTATACATCCTATATCTATAATAATGGGGGTTAATCTTTCTGTTATAAAGCAACATTCACGTTTAACTGGGGGGAGCAAGTTCCGGTGGGTCAGATCCTAAGGTGAACCCCTTTTCCTTTCCCATGCTCTTCCGGGACTACTCGCTGCTCGGCCTTGTAAGGTTGGTGAGGGTGAGGAGTCCTGAATTGCAAAATCATCATGGGTTATATATATATATATATGTTTTAATGTATATATATATATGTTTAAAACTGTTTTAATACGTTTTAATATGTTTAAATGTGTTTTAATGTGTTGTAACATGTTTTAATGTGTTTTGACGTGTTTTAATGTGTTTTAACGTGTTTTTATATAAGGTCGGTCATGATGTGGATGATTTGGGGTAATTATCCCCCAGGACTGGACGATCACCATATCAGCATTTTTTTTGTGGTTAAATCCCATTAAAAGCACCATTTATAGATATTTAGAGTATGCCCAGGGATTCATATTCCATAGTTAAACCCATATTGTTTGGTAATGAAATACCATTAACTAGCATTATTATACCAATTATCCCATAGAAATCACCATTTATAGCAACACAATTGTATGTGTATATTGGTGTATATATATACATGTATATGGTTATAAAATTATTATCCATATCTATTGGTTAATGGGAACTATATCCATATATCTAACAATATCTAACGATACTGTAATTTTTCAACCCTCGATGCCATTTTTGATTCTTCCGTTGGCATCCCGAGAGAGGCCGCAACTTGAAGGGTAAGATTGAAGATAGTCATGAACGATACATATATATATAACTATATATATAATATGTTATATATACTCCTCTATTTATATATGTATTATGTTATATATATATCATATATTATACATATCTATATTGTGTATATAAAGTCTAGCTTAAATTTTTAGGGCAGACGTTTAACCGTTCCAAACACCTCTCCTCTCCATTGGCGCCGTCGGCGCTCAGGTTGATGTATCCCAACTACACCGACGTTGAGCAGAGCCTAGGCCTGTAAACATAGGAAAAAAATCCTCAGCCGGAACCAGGTCAATCTTGGATGGGTAGAAACTAATCCTTTAGTCTTTTGGTATCAATGATATTATCTACGTTCACCAGCTAAGAATTCATTTTTTTGCAGGGTATCCAAGATTGGCCATAAGAATGTTGGATTTATCATGTGGTGTTTACCACATTTCATATACCTCCAATTTTAAGGAAGGTTTCAATCCCACTCATTTAACTGGTGAAATAAGGGGGTTTGTTAATGAAATTGGGTGAATCCCACATTCAAAATCAAGCTGGTCAGGCTTCTTGGGCCTTGAAAGATTCAACCTTCAGGTTGTGCTTTCTGCGTGGTCATGCTTTTAAGCCACAAGATTCTCCAAATTTGGAGCCCTAAAATGTGATTTGTGCCCAATTTGCTGATTTAGAATCTTATCAACTTTGCTTTGACCAAGTCAAATCCGAATTCCTGTCCTTGGTTTTAGTCGGCTCCGCACTTTTTTCCACTCTCTGTGCTTTCAACATGCTAGACCTTTTTTTGATCTATTTAGCTTCTGTCATGGCTGCTCCATAGTTCTTCAAAGCTGGTGAAGCCAAAGGCTTGATTGGAAGGGTAGTCCGATACCCAGTGTCCCAGTTTTGGTGAAACATATCCTGTTTGACTTGACGAAAGATAGCCATGAATTCCTTGGTGACTGCTATTTGTAGATGAGGTAGCCCTAGTTACCTTGTTCCTTCTTGCTATCATTTCTATTGCTTCATGTCCCGGTTCATATGGCTATGAACCAAACTTGGGCGCCCACAAAATGGAATAGTTTACTCATAGTCATGCACAACATCATGGTGGTTGATGGATAGTACGTAAAGTTATGCCAACTGGTTTTCCATATTCAATGAAGGCAACGGAGCAAACACATATGGAACCCTGTATCATCAACCATGCAGTAGTTTTGGTTGATGATACAGGGTGACCTAGGCCATTCTCCAATAAATGGACATAAAGACGGGTAGATCACTTTCCTAGAACCATGTCTTTTCGTAGCCACATTAGTTTTCTAGAGGGTAAGCTTTCCCATAATAATAGTAATAATAATCATCATATCATAATATATATATATATGTATACACAGTATATATATATATGATCCTTCGCATCGTGGTTAAAAACGACTAAGGTTGTTTCTGCCGTAGTTTTTGGGCTTAAGGGTTGTATGGCAGACCACTCCTATATTGAGGGAGTAGGTCGCAAGTGCGCTTGTAAATTGTGCTTGTCAGTGGAGCGGTTGACCAAAGAGCTCACTGATCCTGTGCTGCCCCAGAGTTTCAAGGAATTCTATCTTGTGAAGTTTCAAGGATTTGTCTTGGAGCTGTTAGATCACGCTGAGCTCGAGAGGAGAAGAGTGTTGTCTAGCGCTCCTGGACAGAGGGAGTTGAGTGCTCCTGTGGCTGAGGGAGTTCGTGGTGCAGAAGAGGAGGCGCCCCCTGACGAGGCGTTAGAGGCCCTGAGGATTGATAAAAGTTTGCCCGCCAAAGTAGGAGTTGAGACCAGAGCAGCAGACAGAAGTTCTGAGAAGAAGTCTCCCGGACGTGCCAAGGTCCTAGAGGGAGGGGAATCAGCTCTTAAAGACAAGAAGGCTAAGAAGGCAAAGAAAGAAAAGAGTGAAAAGAAAAAGAAAAAGAAAAGAAAGAGTAGATCGAGAAAGAAAAGCCCGAGGAGCAGTTCTAGAGGCAGAGAAGACCGTCATCGATCTCGGAGGGAGGATTTGTCTCCTGTTCGACACTCCCGGCGTGAGCCTGCGGGAGAGAGGGAGGACCCTCCTAGGAGGGAGAAAGAAGACAGTGAAGCCTTAGAAGATTGGGAATCGGAAGAGGAGGAGGCCGATCCAGAGGTCGCGGAGAGGTCTGAAGAGAGGGGGCGTGAGCGCAAGGTGAGGCCACGCTCTCGTTCCAGGTCTCCTGTGGTTCGCCCTCATCTTTGTGACCTCGCTCCGAAGGCAAGGCCCTTGCCACCTCCTCCTCGGCCGCCCTCTTGGAATTGGAATTGGGGGCGTCCTTGGAGCTATAGCTACAGAGAGGACGCAGACGAGCGCAAGTCGAAAGGTGTCAAAAAGAGAGACCGCCAAAGAGATATCCGACAAGCCGGGGGATTAGCGCGGTGGCATGCCGCCAAAGCTGCGCCTTCGACCCGCCGCTAATCTTGGTGGCGGGCGTCGAGGGAGAGCTAAAGCAAAAGCTCTCCCAAAGGCCGCAGCAAGACCGGCTAGGAGGAGACCCGCAGCAGAAGAAGAGGTGCAGAAAGGCGTGGTTGATTTGGATTGGAGGAGCCTATCAGCTGAGCAGCTAGCTAAAGAAAAGAAGCTGGTCTTTGCGGGAGGCTACTGGGACTCCTTGGCCAGGTTTGCTGGGCACATTGAAGGCTGGTATCTTGACGCCGGCGAGAAGTATCTCAGCGTGAAAGTGGGAGGAACCCAGCACGAGGGCCTCCTGAGGTACCTTTCGGGACAAAGATCCAAAGTGGTACAAGTCCATTGCTGCCCAGATCCTTGTCCAGCCCGAGTATGGCGGGACGGTCTCATCCATTTGGACAAGGTGACGAGGCCTGCAGCCCCAGAAGAAGCATGGATGACAAATGCCATGGAGGTACTCCCACCAGAGAGGGAGTTAGAAGAGGACGAGATGGGTCGTATGAGGGAAGACGCCAAGAGATTGGGCTTGGTACCTCCCGCCAGGGAGGCGCGATCCAGGAGCAGGCGGAGGAAGAAGAGCGCAGAGCGGACAGAGGGAAAGATCAAAGAGGGCGAGGAGACGAAGGAGAAGTCTGGGGCAAAGGCAAGTCAGAAAAATGTGGAGGACCTGTTCCGTGGAACGGGACTAGATCCAGACCCGCAGGTAAGGAAAAAGATGATGAGGAGAGGAAAGCGACTGGCAGAGAAGAAGAAAAAGAAAAGACGGAGGAGATCCAAGAAGAGCTCCCGGGGGGGGAGTACCTCAACGTGCTCGACAAGCGACAGCGCATCCTCAAGCAAAGGGGCCAGCAAAGTAGCCAGCGACAGTCTGTTCACCGAAACAACAACAGTCAAGAGGTTGGCTCGGGAACTCCCGGGGGTTCTAGCTGCCAATTGGATGGAAGACTGCAAAAACTACCTCCTAAACTCCCAAGGGATGGTCTGGAGTTCGGGGGAGGGTCAAGTTCAGCCGTTGGCGGTGCAGTTTTACCGGAGTCAGATGGCGCAGAAGCTTTCTGGCCCCATGGCCAGGGAGTACTTGACGCTGACCTTTCTCATGGACCTACTGGTCCAAGGTCGAGCGGCGGAAGCAATGGACGTCGCATGTCAGCGGGCGAAGAGTCTGGCCTCTACGGGGTCGGGAATTCATTATACCATTTCCCAACAATTGGAAGTGGTACCGGTGGACAAGCTGCACCCGGCCTCTCTGGCCGAGACCCAAGAGGCAGCCCGGGCGATGAGACAAGAGGAGAGGGTCTTTCAGCAAGCGACAAGGACACCCCGAGATTGGCGGCAAGCTCCCAGCAGGGAGACAGGAGGAAAAGATGGCAAGGGACGCGATGGCAAGGGAAAGAAAGGAAAAGGCAAAGAAGGAAAGGGCAAAGACGAATCCAAAGGGCATCAAGCAGAGGCAAGGAAAGGCTGAGAGAAGCAGTAGAGGCGCATGCTCCTGCCGTGGGGAGTGAAAAGTGTAAGAGGAGTAAGTCTCCCCAGCTGGGAGGTGAGGAGAGCCCGCATATCGAGTTGAAAGGGCCCGCTGAACCTTACAGTGAGGGAGCATCTAGTAAGAACGGGCTCCTGCAGCGGCTTGGGATTTGGTTGGCACGCCTTGACCAATTTAAACTGGCCGAGGGAAGCTTGAAGCAGGCTGTGCAGGATGAACTTCTTTTTAATTCAGTGCAACCTAAGAACCTTCAAGACGTAGGAGATGTAGTGCTTCGGTGTTTATGGTTGATTCGTTGCAAGCTTTGGCCCATGGTTGGAGACCCAAACAGTTCTTTAAATACGGTGCCTCCGACTGACATCAAGCATGATGCTCCGCGTCTTGAGGAATGGCTTGCAGCCACTGGCATGGCACTTAATCACCTGTCAGGAGGGAGTGAGCCGCTCGACTCCGGATTTTTCAGCGTGAGTCCAAGAAAAAAGGGGCTCGAGGTGCAGCTGCAGAGGTTTGATGTTTGGGATTTGGAGTTTGAAGCGGAGAATTTTGAGGGTTTCTTTCAGAAAAAAGGAATTGACTATTCAGGTGAAGAAGTAAAAGTAGCTCAGCGAGTTGTTTGGAAAGCAGTTGAACACTCCTTGCCGGAAGGAGTAGGAAGCCTTGAATTGGAGCAGTTTTGCAATTTAGGTACGCAATTTTACATCAACAATTTTCAAGACTTTTTGCTTCCCCTTGAAAGTATCACTTCGGGCAAACCGCCGCGAGTGATGGTAAGTGATGATCAGTGGCGTGAGGTCTGCCAGGGCCTAGTTAAGCACAAAGTGTGTTGTTACTTGCCGTTGACTGAAGTTTTTCAGGTGAACAACGAACCCGTCCTTAACGGGCTTTTTTCTGTGGGAAAAAACGAGTGGGTTGGAGACTTGGAATCACAGAGATTAATCATGAATTTGGTTCCACTGAACCGCATTTGCAAAAGCCTTCGATCTGACGTTGGCACGCTACCAGCATTGCCAGCAATGAATAGCTTCCTGTTGGAAGATGGAGAATGCCTTGTCTTGAGTTCGGAAGACATTAGGTGTTTTTTCTACCTATTCAAAGTTCCGTCCAGCTGGGTAAGATTTCTGGCATTCAACCGGCGTGTCCCCAATGATCTCTTGCCTGCGCATTTGCAAGGGCAGGCTTGTGTCTTGGCCAGCCTTGTATTACCCATGGGTTGGTTAAATTCCGTGAGTATAGCGCAACACATACATCGGAATGTGGTCAGGAACTCTCTGGGGCGTTTGCCCATCCCGCGAGGAGGCGAACATGAGATCCGTAAAGATCGCCCCTTTCCCCTTGGGAAGAATCTTTTCCGCGTGTATCTGGATAATTATGACCAGTTGGAGGTCGTTGATTCAAAGTTGGCAGCTGTCCTGAAGGGGGAGCCGTCTGCTGAGGTCCTAGCCCTTCGGCAGGAGTACGAGGCTGTGGGATTGCCCCGGCACCCAAAGAAGGCGGTTACCAGAGAACTCAGAGCGGAGGTTCAGGGAGCATTGGTACTTGGAGATGTGGGAGTGGCTCTCCCGAAGCCTAGCAAGATCCTTCAATATATCCTTCTGTGTTTTGAGCTCCTGCGAAGGGGGGAGTGCAAGTTGCGGGAACTGCAGGTGGTAGTTGGAGGTTTTGTCTATTTCTGTCTGTTCCGGAGGCCGTTGCTGTGTGCGTTGAATCAGGTGTGGCGCTTTTGGAGGTGTTGAAAGGTTATCCTCCTGTCGTCAAGTTGCCCCTTCCGGACTTGGTAGTTGAAGAGCTGGTCAGGTTCATAGCGTCGATTCCCTTGGCCCAGCTCAACTTCAGGACGCAAGTTGAGGACGTGGTCACCTGTAGCGATGCCTCCCAGCAGGGAGGAGGAATTTGTTGCAGCACAGGTCTTACAGCGTATGGCAGCCGGGCAGCGCTTTCTCCTGTGCAGGGAGATGTGCCCGAAATCCATGATTTTGAACAGGTGCTGACAATTGGGTTGTTTGACGGTATTGGCGCTTTGCGCCTAGCATGTGACAGGTTGAACATTCCCATTGCAGGGCATATCAGCATTGAAAAGGACCCCCTGGGCAGGAGAGTTGTGGAAGCTAATTATCCCGACTCCACAGTGCATGATGATGAGACCACGGTGGACAAAGAGATGGTCCAAGGATGGGCCCTCAAGTACAGCAACGTGGCCCTCGTCCTGATTGGCGCAGGGCCCCCTTGCCAGGGGGTTTCAGGGCTTAATGCCGACAGGCGAGGTGCCTTGCGTGATCATCGTAGTTGCTTGTTTAAGGAGGTTCCTCGAATTGAGGATTTGGTGAGGCATTGTTTCCCGTGGGCCCGGGTTCATCTATTGATGTAGAGCGTGGCATCAATGAGTGAAGGTGACCGCGCAGTGATGTCTGAGGCAGTGAATCTGGCTCCCTGGAGCATTGACAGCCTAGGCTTGACTTTGTGCCGTAGATCCAGGCTATATTGGGTCACTTGGGACCTCCTGGGTGGGGAGGACATTGAATTGCACTTGCCGGAGCCTGGTAAGGTCGGACAAATATTGTTTGGTGGTCATGCAGACCCTAACCACTTGTTGGAAGCCGGCTGGGAGCTGGCTGGGCCAGCTTTGCCCACTTTCACCACAGCGCGACCCTCTCCTGTCCCTGGGAGACGACCGGCAGGTTTGGACAAATGTAGCCTTGCAGAGCGCCACAGGTGGGAGGAAGACGCACACCGTTTCCCTCCTTATCAGTATTGCCACGCAAATGGTCTGGTCAATAAACAGGGAGCGTGGCGAACTCCTTCAGTCAATGAGCGGGAGGTCCTCATGGGTTTCCCTAGAGACTACACAGCTCATTGCAGGCCCAAAAGCTATCGCGTCGGCAAAGATTTTGAAAATGAGCGCCTTACTTTGATTGGTAACTCCTGGCAGGTGGGAGTGATTGTGTACCTTGTCTCCTGTTTGCTGTATCCCTTGGGGCTTTGTGAAAAACTGGGAGCTGAGCAAATTCGACAACTGTTGCGTCCGGGGTGCGGCCGGAACTTGCAAACAGTACTTTTGAACCCTCCCTTGAGACAGCTTGGAAAGGCTCCTGCAATTGAGGGGAGCAGACATTTGGTCAAACGCATGTTGGGCGTAATTTCAATCAAGGGGGAGGACCTTCTCCTACAAGCAGCAAATGAAACTCAAGTCCGGTATCACAGACTTCGTGCCAGCGTCCCATCGCGGTTATGGCGCTGGCGTGAGATTGCTGCGTGGCAGTGGGAGGGCTCTCCTGAGCATATTAATAGTTTGGAATTGCGTGCCATCTTGACTACAGTCAAATGGTGGGTGAGCAAAAGAAAGAGTACCAATGCCAAATTCCTCCACCTTACGGATAGCTTGGTGTGTTTACACGCGCTTACTAGAGGAAGGACATCAAGCCGACGCCTGCGGCGTACCCTAATGCGCATCAACAGCTTCCTATTAGGTGCCGACCTTCACCCCGTCTGGGGTTACGTGCATACATCACAGAACCCGGCGGATAGATCCAGCCGCCGGGCACGGTACGTCAAGAAGAAATGGCTAAAAGCAAAAGACATCTAGAGGGTCGCACTAAGGAAGCACGCGCGCGCATTAGGAAAGACATTGGTACTCTAAAATCGCTCACCGTACAACCGCAAACTCGTAAAAGGTATGATGACGCTCGTAAAAGGTTCTACGTCTTTTTGAAAAAGGAGGGTATTGAAATTCCCAAAAAGAGGGAACAGTTTGATCTCATCCTGGCTGAGTATCTGGAATTTTTGTGGGCCAATGGGGAAGGGCGCGGTTTGGCTTCTGATACAGTTGCTAGTCTTCAGGATTTTGACCCTCGGCTGAAGGGACAGCTCAACTTGACGTGGCGGCTGCTCAAGACTTGGGTTATTAATGAAATACCAAACCGCGCACCCCCCCTTCCTGAGACAGCTTTGTATGCCATGGTGGGATGGAGTTTATTCAAAGGACATGAACAGTTTGCACTCAGTCTGCTAGTTGGATTTTATGGGCTCCTGCGCACGGGGGAGTTGTTTGACTTGCGTACATCTGCGGTCTATAGTGCAAACCCTTGTAAACCGGCTATTCTGTCCTTAGGCTTGACTAAGTCAGGCAAACGCGCAGGTGCGGCCGAAAGCGTAACTATCCATGTGCAAGATGTTGTGCATCGTTTGTACCATTGGAAAAAATCCAATACTCCGCAGACCCCGCTTGTACCCTCATCTCATCGCTGGCGGGATCTGTTCAAACGATGCCTCTCTGAGCTGAAACTTGAAGAGTTTCAGTTTAGACCATACAGCCTGCGTCGCGGTGGCGCAACTTTTTGGTTTGGTAAACATGGAAGTTTTGACAAGCTACTTACTCAAGGTAGGTGGCAGGCCGCACGTACCGCGCGTATTTATTTAAATGAGGGTTTGGCCATTTTGGCTGAACTCAAGCTCCCATCAAAACATCTCAAACCAATGGTGAACGTCTATCTTAACGCTGCCCGCTCCTCTGCCGAAAAACTTGAGCAAACTCCGGTGGAGTAGGACTGGGGGACGTGGATATATGTTTTTTTTTCCCTTGATTTTTGAGCGAATCGGTTTCACGGTTAGGTGTTTTTGTTTGACCAGTAAAAATGTGTCTGAGGCTTAGGTGAATCTCGGCAAGGCGAGAACCTAAGGGACACGAGGGGCTTATTTAATCTTCCGGCTTGGCGTGAAGATTAATAAGTTGAGACCTCTAATTTTTGAGAACATCCGAGGAGGGTGGTTCCAGTGGCAGTGCGGACCACCTTTTCAGTGGTTGAGAGGAAACCACTTATGCTGTGATTTTTTCATAATTTTGAATAAACTAAGCTTGCAACGTGCAGAAAATGACCGTGGAGGAGTTTTTGATCCTTCGCATCGTGGTTAAAAACGACTAAGGTTGTTTCTGCCGTAGTTTTTGGGCTTAAGGGCCCTCCCTTCCCTCCTCATTTCGATGCGAGGAGATATATGTTTTTTTCCCTTGATTTTTGAGCGAATCGGTTTCACGGTTAGGTGTTTTTGTTTGACCAGTAAAAATGTGTCTGAGGCTTAGGTGAATCTCGGCAAGGCGAGAACCTAAGGGACACGAGGGGCTTATTTAATCTTCCGGCTTGGCGTGAAGATTAATAAGTTGAGACCTCTAATTTTTGAGAACATCCGAGGAGGGTGGTTCCAGTGGCAGTGCGGACCACCTTTTCAGTGGTTGAGAGGAAACCACTTATGCTGTGATTTTTTCATAATTTTGAATAAACTAAGCTTGCAACGTGCAGAAAATGACCGTGGAGGAGTTTTTTTTTTATATACATATATATGTGTCAGCTGTGGGATATTCCACATGTAACAGTGGTTACCTACACATTTCTGATTCTATGCCCAGCATCATCTCCCCCCTTCCGCGCTTCCGTGCAGGCCCCTATAATTTCACCGTGCCGTCGGGAGAGGATCAATACTTCGTCACCAACTTTGCCGTGTTGGGTGTCTTGAGGCAACGCCGGCAACGCAGAGAGGGTAGCGAAGTGGTAAAGGAAGGTCCATAGATCAATGGGAATTTCAGGATCCTAAAATGGAGGTACTGTACCATATAAGGCTATATTTTGTGGTGATATTCCCTTACATAGGCCTTACATAGGCCTTATATATGGTAGGTACCTCCAATTTAGGATCCTGAAATGGCCAGTGAATAGATGGTCCATAGAAATAGATGATATACCAACAAAAACATGGTGATTCTCCTAGTATTTTTTTTTGGCCACAAGATGACATGGGTTATCTAACATGAATAGTAAACAACTAATTATCTCCTTTTTTTGGCAGAATTGTTGGCTAATTGGATCTAATTGGCTATATTCCATCCACCAAAACGGACATGATTTGACTACTTCTTGCTCCATGAGTTTTGAGATGGAATCCGGTTGTTGATCACTTCTCAACAGATTCAATTGGAGGAAAAAGAGACTGGAACCCCATATATTTGGAGATAAACACCATGGCTTCCTGCAACCTTTCTCTTAGATCAGTCCATTGATAGTGAAGATTCTGGTAAGCCTGAGGAGGAACCGCAATGGGGGGGAGCGTTGGCAAGTCGCCAAGAGCGCAGGAAGGCAGTTTTCATGATTATGGTCTACTTGAATCATTATTTCACCCATTATTCATCCATCATCAACCCATTATCAATCCATTATCAACCCATACTATTCACCCAGCATAACCGCAGGGCATCATTTTCTGGATCTTCCTTCGCATAGGTATTCGTTTTTTGATCTATCCCCAATCTGGTACGCAGCAGTTCCATTTTTATCCCGATCTGGTACCTTATTATAGCAACATGATAGTTATTATAGGATGAGTTATAACAGTTATCACCTATCATAGGCCTATGATATGTGATAACCAATCCTATAATAACCATTAATAACTATAATATTGCTATAATCAGGTACCATAATATTTTGCGATATCCCTAGGATTGTTGCTGAACCCCCGCCATGGGTTTTTCTACATCTACATCTAATCCTTGGATCCGGTTGGGCTAGTTCTTTTAAAGGAGCATTGAAGCCACCAAGCACTTTCTATCATGAAAAAAATGTTTCTTTTTTTTTGAACATCATTTTGATTTCGTCCGATTTTCCTGCGGCTTGATATCCTTCTTAACGTGGGTAAAACAATAATAAACCATCCCCCAAATCACCATAAATAGGTGGTATAAACCATTCCCAAATGGTTGGTTTATTCTTGTTTTACCCGCATTGACTTTTTTCAAGTATTCAACATACCCCCAAAAACCATGATTTCAGACAAAGGGGCAGTTTTTTTTCATGTTGGATGGGATTATAACCTCCATTTCACATACCAAAAAGCCTCAGGCAAACCATTGCGCAGCCCCCTTCGCTTGTCCTAGGCTCCAGGACCGCTTTTGGGGAAGTGGGATATCCCCTCTGGTAATTTGTTACACTTTCCTAGGGTGGACGGAAGAAATCCTGCATCAACTAGGTGGTTAGTTTATCCCATTATTTATAGGGTTTCAACCATCCAAGGTGATGCAGGATTGCTTCCATCCACAGACAGTGTGGTATAGATGGCCCCTTTTGTTGGATGATTTACCTCTTCTTTCACTGGTGATTTTCCACCGCTATCTTCAATTACAGGTGCGTAGAATCACGAAAATCCACTTTTTTGTGGCTATCATTTGCTTACTGGTGCGTTTTACGTAGGGTTGCTGGATGGGTTGCTGGGGGTGGGATGATGAACTTGATAGTTAGCCAGTGGATCATTCCCTGTATGATCTGATCTCTAGAGCCCAACTTTGAGGCTCAACAGCAGGGTACCATGAAGCAACACTGAAAATCATGCACCCTCTGGTAAACATACAAAAAGCTATTGAAAACTAACATAGCTATTATGAAAATGGCCATAGAAATAGTGGATTTTCCCATTAATAGCATGGTGATATTTTCAGTTCGCTATGTTAAATTACCAGAGGGTACATCATCCAACATTTTTTTTTGTCATACGCAAGAGTCAAACCCTGGTGGGGATGGTGGATGATTGGGTTGATGAAATTGGGTTTACCAAATTACCCTCTAGTAAACGTTTACATAACTATGGAAAATCACCATTTTTAACGGTCAGTCAACTATAAATGGCAATTTTCAATAGCTACGTTGAATTAACAGAGGGTATTTGGTTGCTAAATTGGAGCACATCATTCGAAGCCTTGCTTTGGACTGATGATCTTTGAAGTTTTGTGGGGAAACCACGAAGGACCAAAGAAGTGTTCACTGGAAATATTAAAAGGAACATCTACAGAAATCCCAGGCTTTACTACCCAAACCATCAATCCTACAGTGCTGGAAGTAGGGATCCAACTGTGTTTTCCCGTGAAAATCACGCAATTTCCAACCATCCATACTGGTCCATACTTTGGATCCTCGGCCTATGGGGAAATCCCCTAGAAATGGAGGTTTTTTTTGTCGCTGTCATCATCTCAAAGTGGTGGATTTTCCATTGCAATGTTGAAAAAAACCCAAAGGGTAATGTGACAAACCCAATTATCAGCATTGTTGTTGGGTATGGTTCAATAATAGCCCTCCAAATGGTTTGTGTTGTCGATACGTTTTTGGGTTTGCCATGCTTACATGTTTACTTCTACATTCCCCCAAGTAAGATATTTTTTGGACCCTGCAAGCCGCCCATCCCAATCTCTGAGAGTAGTCTAAACCAACCTCCAAGCAATGGCAGGAATCATCATGTTTTATAACTCCACGCTGATAGAGTTGCTGAATCAACATTCAGCAACCAACCCCCTGGCTGATTCCTTTCAAAAATGGTAAAGATTCGCCCAGCGAAATTCCGGTGCTTGTTGGTGGTTCATAGGCCTCTTCCACTGCCATGGCCACCCTGATCTGCATTGGGATGGGAATCCAAAGAATCCTCGGTCGATTTCAAGGTGAACAAACTACGGTAGAAACGATCCAATCTTTGATCCTGAGATTCTGGAAGACGATTTTATCAAAGCCAAATAGATTTCAAATCATTCTATTTCAAATCAGATTTCATCAGAAATTTCATCATAAAATTTCCCCATGTTTTTGTTAACCAAGGTCATCTACGCCCAAACTCAGGACCAGCATGCAGCTCTGGTTCGTGGCCGAGCTGGGCGCGGAGCGCGACGGCTTTGTCGCAGTGGCGCGGCATCGGAAAAGCATGGGAAAAGCATAGGAAAATGATGGAAAACCATAGGAAAATATACGGAACATGGTGATTGAAAACCATGTTAACCATGATGTTTTTTTTCTTCAAATTGTTGCTGCTATTTTTTTGTGATAGCGAAGTTGGCGCAGATCATTTGCTTGACGTTTGGGTTCATTAGGGGTATACATGGGTATAAATATATAGCTATAGTTAATGGATTTATAAACCAACTTATGAACCCCCCTTTCCCTAGATGCGACGGATGAATTCCACCAACAATACCCTCAAATGGGGTCATCAAACATATCAAACATATTCCACGAACATGTAGTTCGATGATTTTACCGGACTATACCTCCGTTGAGACCCCGGGGATTTTCCAGCTTGACATGTTTGATTACAAAAGGGTCATCCAACTCTTGATTAGTTGGTTATGTATGTAATGCAATGTGATGTGATGCAACGTAACGTGATTTAATGTACTGTAATGTAATGACAATGTAATGTATGTATGCACATGTATATATCATATTCCAGTATATTTCCATGAATATCCGTTCAGACCACCAATTGTCTTAGGCGAACTACCTGTACATCCCCTACAGATGGGGAAACACATCTTTACAGATGGTGGATTTTCCCGATCAAACCATGTTTGATGACACCCGAAGGTAATTTCAATCAGCATTTCCAATTCTGCAAGTCCTTTGATGAGTTGGTTGCCAGTATATTTCCATGAAACTCCCATGAAATTCCTATGAAACTTGGGTAAAGTATAGTGTCCTCACTGTGACCTCGTTGGAATCATGGTTAGTAAAGGAACTAGTTTCAGGTTGGTGTTTTTTTTTTTTTTAACTTCCCCAGCGTTAAATCACCATTTTTCAATCAGCATTTCCAGCTCTCCAAGTTTTCCAAGTCTTCCCAGTTGAAGCGGAACCCCCCCGAGGTTCACTCGCCCGGGGGCTTCGACTTTTCGAAGTTCGGGGGCCTAGGCGGCCTAGCCCAGCTCAGCTCATGGGCGGCGTTCCTAAGTCAGGTGCCGCGATAGCTGGATGGCTGATTTCATGATATTTCCGTGGAAAATCCGATTTCTAAATGGATAATAGCTATGTTAGTTTACCAGAGGGTAAATCACCATCAAATCAGCATTTATAGTGGTTAAATCCCATTAAAACATCATTCATAGATGATAACTGGGCCTTTTTGGGTAGCCCCCTATTGAAGCCACCTTTTGTGAAAATTCTCAGGGATGGTCAGTGATGATTAGCTTCCGGTGAGGTTTTTCAGGACGTGGGGTACCCCAAGCGAGTAACTAACGATGGCCACCTTTCCCCAAGTGACGTAGAGAAAATGAAGAAAACCCTAATAAAAATCACCCTTGGCGCTGTTTTGGTAGCCTATTTTGGATAAAGCCAGGAACCGCCTCAAGCACTAGCCTGGCTGAAGGTTTTGTTCATCTCCACTCGCCCGGAATTTGGTCATGAAAACCCATGGACTTTTTAGGCATCTATACATAGACCAAGAGCAATGGGACCCATGACAGATCCATGGTGCTGCCATATATGGTGTGCCATGGATCCCATCAATATACCCAATTCATGTTAGCATATATATACACCAGCACCATGGATCCGTCAGGGGGTATCACTTGATATTTCGCCGCAAAAATCTAGGATCACACTTTTTCACACACCATTTGCATGGGAGGTATTGTAATCATTTGCATTCACCTCCATTTGATACATGTAAAATCATACGTAAATATATAGTGTGATGAAACAGTATGACATTTTAAACAGGGTTTCTCCTCATATCCGCAAAAACAGAGAGCTTCCCGGCAAGGTATTTCCCATCTCTTGACACATACCCTCCGGGAAATAAGTGAATCAACAGAAATCAACATAAATCAACATAACATAACTATGGAAATCACGTGTAAATCCATAGGGAAACACCTTTGGACAACGATCCATCCATTCCTGGTGGGTTTTTCCCGAAGCCTGGGATCCGCCGAGTCCTTGTTCAGCAAGAGATCTGCCGCAGGCCGGGGATAGAATGCGGAGATCCCACGAATCAGTTTCCCTCTGGTTATGACATTCACAGTTCGCCATGGTTTTTCGATGGCCCATTTATCGAAATAGATCGTAACAACCGAACTTAATAGCATGGTGATGGCTTCCATGGCGAAGTGTTAGTCATAGCCAGAGGGTAGATGAATGGAAAATCCCCCTTATCGGATGAAAGACGGCTTAGATCTGTCTGGATTTTTTGGAAAAATTGGATCCGATTCGTGGGGCCCGCACATCCAAGTTTTTCTTTGTGGCTGCAGTTGGGGTTCGTAGTGGGTATAACATGGTATAAGCATGCGATAATAACCCCCATAAGTTGGGATATAACTCATCACTATGGTTTATATAACCAGTTGTGTCCCCAAGCAGGGATACAGTATGGGCTGTACGTAAGAAATAGCAACCATAGTGGGGTCAAGAAAAGTTGTCAGGACAGTTTTCCAGCTCAGAATCTCTAAGTTGGTTGAACTAATTAGCTAGGTCAACTAAGTTAGGTTGGTGAAAAAATGAACTAGTTCGATGGGTGAACAAAGCAAGCAACTTGTAACCAGGGGCCAAGACCTTTGTAGCCTTTGTAGCCTTTGTATAAATGGGCTGAAATCAAGGACTTCAATGACGTCTCCCCAGATCTGCTTCGCCTCACTGTTCTCCCTCACTGGAATCATGGTTAGTAAGGGAAATCATCCCCAAATGGCCGCAAGATTCAGGTGAGTGAAATATTATAATTTACCCAGATTGATGGCTTTAGCCCAGCAAAAAGTTGAACTTGGATAGCTCTGGATATTATACGGAAATTTATAGGGACCTCACGAATGACCTCACCCAGAAAACGCCATTGAATTCCTTCGGAGGTCAAAAAAAATTGCCCTTTCTGCAATTCCCTAAACATGGGCGCCGCTTGAAAAATTACGGCTGACTGATGGAGAATGGGACATCCACCAGGGCACCATGCTTACAGCCATATTTCCAGGGCTGACTGATCCTGCGAGATAGCGATCCTGCGGCATATTCCGAAAAACACGAATCCCTTCCTTCCAAGAATTCTCTTCAAAGCAAGGGAATATTTTTTCGGTACACGTAGATAGGTTCAGGTTGGTGGTTTGGAACATGGCTTTTATTTTCCATTTCATATATGGGTTGTCATCCTTCCCATTGACGAACTCATATTTTTCAAGATGGTTGTAGCACCACCAACCAGGGTTTGTTTGAAGACATTCATAGTTTATCTTCATCCCCAAGTCAGCTTGCCGTTTTTACGAATTCGTTTTAAGGTATCAACAAATGGCTGGCAAAGACGATGTGGAGGTTTCCTAAAATCTGCGTAGCCCAACTCAATGGATTTTTCCACTACCAAGTATAGCAATAACTTGGAGGATTTTTTGGGGTACTGCCATGACTTAGAAAGCCACCATGTTTTGGAATTCCTGTCAGGAGTACTACTCCAGCTTTGGGCCTCCAGGCGGACCTCCATGGACCTCCTACCCAGTGATTCGTGGTTCCGAAGTCTGGGTTAGATCCCAAGACGTAGCCCATTTGTTTGATCTTGTTTGAGGCATTACAACTTATAAACAGTACAAACCCACAAAGACCACTCTGGTTGGTGGTTTCAAACATGGCTTTTATTTTCCATTTCATATATGGGTTGTCATCCTGAACCCATTGACGAACTCCATCATTTTTCAAGATGGTTAAAGCCACCAACCAGCCACTTGTAGCTAACTTGGATCGACGGTTGGCATCTCTTGTGGATGTCCAGGATTTTTCGGAGATCACCTGCATAGCGGTGCCTTTTCGGATTTCGGATCCCACCAGTCTCTTCTCTTGCTGGGTTTGTCCCATCTATACACTGTTTTAAAAATGATTGTAGCTGATAAATTTATTAACCACTTACTAAGTGTTTTATGATTCTTCAAGTACTGAAAAACCATGAAAAACCCATTTTTACCCCTTTCGGTAAAGTAGCATAGAGGTGGAAAACATGCCATTGATGGATCATTTTGCCAGGGAAAGCATAGGTTTTTCCATCTAGACTCACCTTCGGTACCCATAAGGTGGTCCCCCAGTGAGCTAAATCGCTAAGTTGGTGAACATAGTTCGTGGGGATTGCAAATCAATAAACATAACTGGAAGATAACTGGGGGGAGCACCACTTTGTGTATATACACATGATAACTTGGCTTATCCCATTTCCAGTGGGGGCAACTTTAGTCACTTTCGTCGGATAAAAAAGTCGTAAACCGGGCTTAAAAAACTCCTCCCACAGTCATGGTTTACTTAAAATGATGATTTTCCAGCTATGGAAAAATCAGTCTATTTTGAGGACAAATGGAGGTACGTTAGTACCATATGTTTGGCCATATTTTGTGGGGATATTCCCTGAAATTTAGCCCTGAAACATAGGCCTGAAATATATGGTAGATACCTCCGTCCTCAATCGGTTCCTGTTGCATGCCCAGCGATGTTAGTCATTACCAGAGGGTTTCTCGCTGTCGGTCATTGAGGAGAAATCATAACCAGCATAAAGAGATCAATTTCTTGCTGGGCATCTAAGACATAAAAACATACCCTGGTTGGTGGTTTGGAACATGGCTGGATTCTGACTTTCCATTCAGTTGGGAATGGAATGTCATCATCCCAACTGTTACGAACTCCATCATTTTTCAGAGGGGTAGGTATACCTATACCACCAAGCAATGACTCAAAAAGACCAACAGGCCATATCTTTGTATTAATTAATGTCATAAATGTCATAAACCAGCCATTTTTTTTGGGGTGGTTTATACCACCCAATGGCAACCTGGTCACCTTGGGGCTTGATGATGGCAGGTGCCGTGGTGCCTCAGAGGGTCTGGCCTTTGGAGGAGTGGAGACGGTCTCCGTTCGGTGTTTTGAACGAAACGGTCGGTCGCACGGTGAATTCCGAAAGGGCCATGATCAACGTAGCAATATATGGTGAATCCCCTTTGTTGATGGTTAAAACCACCATTAAATCACCATTTATAGCGGTTAAATCCCATTAAATCACCATTTCCATGGGTCATGACTGATGTCCCCATTGAACATCACCCAACCAAAATCGGTATATGGTCTACTAGATGGCTACTTTTTTTGGTCTATATGTCCAATATACCCAAAATGGGACAGTTACCAACCCATGATATGGGGATGGGTCAAAACTTATGAAATTACCATAGAAATTACCATATTTTGGGGAATAAACATCCATTAACCAACTATTCCAGGGTACCTAGGATACCAGGCTTTTGACTCCATAACCATATAACTGGTGCTTAAATATGACAATAGCTGGGGCTTGAATGATCTTGAATCTAATATTGACTAGCTTATATCAACTATATATCAACTATAGTTTATATTTACTATAGCTAATATCAACTATAGTTTATATTTACTATATAAGTACCATATACTTGGTGGTCGTCTAACATAGTACCGGGTTACCATTTTTTTGGGGTCATTTTCGTACCGATGGCCGTGTAAGATCACTTTTTAGCCACCGTGACTGGTGGTTAAATCCAGAAATATTTAATATCAACAAAATTACGGTAATGTTAACTAACAACTGTTGATTGCATGGTTACATTTGAATTGGATTCAATCTAATGTGAGAGTTACCCATCTTTTGATGGGTGCTTAACATGGTTTCATCATCACGAAATAAGGAGATACAAGCAATATATAACGTTAACATACCCCAATATAAGGGACCCAAAAACATGAACAGATCAGGGTTTCGAGGAGGTGATGAAAATCCTTGGAGGGTCCAGGGATGTGTGGTTGATCGGGGAACCATCTTTTTTTGTTGAGAAAACCCGCCCCCTCAACCAGGTCTTGCAGTTAAAACAAGTGGTTTACAACCTATGACTATGAATATACACACAAATGACACACACACATATTACATATGTATATATGATATATATGATATATATGATATATATGATATATATGATATATATATATATGATATATATATATGATATATATATATATGATATATATATATATATGATATATATATATATATGATATATATATATGATATATATATGATATATATATATGATATATATGATATATATATATGATATATATGATATATATGATATATATGATATATACGATATATATATGATATATATGATATATATATGATACATATATGATACATATATGATACATATATGATACATATGATATATATGATATATATGATATATATGATATATATGATATATATGATATATATATGATATATATGATATATATGATATATATGATATATATGTGATATATACATACATATAATGGGTTACTATGGCAATCAACCACTTCGAAGATGCCTGGGACCTTACAGGTCCCAGGGTAGGTTTTGGTGATGATTCACCGTTATTTCCCACGTCGTTTTGGTTCCAGGATCACTAACAAACTTGGCGTTTCGGAACCACATAAAGGTGGGCCCCGAAGCAGATAAAAAGCGACGTTTTCATGGTGGGATGTTGTTTTTTTTGGTTGTTTTACCATCTGGTTATGACTAACAGTTCGCCATGGAAAGATCCACCATTTTTAAGTTCGGTAAAGCCTCTATTTCTATGGGCCATCTATACCATGGCAAACTGTTAGTCATAACCAGGCCGGGTATCTCAGATTGGTGTTTTGATGGCGGTCATTTCAGATACAGTATCTATTCTTAGTTTGGCCCCGTCTTTTGGATCTTCAATGGGTCCAAATTATAGAGGCTGTGTAGGGAGTTCTTTGTTGCAGGGATTGGGTGAGCAAGTCCCACCACGGGGTGTATTGAAAAAATGTGGGCAAGTTACGATTTTCTGTGGTTCAACAGCGGCATAGCGGCATAACCCTGGGTTTACCCTCTGGTAATGACTCACATAGCTATAGAAAATCACCATGTTTAATGGGAAAATCAACTATTTCAATGGCCATTTTCAATAGCTATGTTAGTTTACCAGAGGGTACGTCATTTTGGACTCCAAACACTGTCAAAACTTCGAAACTTGGATGCTTTTGAAGTCTCGAAATTCAGGGCCTCCATCACATCACTGGTTCAACCCGCGTAGGACATGGGCGATTGCAATTTGGGGCCGCCCCCAAGTTGGCATCCGAATGGGAACTATGCCATGATCAAAGTGGCAGGCGCATCTGAACGCAGCGTGAATTGAGTTTTGGGCTTGATGGGCTCTATTGACCACCATGACTCAGCAGTTGGAGAGGTTTTTAATTCATGTTTCATTGAAAAATTCGAGTTTGTAATAGTCTCCCGCATCATTTTTTAAAGCAATGTTCATCATCATGTTCTCTGTTATACGATAGCTCTTAGACGCAAAAAAATGGTAGACCTCATTTTCAGAGAAAACTATTTCAAATCATTTCAACAGATCTTTCTCCATCTCTGGGGATGTATAAAAAAAGGGTTGCTACACTCTTGTTATGACTAACAGTTCGCCATGGTATAGATGGCCCATAGAAATAGATGATTTTCCCAGCTAGAAACCTCCATTTATAGATGATTTTCCCTTTAAACCCTCCATTTTCCTATGATTTTCCCATGATTTCCACTATAAATGGGCCATTTTCCATGGCGAACTGTTAGTCATAACCAGATGGTTTCCTCTAAAAGGGCCAGGGGGTATCCCAAACGGATGCAGCTCTCGCAGCAAGATTCGCCGGCCTCGCGATTTTCTTGTCACTGCCCGAATCGTGAGAGCACGAGGTCCAAATCATCTGGCACCAGGTCATGGTTGAATATTCAAAACATCACATAAAAGAAATTAGATAAATACAATGTGGGCCCCCCCAGTAATAAGTTGGTTTATAAGGTCCATTAACTATAGTTATAAGATGTTATAAGTACAATAAACCATAGTTATTGGAGTTATAAACCAACTTAGCTATCTAGGGGGCCCCACATTGTACCCGATAAGGTAAACTATTTATCAACTATTTCTATAGCCATAATTTCAATAGCAAACTGTAACAAATTACCAGAGGGTTTTTTTTGGACCATTTTTTTTTGGCTGAACATTTTGATACCTGACCCAACGGCACCAAAATTGCATGAAAGTCCCAGGATCCCAATGAACAAGTTTTCTGTGCATCGTCGTGGACGGTCGGCTTCCAGTTTTACTTAGTTCATCGATGAAAACCAAGCCTCAAAATAACATTACCAAGTGATTACGATTGCCCTCCAGATATGTAAAATATACTAAAATACACTATTTCTAGATAATGTCCTTTTGACAATCAATAGGTTCTTCAATATTGTTTTGTCCATTTACCGTGTGCTTTTTGTGGCGTTTTCACAGCCGACTTCACCACAACTTGGTTTATAACCCCTATTCACGATAGATATATCCCCAACAAAAACCATAGTTCTCGGATGTTATTGGAGTTATATGCACCAAAAAACACCTGAATCAGCACCAAGAATCCCATGGTTAAATCCCCCATGTTTCGTGAAAAATCACAATTTTCCCATCATTTTCCCATGGTTTTCCCATGGCTTTTCCAAAATATCACCATTTTCCCATCATTTTCCCAGGGTTTTTCTGGCTTTTCCTGGTGAAATCCACCAAAATCCACCAAAATCCACCAGGCTCGGTGATTGCGGATCGCCTCTACGGTTTCGAGATCGACATCGACTTCCCGCAGATCTTCTTAACGCAGAACCACAGCGACGAGTGCCATGGCTGCGCCTTCCGCGGCCTTCCGCGGGGGGATGGTCCCGGGATGGTCGATGGTCCCGGGCGATGGTGTCGTGTTTCTGGGAGGTGCTATGGATTTTTTTTTTTGGGATGGTCTATGGTACTGGTTGGTCCATATCTATTGGTTAATGGGAACTATATCCATAGAAAAACCAACCATGGGGGCTATAGTTTTCATGGGGTTTACCCTCTGGTTGGTGGTTTGGAACATGGCTGGATTATGACTTTCCATATATTGGGAATTTCATCATTCCATTTGACGAACTCATATTTTTCAGAGGGGTGGCTCAACCACCAACCAGGGTAGATATAGCCATATCTATTGGTTAATGGGAACTATATTCCATAGAAAAACCGGAGTTGTTCTATGGAAATTATGGGCAAATCAAGTAACTATTTATGATACTAAATGGGTCATTAGCTATGTCAAATTACCAGAGGGCACATGGGATTTCAGGATATTAGATGATATTACCCGGCCTGGTTATGATTAACAGTTTGCCATGGTATAGATGGCCCATAGAAATAGATGGTTTACCGAACTTAAAAATGGTGATGGTTTCCATGGCTATGTTAAATAACCAGATGGTAATGCGGTTAAAACAATGTCATTTTTACCACCCATTACTGTGAATGGTTTATAGCACCTATGAAAATGATGAAAGTGGGGATGGTTTATTATTGTTTTAACCACATTATATAATATACAGCAATGTTGGCAAAACAATAATAAACCATCCCCAATTTCACCATTTTATAGGTGGTATGCTTACCATTCCCAGTCATGGGTGGTAAAAATGACATTGTTTTTCCCACATAAAAAACTGGTAATATTTTAGGTAGAAAAAAGGTTTGATGTATTCCCCCAAAAAACACAGATCGACAGATATCGCAGGCATATGATATCAACTGGTTGGTGGTTCGGAACATTTTTTATTTTCCATTTCATATATGGGTTGTCATCCTTCCCATTGACGAAGTCCATCATTTTTCAAGATCGTTATTGCACCACCAGCATCCACCAACCAGATCATTATTAACCATGATTAACCATGATTAACCTTGACAAAAACTATGGAAATCCCATTAAAATCCCATGATTTGAATCAGCAGCTTGTCATTAACCCCAGCAACAACAGCAACTGGATGGTTTCACCGCAGTAGCCATGATGAACATCTGGGCCCATTGGGGATGGTTCTGGGATGGTTCATATCATTGCTTTGATCGAACTTTTGAAAAACCCGGCCTGGTTATGACAGACTAACAGTTCGCCATGGTTTTTAGATGGCCCATTTTAAAGTTCGGTAAACCATCTATTTCTATGGAAAATAGCCATGGTATATATATATAGTTTACCGAACTTGAAAATGGTGGATCTTTCCATGGCGAACTGTTAGTCATAACCAGATGGTATGATGGTAATAAGCACCCAATATTTAATGAGAGGGAAACAAATGTGTTTCCAGGATGGTAACTATCGATGATAGTTGTCTTGAAAAAAATCCAGGTTTGGGGTGCTGCGTATGGTTATGGTTTAGAGAATGAGCTATGAATAGTTAGATCATGTTAGATCTGTTGCATATCAATGATATTCTCTATGGGAATTTCAGGATCCTTTAAAATGGAGGTACTGTACCATACAAGACCATATTTTGTTGGGATATTCCCTTACATAGCCCTGAAAAATAGGCCTTATATATGGTAGGTACCTCCGTCCTCAATCGGATCCTGAAATTCCCATTGATATTCCAGGATCCCATTCTGCTTGCTTTCATCTCTTGGGATTTCCCTTGAATTCCCCATTTGATTTGAGAAAAAAACCACCGGAGAGCCTTCCATGAGATAAAACAACCCCTGGATGTTCTCGGCAGAGTCTATGCGTTGGAGAAAAAGAGTAGCGTAGCTAAGTATAGCTACAACAGATCTGACATCATATGACATCATTAATATGGGCGAAATTCACTGGCTTGATTCGAATTCAGTTCTTCTATCAGTTGGGAAACTCAAAAAACGTAGCTCCCAGTCTGGCTTCCCACATATACCCCGACAGCTCCGAACGACAGCTCTGTCTGCGAAGTGTTTTCTGACCTGGTCGATTTACATATGATTTACATCTGACAAAAAGATCCATTCTTAAAGATTTATAGCGGAATCCCTATTCGTCCCCATGTTTTCTTAGCTTATCACTAGGAATTGACGGATTTTCGTCACTTTGGTCCTTCCCAACTACAACTCCAGTCGTTTGTCAAAGGCGGCATACTGTACCCCATAGACATTGAAATGGGACATTTATATACCAAACGATTGGAATGCAGTATATCCGGCATTTTCAGACCACGCTGTATTTGTTGAGTGCAATTTCGGGGTACTAATAGAGATAGAACGTGTTTTTTCATCCGGTTGAAACTGCCGCACAAAAAATCCGAAATGGTCGTAGCCGTCACAAGCCGAAACATGATGATGATTCTAGGGTATACTCCAACAGGGGAATCCTTTTGGACAAATGCAAGATTAACCCCCAAAATGGTGAGGTTACAAAAATTATTGCAATTTTCGGGCATGTGTATGATAACGACAAAATCTCAATTTGAGTATATATGTAGTAAAATGTGTATATGGATGGATGGATGGATGGATGGGTAGATAGGAAGGTAGGTATGTATGTTATCTTATGTTATTTTTTGTTATGTCATTATGTAATATTATGTAATGTGACGTAATTGTAACGGAACGTAATGTAATGTTATGTTATGTTATGTACTGTACTGTACTGTAATGTAATGTAGTGTATGTATATATGTATATATGTATATATGTATATATATATGTATATATGTATATATATATATGTATATATGTATATATGTATATATGTATATATGTATATATGTATATATGTATATATGTATATATGTATATATGTATGTATATATGTATATATGTGTATAAGTGTATAAGTGTACATGTCTATATGTGTATCTGTTTATATGTTTATATATATATATGTGTATATGTGTAGATGTGTATAATTGTATAATTGTATAACTGTCTAATGGTATAATTGTATAATTGTATATATGTATATATGTATATATGTATATATGTATATATGTATATATGTATATGTGTATGTGTATGTGTATGTGTATGTGTATGTGTATGTGTATGTGTATGTGTATGTGTATGTGTATGTGTATGGTATGTGTATGTGTATGTGTATGTGTGTATATATATAGCACCAAAAAAAAAGAGAGAATTCGCAACTTTTCCATGATGCGAAAAAGAAAACAACAGTGTCCCCCAGATTTTCCAGCTTTCCACGATTTTTCCAAGTCTTTTGGTGAGTGAAGTACTTCTGGACCCCCCAGGTACTGGGCGTTCCACATCAGCGTGGTGGACGGCTTTGGCTTCGGTCGCGACTCCACCTACATCAGTGCCTCCTTCCAGCCCGACGTGGAGGGGCCGTGGGACTTCTATCAGGTGCCAAAGTGTGGCTGGAAAGGGCGGATTTTTGCAGATGGGATGGGAGGGCCAATTGGATTTTAGCAACATCAAAAAAGGTGTGAAATCCTGAAAAAAATGTCACTCGAATCTTAAATTTGGAACAATCTAGCACAGAAATGTGTATCACTGGAGGGCATCAATTGCTCAGATTCTTTGAGGAAAGTTGCCAAGGCTGCCTTGCCCCATTTCTGTGTTTTTTTTTCGCCATGCCATGCTATGCCCAGCTATGCCCTGTTGTGTTGTGGTTGGGGTAGCTGTTCATCTGGAGATTTGCAGGTCCACCGGTATCCCTTGATGAATCAGCTCCAAACATGGACGAAACAGCTGAAACAGCTGGGTCAGTGGGGAACCAACACCTCAAGGTGCCATGCTGACAACACTTCAAGGGAAGCACAGCTTCTTCTTGCTGATTGACTTCTTCTTGCTGTAATCAAAGATGGCAATGGAACATCTCTGATAAATGGGTACCTGAGGATTTCCAGCAAACCATCTTTGCCGAAGGGAAACTCCCAGCTTGTTTCACGTTGCTCACCCTCTGGTTGTTTAACAGCTTGCTACGGAAGCCATGGCACATTGAAATAGATGATACACATATATAAGATTGATGATTTACCACGTCTATTAGACGTTGGTTTTCTATGTGTTAGTTATATATATACCATGGTTATTCTGATGATGATAAAACTGATGATTTACCTAACATAGCTATGGAAACCATGGCAAACGTTTTATAGATAACTGACATGGCACACATTTTATAGATTATAGAACTGACATGGCAAACATTTTATAGATTATAGAACTGACATGGCAAACATTTTATAGATTATAGAACTGACATGGCAAACATTTTATAGATTATAGAACTGACATGGCAAACATTTTATAGATTATAGAACTGACATGGCAAACATTTTATAGATTATAGAACTGATGGGTTTTACCGTTCTGAAAAAATGTGTGGTTTTTGGTTTTCCAACGCGGCATCAGAGCTGTCAGATCTTGCCCATGGTGAACCCAATCCCAATTGGCCTGGACATGCGGGGGACCTTGGCTGTGGCGTCATGGTGTCATGGAAGAGATCTGGTCTCTGAATTTGATGAGTTGTGATAGTTATCACATATCATAGGCCTATGATATGTGATAACCAATCCTATAATAAGCATGCATAAGCATAATATTGCTATAATAAGATACCATAATATATTGCGATATCCCCAGGATTGTTGCTGAACCCCCCAAAGTTTCTCATCACGACGTTTTTTATTTGTTTTCTCACTGGGAGAATGGTTAGGATTGGGGTACATAAGTACGTATCCGAATCTTTCCTTGCCTGCCTGCCTTATTTCAGGTGAGTGAATGATTACAATTTACCCAGATATGTGAGATCTTGAGATGTTGGTTTCCGAAGTCGTGTGGGGCCTCCAAATCATCCAGTCGTCATGGATGACCATGACTTACCACATGAAACTTTTGAAACAACGGGACACGGCTGTGGTCAAAAATATGGGGTTAGAATCTTAGAATGGGATATTCATACGTATGGAAGTATGTTCGAACGGGGAACTGGGTAAAGTCCGTGGATGAAACTGGCTGATTTAGCAGCGAAATATGTGCAGTTAAGCACCAACAGTAGCAGTGGCAGGGAAAGTCAACTTGATTTAGCATGATCCGAGAAACACATTCGTGGAGATAATCACAACCAACCATTTTACGGGGAGAGTTGTTAGGAATATGATTATATAACCAACAATATCATATTTTATTTGGGTGTCTAACTTCCCCACGTTATGAGATTGGTTCGCGAGCCCGAGCCCTGCGCTTGCGCAGCAAGCGCAGCTCTCCACAACTTCCAACTCTTCGATGGAAAGGGATTATAATAGTATTATAATCCCCTAACAACAGTATAGAAACTCCCAGAAAGCCTGGTTACTATTGGATCTATAACATACCCATCCAACTGTTGATATATCCATCATATACCATGTGGTATTAAAAACACGGGGAATTCTTTCTGGGAGAGAAAATCGTACTTCTCCTTGTTAGATCTTGTTGCTCGTGGCAGCCATCTTTCAAACTCCATCCTGCCGATCTGAAAACGATGGAAAACTTGGCAGCTCTCACCAAGTGATATCTCAGAACATGGGATAAGTGTACCTCCGGCCAATCATGTGCAAAATGATGATTGACCATTGAAATGGGTTTTCCCAGACTTTCAGAGAGATATCATAGCGTTGACATGGCCCTCTGGTTATGACTAACATAGCGATTGACAATGGCCATAGAAATAGTTGATTTACCCATTAAACATGGTGATTTTCCCATCAGTTATGTAAACGATTACCAGATCAATGGGAATTCCAGGATCCTAAAATGGAGGTACGTTAGGACCATATGTTTGGCCATATTTTGTGGGGATATTCCCTGAAATTTAGGCCTGAAAAATAGGCCAACAATATATATGGAATCGGTACCTCCAATCAATCGGTTCCTGAGTCATGGCCATTGATATGGGGATATTAAGAATTAGAGTATTAGATATAATGGGACAATGGTTGGGAGAATAATTGGGATATACCCATAGAAATAGATAGTTTACCCATTAAACATGGTGATTTTCCCATCAGTTATGTGAACGATTACCAGGCCGTTTTTTTAATCCCATCAGGATCAGAGGAATAAGTTACCCGGTTGAGTTCTCCGTTAACTGAGACACCGAACTGGAGGGGCCCCCCAGTGATGTTTGTTGGTTTATAAACCAATATAATCCCCATTATATAACTATAGTTATATCTACCATAAACCATTGAATTCAACCACTTATAAACCAACTGAACGCTATCGACTGGGGGCCCCATCCTGTATGGCCTGCCAAGGTTGCCTTTTGCCCACACGAGCCTGAAATCTGTGGTGGATATAGGCCCCATCATCCTGAACAAGACCATCACGCAGCATGGCAGGGAGTTGCCCGGGAAGAAGTGGGAAAAACTTGGGGAAAGCATTGATAAAAAAGGGGGAACGCTTGAGAACATTTGGACGCATTGAACAATTCTAGGGCGCTTCGAAAACATGGGGAAACATTGAGAATCCGGAGACAAAATTGGAAGCATTGGAAAAAGGAAACTGTCCAAACAAAAATGGGAAGAACCTGTATGGAACTACCCTCTGGTAATTTAACATAGCTATTGAACATGACCATTTATAGTGGAATTTCCCATAAAAAATGGTGATTTTCCATAGTTATGTTAGTTTACCAGAGGGTAAGCGAATTGGCGGTTGAACCGACAAAGACAAGGAAGATGGAGCGAGTGAAATGCTTCAGAGTTCACCGACAGAAAGGTTTTAATTTCCCGGTGAACTTTTGAAGCGCCGTTTTGGACCATGATTGTTCTGCTGAAGTTACCGCTTATCATTTTGTGTTTGTCTGTTTACTTGTACATGTATATATATATATACATGTATGATATTGTATCTATACATGATACTATAGATATAAGATATCACAAACATAATATATAAGATATCTGCATGAATATGTGTTCATATCACGAATCTAGCGGTTTCAAAAAGGTAACATCATTTGTGAAGACCAAACGGAAGCAAATCGAACATGAGAAATCACTGTAGTGTGGTTAAAACAATTTCATACACCATCCCCCAGTGATCACCATTGTATAGGTGGTATTTTTATCTACCATTCCCAGTCATGGGTGGTAAAAATGGCATTGTTTTACCCACATTAGTACACTTCCCCATAGAAATAGTTGATTTACCCATTAAAAAAATGTGATTTTCCATGGTAATAGGTAAATCAACTATAAAAAATTGATTATTATTTAAGGGCTGCCGCCCCTGCCGCCGACCCCGGTAAAGAATCGGGGATTGCTGGTGAAACAGGCAAGCTGTGTGACGCGAAACTTTGGCAAATGCATTATCACATGCAGGATCATGCGTAACTGGTGCAGCTTTCGGATCAATTGCAGTAAGGTGCTGGCTGCATGACGAGACAGTTGAATTAGAAGCTTACTCTGAACCCAACAACACATCTATGTGCATATGGGCCAAGAGACATAAGACCAAATTGCCAAAAGCTATCATGACAAGAAAGCTCCAGCTTAGGTGGTGGTATAAGATAGCTACACAACTTTTTTTTGGATTGAAGCTATTCTAGTTGGACTGCAGCAACGAGAGCTGAGAGCTACGAAATATGGCCCGTTCGAAATGATGGGACACGCCCAAAAGATTATAGAAAAAGCAGAGAAGAAAGTCTAACATTTTAGCTTTTTTCCTGTGTAACATATGGTGTAATTCACCCGGCGCAAACCATGCCAGCGCAGCTGCGGAGTGCAAGCGCAGTGCTGGAATGTTGGCTGGCCATTGCTCACGACAAGCTCATGTGGCTGCAGCGCAGCGACGCTGACTGCGGCAACCGGTACGGCGTCCTTCCGCTGTGCATTGGTATGCCAGTGCAAGCGCGAGAACATCTCTACCGAAAGGAGTTCAAGATTTTGAAAGGGTGTCATGGAACAGTTTGCGGGTGGTCTCGCGTTGAAACAGAAACAGCGTCGGCAGATGGAGCAGTCATTTGGAACAAACTTCCCGAGTATATCTTTGTGCGTTTTGAAACACGCACACGGTGGACTATCCCAGGCATCGATCAAGAGAACGTCTTCCCAGTGAGCGTGCAAAGTGGAATGTGGTTTTTGGACGCGGGCCGCACCAACCCACAATTGAAAGTCACCCGGTGCCAATTTCCCATCGCGCCCGACTTCGCTGACACGTTCTACGGCGCGCAAGGAAGCACAATAGAGCCGGGCGTGATCGTTGACATGGTCGGTGCTGACCCAATAGCGGCGTACATTGGGATGACACGGAGCCGCACACGACAGAAGATCTTGATCTACCGACCGTTCCCGCTGGCGCCTTTTCAAGAAGGCCTGCCGCTCGGACGACAACTTCTTCTGGACGTGTGGAAGCAGGAGCCGGTGGACTGGGACGCATTGCGCAAGAAATATCTGGATGAAAGGCCGTGCCACGAATGTGGCGAGATGAAGCGCAAAGACGCGTTCACCAAAGCACAATGGAAACAGGAAACGTATCGCGTGTGCAAAGAATGCACAGCGCAGAAGCGCGAAGCCGGCATGCCCTATCGATGCACACAGTGCGGCCTGTGGCACGGCGCAGCACACTTTCCGTCAAAGCATCACAACCCGCGGTGGAGCATGTATCGCGTCTGCCTTTCATGCGACACCAAAAAAAATGTTTTGTTTGCAACAAGAACCAAACAAAGGAATTTTTCTGCACCGCCGCATGGCACACGAGAAAACCTGAACGAAGATTGTGCCTATGTTGCCAAACTAAAACTCGCGGCTCGTGGAAGTGCGCGACCTGTCGCCAACGAAAGCCGCACCAACAATTTTCCAGCTTTATCTCCAGACGGCCATCAGGAAAGAATGGCACGCAAACATGCAATACATGCCGTGCTGCCATGGTGCAGGATACAATCCGCAAGCGTGCTGCCACGTCCGCCGCTGCGCGATTAGAACCTCTGCGCAAGCGACTCCGTCGCGCACGCGTTCTCCGCGAGACTTGGGAAGCGATTGCCGAACGTCGAAATAGCGATGGTCAAAGTCGCGTAAAACATTTCCAAGCGAGTAGTGCGACGGATGCGAGCAAAAGTGATTGCGTAGCGCAGGCTCCTCCGGCGTCACGCCAAAAGTCGCCGGAGTATGTATACACGTGTCCTTTTTGTAACGGGGAGGTAACTTCCTCCATAGCTTCTGGACACATTGATCACCGTCACGTTTGTGGGAAGCAGTTCCGCGTCGAAAACGGTAGCCTCCGTCCGACCATGCGGTATGCGCACACATGCCCAACTTGCAGAACTTGTGTCCGCAGCAGCAGAGCAGCGGGGCGAATTCAGAGCAAGCATAAACAACCGAATGGTCGCGCGTGCCCGCAGACAGAGTGGCAAACGAGCTGAGGAATAAGGTGCAATTTCCTTCAGCGTCCGGTTTTTGTTCTACTTGTTCTACTTGTTCTTCTTCTTCTTCTTCTTGTTACTGTTGCTGTTGCTGTTGCTGTTGCTGTTGCTGCTGCTGCTGTTGTTG